AGTATACAAAGCTTTGTGCAAGGTGATAAGTAGACAGATTCAGAAAGTTGTAATTCTATATCAGAATAGGTTACTAAACACTTAATTATAACATCAAGTCTAAAAGGAAAGAAAGCATCAAAAATTATTATAACAACTTCAATTTGGTAACAAATTCACAGCACAAAAAAGGATAATTTGTGACGAAAACATAGAAGAGGAAAAGGAAAGGACAGAGTTGCATAGGCAAATGGAGATAAGATGCTATCAGCAGAAAAAGGACTATCTCATCTATGAGATCTTTTACACAAACCTCATTGTAACCACAAAATTTAAAGTCAGAGTAGAGTCACAAAACATAAATAAAGAGGCAAACTGAGAAAAACATGACAGAAAACCACCAAACTGAAATGACAGACAGCAATACAGGGGAAAAGTAACAATGGAAATATAAAACAATCAGAAAACAAAATATAAAATGGTAGTATTAAGCCCTCATATATCAATAATCACTCTAAATGTAAATGGATTAAATTCACCAATCAAAAGACACAGAGTGGCTGAATGGATTGAAAAATAAAACTCAATAATATGCTGCCTCTGGGAGACCCATCTTAGCTCTAAAGACAAACACAGGCTCAGAGTGAAGAGATGGAAGATGATACTCCAAGAAAATGGCAACCAAAAGAAAGTGAGTGTAGCCATACTTATATTAGACAAAATAGACTTCAAGCCAAAAAAGAACAGGAGACAAAGATGGACATTATATAATGAGAAAAGGGGCATTCCACCAAGAAGACATAGTGCTTATTAATATATATGCAGCTAACACAGGAGCACCAAAGTATATAAAGCGACTATTAACAGATGTAAAGGGAGAAATTGACAGCAACACAATAATAGTAGGAGACTTCAGTACCCCACTTACATCAGTGGATAGATCATCCAGACAGAAAGTCAACAAGGAAACATTGGCCTTAAAGGAAACACTAGACCGGATGGACTTAGTAGATATATACATAACATTCCATCCAAAAGCAGCAGAGTACACATTCTTCTCCAGTGCACATGGAACATTCTCAAAGATAGACCATATTTTGGAAACAAAACAAGCCTCAGTAAATTTAAGAAGACTGAAATCTTATCAAGCATCTTTTCTGACCACAATGATGTGAAACTAGAAATCAACCAAAAGAAAAAAGCTGGAAAAGTCACAAATACATGGAGACTAAACAACATGCTACTGAATCACTATTGGATCAATGAAGAAATCAAAGGAGAAATTTAAAAATACCTAGAGATAAATGAAAATGAAAACACAACATACCAGAACTTATGGATGCAGTGAAAGCAGTACTAAAGAGGGAAGTATATAGCAACACAGGCCTACCTGAAGAGACAAGAAAAATCTCAAATAAACAATCTAACACTATACCTAAAAGAATTAGCAAAATAAGAACAAGTCAAGGCCCAATCAGTAGAAGGAAGGAAATAATAATCAAAGCAGAAATAAATTAAATAGAGACTAAAAAGAAAAAGAAAGGATCAGTAAAACTAAGAGCTGGGTTTTTGTGTGTGTGTGAGGAAGATTGGCCCTGAGCTAACACCTGTTGCCAATCTTCCTCTTTTGCTTGAGGACGATTGTCACTGAGCTAACATCTGTGCCAATCTTCCTCTATTTTGTGTGGGATGCTGCCACAGCATGACTAGACGAGTGTTGCTAGATCTGTGCCTGGGATCTGAACCCGTGAACCCCAGGCTGCTGAAGTGGAGTGCCCTAACTTAACCCCTACACTACCAGGCTGGCCCCTAAGAGCTGGTTCTTTGAAGAGATAAACAAAATTGACAAATGCTTAGCTAGACTCACTAGGAAAAAAATAGAAAAGGCTCAAATAAATAAAATCAGAAATGAAAAAGGAGAAACTACAATAGGTACCACAGAAATGCAAAGAATTATAAGAGATATTATAGAAAGTTATAGGCCAACAAATTGGGTAACCTAGAAGAAATGGATAAATTCTTAGAATCATACAACCTCCCAAAACTGAATCAAGTGGAAATAGAGACTGAAAAGACTATTCACAAGTAAAGATTGAAACAGTAATCAAAAACACTCAACAAGAAAAAAATGACCAGTCTGATCAAAAAATGGGCAGAGGATCTAAACAGACATTTTTCTAAAGAAGCTATACAGATGGCCAACAGGCACATGAAAAGATGTTCAATATCACTAATTATTAGGGAAATGTGAATCAAAACCACAATGAAATATCACCTCACACCTGTCAGAATGGCTGTTATTAACAAGATAAGAAATAACAAGTGTTGGAGAGGATGTGGAGAAAAGGGAAACCTCATACTCTGCTGGTGGGAATGCACACTGGTGCAGCCACTGCAGAAAACACTATGGAGATCTCTCAAAAAATTAAAAATTGGAATACCATATGACCCAGCTATTCTACTTCTGGATATTTATCCAAAGAACGTGAAAACACTAATTCAAAAAGATGCATGCACCTCTGTGTTCACTGCAGCAATATTCACAACAGCCAAGGCATGGAAGCCATCTAAGTGCCCATGAATGGATGAATGGTTAAAGAAGATGTGGTGTATATATACACAATGGAATACTACTCAGCCATAAAAAGGACAAAATCGTCCCATTTGCAGCAATACGGATGGAACTTGAGGGTATTATGCTAAACAAAATAAGTCAGATGTAGAGAGACAATTACCACATGACTTCACTTGTATGTGGAAGATAAACAAACACACATAGATAAGGAGAACAGATTGGTAGTTACCGGAGGGGTAGGGGTGGGGGGTGAAAGGGATACAGGGGCACATATATATAGTGACAGACAGAAAGTAGACTTTTGGTGGTGAACTCCATGCAGTCTATACAGAAGCCGAAATATAATGATGTACACATGAAATTTATGTAATGTTATAAACCAATGTGACCTCAATAAAATAAATTTTAAAAAGAAATGAAGTGGTTGCAACTTTGTAGTTAAATCGGAGGAACTCACCACTTCCTATTACCTACGATACTCTCTCTCCTGAACACATGCCTCTATCTCTGTTTCTACACCAGGATATCAAAAGAGGATGTGAGTTATTTAGGCTAGTTGAAGTCTCCTTTACTACAGTGAAACTAGGTTTGTCTTTGCTGTATGATTTGGTGTGATTGGTGTCCCTTTTAGAATGTATCTTCCTTAAAGGCAAAAACTGTGCTTTCTCCTTACTCTCACAGCTCTAAATATCTAATTTAGTAACACGCCCAGAATAAGTAATTGGTAAAAACATTTAAAATGAAGATGGGCCAGCAGATTAAAAAAGAAATGTGATGATACATGCCATGACAAAATACAGACTCAATTTGTGATAAACCATAGAAAGAGCATCTTTCATAAAGGCTAGATTTGCTTTATAAATTTTTATATAAATTTATGTTGCTAACTGATTATTTTTCTGCTGTTTTTAAACTGGTTTTCCACCTCTTTTTAACATACATAGATTTCTGGTAAAGGTTGTTTTTGTACTGTGCCCGAATAACTGAGGGGAAAGTCATCCATTTTGTTTTAAGCATAATTGAAGTTTATTTTGTTTGACATGGGAATAGGAGAAACCTGGAAAACCATAATTAATTTCAGGCTTTCCCACCCCTTTCTGTGACTGTATATAACCTGTGTTGTCACTACTGTGATTGTTTAATTTTTACATTTAGCATTGGAAAATAAGATAGCAGACCATGGCTTATTTTAGTTCTCCTTCCCTCTGTGCGTGATGATATTATTTAACATACAATCTTTAAAGCTGTTCACAGTGGGTTGACACAATGGAAATTGGTGCGTCCCAACTCTCATGCAATCCTAATGCAAAAAAAGAAAGAACACAACATTTTTATTTTCTAATGGAGGAGTTTTATGAAGTTACCTTGACTCTTTAAAATTAATGAGTCTGTTGTTTTTAAAATAGAAACTATTATTTTTCAAACTCTTTTATTTAGAACATTGCAAAATGCTAATATATAGAAATGAAATTTTTATTTCATATTTTTCTTTTCTGTAGCTTTTGTAATGTTTTGTATACACATATAAGTTAATTAGGGAAGTTATGGTTTGAATGCATATTGTAGTGGGTTTTTTTTCTTTTTAATTGAATCTATCACAAATATTTCCCAAATTTCTTTCCTTTGCTTTGTTCTTCCTAAAATATTTGCCAAAATTGTTTTTAATTCAAAACAGAAATATATTTTTCTGATTTGTAAAGGGATATTTATTTATTTGAAGAAAATATAAACGTCTAAAATAGAGTAAAATGATCTTCCACCACCTCATTTCACAGAAATGAGTTTCTCCAAGACAGAGGAGTGAGGGTGTGGGCATGTTATGAGATGTAAGACAGAAGAGGATCAGGTGATCAGAGAGGCAAGAGGAGAACCTGAAGAGTGGTATTATCATAAGCACTGTCATAAAGACTTTTAACTGAAGAAAGTTGAGTTGAATTGCACCAAAAGTGAATACAGATGAAAAGTAAACAGATTTAAAAAATGTTTTTCATCATTTTCACTTTTTTTCTTTTTTTTTTTTTTGAGGAAGATTAGCCCTGAGCTAACCTCTATACCCATCTTCCTCTTCTTTATATGTGGGATACCTGCCATAGCATGGCTTGATAAGCAGTATGTAGGTCCACGCCCAGGATCAGAACTGTCAAACCTTGGGCCACCGAAGCGGAGCATGTGAGCTTAACCGCTATACCACAGGACCAGCCCCATCACTTTTTTACTTTAAAAGCTATGAAGTGTTAAGTTCAAATTTTTAAATAAAGATGGTTAGAGAGCATGGAAACTAAGTCTTTCACATAGTAATCACTTAGTAAATGCTAATTCAACATGATAATTTTGTGAACACATTACTTCTTGTAGTTGAAACCAAAAATCTGTTTATTAGTAGTAGTATTTTTAATGTGCCACCTCTGGCTGGCAAAAACTTAAGGCTTTTTTTGTTTCCACTTAGGCCTCTTATGTAAGGAGCTGAAGGGGAAATGAAATATACAGGATGAAAAGATGGCAATGTTGCCTCCCCCAGGACCTCAGAGCTTCGTCTACTTCACAAAACAGTCTCTTGCCCGCATTGAACAACGTATCGCTGAAGGAAAAACAAAGGAACCCAAAGAAGAAAAGAAAGATGATGATGAAGAAGGCCCAAAGCCAAGCAGTGACTTGGAAGCTGGCAAACAGCTGCCCTTCATCTACAGGGACATCCCTCCAGGCATGGTGTCAGAGCCCCTGGAAGACCTGGACCCCTATTACGCAGACAAAAAAGTAAGTGTCTTATGATCGCAGTGATGCAGTCTCTGTTTGCTTCTTTTGTACAGAAAGATATTTTAAATTGAGATTAAGTACAATTTATTGAAAAACCACATCATGACAAAAACGTTCAGTTAAATATATATGTAGGATATTCAGAATAGGTACTTCTAATTTTTCGTCACCACTGGTCCTGTCACTGACATACCATTTTGATTTCCTTGGTTTCTTAAATGTGTTCAGGAAAATGTTCTGCTTTTTTGGACATGGTACAAATGCATACTTGGAGGAACAAAATAATTGTCAATTTGATAAATAAGACCTGGTGATATGTCCAGAATGCATCTGCAGGGAGGTGACAGCTGAATCCATGGGAATATGTATAATCGCTGAACTCATAATGGAGTTTAGAGAGTCGCTTCGTTTAGGGTGTTGGAGAGAAAGAGGAGTCTGAGATGGTCAGAGAGGTAGGACGAAAACCAGAAAATTTTCCATTGTTCAAAAAAGAAGGGAAGAGAGTATCACATAAAATTACCCAGAAAGTTGAGGATAGAGAAAGACTATTGGAATGAGCAAGGAGGATGAGTTAGTCACTTTTTGCAAGCAGTTTGTGTTAGGTGATGGAAATGAAAGCAAGATAGTGGTGGGTAACAAGTATGAAGGGGAAGTGCTTGGCAGTCCATGCATGCTGAGAAATTTTCCACCAGAAAGATGGTCATATGAGGCACCAAATAAATCAAAAACCTATATGAGGCACCAAATAAATTGAAAACCTTTTTAACATAGGGTATAAATAGGACATTTGAAAGTAAAGAAAAGTTATTCTTGGCCAAAGAGAAAAATATAGAGTTGGAGTGATGTAGCTAGTTGCTGATGTTAACAGACAAGGTACAAGCTACAGATCAGATTGTATTTGCAGTGGAAAAGTCAAGAGAATCTTACTGTCTGAGTCTTGAGGGGAAGATAGGAGGATGGATTTAAGTCTGATGGGTTGAAGTAAATGGAGACACATCAGAGAAAATGCACGTAAAATGGTGTCAACATTTTCCTTACTACAGGAGTCGAAAATGACCTTTGAGAGTCAGTGTTGAGAGCAGCAGAGCAGAACTGTTGACTGCATTAAGGAAATGGGAGAACGTTTGAAACAACTTCTATAAAGGGTATTCTGTTGAAAATGAGAATGGGATTACAATAATTTCTGACAGAGTAGCAAACACAACCAGGTTGAAGTTGACAAAGAGGAGACAGTAAAGGATTAGGTCAGCAGGTTCCATAACTTTCTCCAACAATGCTTTCTTTGCTGCACGGCATCTGCAGACTTATATTTGAGAGGTCAAGAAAGGCAGGATAAAGTCCATTAAAAATAATTTTGATTTGTTTGTATAAATAAAAGGGAATATTTCTTGGTAAGACATGTAGCAAATAAAATAAAGAACATATTTGCAATGTCTTGAGAAATACAAAATGTGATGTTAATTTTGGTGGTAGAACTACCTCAGTGGTCGTTGCTATGAATAGCAATACCTAATATTTTGCTTCACATTAAAACCAGCATCTCAACGAGTTGACAGAACAGTAATAGAAAACGGGATACCTGAGAGGCCCGTGAAATATTACACAGCATTCTAGTTAATGTCTGTATTCTGACACAGAAAGGAAGAATGCTATTATGTATTGAGGGTCTCTGTGTCAGGCACTGGATTTTTTATACAAATTAGCACATCTATTTATCATAAGCTGGTGAGTTAGGAAGTAATACCCTATTTTTAGATGAGACTAAGGGCTTGGGGAAATTAAGTAACTTCCCAAATGTTACATGCTAGTAAATTTTGTTGTAGATTTTTAAATTCAAGTTGGTTTGACTCCCTGCTGAGATATTCTATTGTGCCACATTTCTTAGTTTAGATTTGGTCATATAACAACTTTGCAAAAATGAACAAAATCATGAATGAGTAAATAATGAAACAGGCAAAATAAAAAGTACTTTCTGATTTTACTTCACCCAGAAAAATTTCTGGCTCTGCATGGATATCTACTGCATTTCCCATTTCCAAAGGGGGCCTGGATGTTAATTAACCAGCTACCCCTTATGGAGGAAAAGGATCTTTCTGGAATAATCCCCAAGTCAGAGATACAAACTAATATTGGCTTAAAATGACTTGGGAGGTAAAGAGAAAATGTTTGAACTTGGATAGAGGACAATAGACATTAACTAATGGAGAAATTTTAGCTATGTGATAGACTAATTTAATAGAGAAGGTTTGGGGTAGAACTCCAAGCCCTTGAGTTGGCCCCCAGCTTCTTTCAAATAACGCACCAACTGCATCAAAAGCCTAACCCACACCCGCATCAGTATACTCGGGTAGAACTAGGTCAAACAAAGTAATCTATTTTTTCATGGTCCTCTATTCTTAAAATGTGAACAAATGCCCAAAGGAATGATGGAGTCTTTTTATTTTCTTATGATTTGGAGCTTTAAATTAGCAACTTTTTATGCCTTGTCCTAACTCCTCAAATATTCTTGGTAAAAATAGTTTTGACTTCCACTTAACGGCTTTAGGGTTGACTTCTCCGTGGATTGATTCTTTTTATGTTTCATGTTATTCATACTAATTGACACAAATTTTATTCTGCTACATTGTGTTCATTGCTTATATTAAAAATCTTAATGAGGGACCGCCTGGTTGCATAGTGGTTAAGTTCATGTGCTCTGCTTCGGGGGCCTGGGGCTCGCAGGTTCGGATCCTGGGCACGGACCTAGCACCACTCATCAAGCTGCACTGTGGCGGCATCCCACGAAAGATAGAGAAAGGTTGGCACAGATGTTAGCTCAGCAACAATCTTCCTCAAGAAAAATGAGGAAAATTGGCAACAGATGTTAGCTCAGGACCAATCTTTCTCACAAAAAAACGAACAAACAAAAACTCCAACAACTTAATGACCCCTAATTTGGCCTGAGTTCAGATTTTAATTTATATTTCAGTGTAATTATCAATGCTTTGTTAAAACAAAGAACACTTAATAAACTAACCGTAGAAGTCAGGGCTTTATTTTTATGGGTAAATGTGTATGGTTTTATGTGATGAATGTGTAAGTGCTTTGTAATAGTGTCATGTGGTACCTTTATTATAAGAGAAAGTTTGTCTTTAAGAAAGAGTAAATTACCAGTCACTCTTGGCTATGGGTATTAAGAGGACAGGTACATTGTCTTGGATGTCTTAGAACATATCCTTGGTGCCTTATCTGTTCAGCCTGTAATATCAGCAGCTGCTCCCACCATTTAGTAAGAATTTACAATGTACCAGAAACTCAATAGCGTCACAGACAATAAGTGCTAGCTCTCAAGCTGCTAAATGGTGGATCTGGTGTTTCAAATCATATCTGTCCACTCCAAAGCGTATGCTCTTTAAGCACCATAATTCTCTAATTTTATGTTCAACAAATCCTTAAATAAATGAGCAAAATGAGAAGAACTGATTCAGACTTTGACATCTAGGCCTTTGTTAGTGGGATTTTAGAATTTACTAGAGACTGATAGTGATCTCCCAAATTTCATAGGCATGCCTACTTTTCCTGCCTACAAGGAACTCCTGGATGTATATAAACCCAAACATTCCTAAAGAAGTTTTTAAAGCTAATGAAAATTGGGAATTTAAATTTAAAAATAGCAAACTAATTCTTTTTTTCTTCTTTAATTTCAAGTAAAGGTAATGCGATCTTGCCAAGGCTAGGCAGTAATGTTGTGATTTTCACGTTAGCCCAGGTGACCTCTGGTTCATGAAGTCTCCCTGATAATTCTAACAGACATGTGACCCTGTCCCCTCTTTACTTTCATACTCCTCCATTTGTACTTCTGTTTGACACCTGTCACATCTTGCCTTGTATTCGAGTTATCGTGTTCTTATTACTTTTCTAGGAAGTAATTTGCATGCAAAACGCATGCCTCATTTATGTTCAAACTCCTTTCATTACCTCTTATGCCATCGCTGCTCACTGCACAACTGAGGAAAATAATGGATGAACGAATTTTAAAAAGCACAATGTATTGCTATTTAAGAAAACAATAATTGTACTCAAAGACGAGGTATTAATTTTAAAACTACTTTTCAATGTAAAAGTGAACTTTATATTAAATTATGTTTAGACATCACTGGTATAGTGAAAGAGACCAGAAATATACAAGAGCATCTGAAAACAATAGATTCTGGTTTGTTTTCTTGAGAACTCTGCCACACACAATGAAAAAGCAAGATACTCGAACTTATGTCTCTAATTTGGTGAAAAATGTTTATTACCAGAAGCCCACTCATCCTGTATAAAAAAGTCAGATTAAACAACACCAAAAAAGACCAAGTCCATGGCTTCCAGATTTCACAAGTAATTGCCTGCCAACTGCGGGAAAATGAGACAAGGGTTTGAACTTGGTCTCTCTGATTTCCAAGCCAATCCCTCAGGTTATTTTAATGTTCTGTTGTTGTTGCTGTTTATTTGTTTGGATTTTAAATTTTTTAATTAAATGCCAAAGACATGGAGAATGTCACTCATTATGCCGTGGGTACAATAACATATTTTAAGAATATTTGGTTCTATTCATATTATTTTTAAAAATTACCATGGATAGTAGCAAGCAAGTCTTTTAATCTGTGTTTTTACTTTAGCTGTTATTAGTATTGTATCTAAAAGGAAAATTGAACTGGATAGTAGGACTCTTCCAACTCTAATTTTCCTTAAATTTATGAAAATACTTTTTTGGAAGAACTCCTATTTTGGAACGTTTGCTACTAACCATGACAGTAGCCAACAAGTATTAAAATTCTTAAGATGTTATGGTAAAAATCAAGATAGCTGATTTCTATTTGGTTTGCTTAAAATGCAGTGTAACAGGGGCTGGTCTGGTGTCATAGTGGTTAAGTTCACGTGCTCCGCTTTGGCAGCTGAAGGTTTGCTGGTTCAGATCCTGGGCACGGACCTAGCCCCACTCATCAAAGCCATGCTGATGTGGCATCCCAAATAGGAGAACTAGAAGGATGTACAACTAGGCTATATAATTATGTACTAGGGCTTTGGGGAGAAAAAAAGAGAGAAGAGGAAGATTGACCACAGATGTTACCTCAGGGCCAATCTTCCTCACCAAAAAAGTATACCTTAAAAAAAAGGCAGAGTAATGAAAGAAGGAGGTTGTGTTTTAAACTAATTCCAATGGCCATAAGTTATTGTTGCTGATGTGGGTGTTCAAGGGATATGAAATAGAGAAAATATTGTATTTTGGGAGCCCTAACCAATATATACTCATAAATGGCTCACTTCTTGATTAACTGAGAAGAAATGGACTTGGAGTTCATTGGCCAGCGTGACATATATAGCTACATCAATGGCATTGGAACTACTTTGCTTGAGTCTGATGACAATGTTTCTTTAATATGACACCACCACATGGAGAGGTAAACTGCTGATATTAATGTACTAGATTGAAATTTTGGATTCTCATTTCATACTGTTTTCTTTTTGCTCCTGCAGACTTTCATAGTATTGAACAAAGGGAAAGCAATCTTCCGTTTCAATGCCACACCTGCCTTGTACATACTCTCTCCTTTCAGTCCTCTAAGAAGAATATCTATTAAGATTTTAGTACACTCATATCCTTTTTAAAATGCTAACTTGCAATGGTTCTTTAAAATATAGTTTTTACTATTTTATTTAAATTTGGATTTTAGTCCTTTTGTACCTGAAAAGACTCTGGTTTTAGTTTATCAATTACAGTATAATTTGGTGTAGGTCTCTGAGAAGATTGGGAGAATGGCAATTTTGCCATTTTCGGATGAATGACTTTTATCTATTACTCCCTTGTTCAAAGAGATTTTAAAAAAAAGTCTAGAAGCTTATTTAGAATTATTTTCTAAGGAAAAGTTGTTAGTATTTCAAGAAATGTCATTATCAAATATTCAAAGTTCCTACTGTGGTCTTCTGTCATATTCCTTGATTCTAAGCTACCTTATTCAGCATGCTTATCATGTGCACTATTCTGACGAACTGCATATTTATGACCATGAGTAACCCTCCAGATTGGACCAAGAATGTAGAGTAAGTGGGGATAAGTACATTTTAATATAGTCTTAGTATAATCATTTTTATCCTTTCCTTTTCTTGCCAGTAAGTTACTGCATCTATAAAAATTGTGGTGTTTGTCTTCTCATGTTATATAGTTGCTTTCCTTTCAATCATTTTTTTCTCATCTGTAGTATTAACCCACAAGCAGTAGAATAGAATAATTAGATGCTACAATCTTTTCTAGAAGAGTGAACTTATCAGATCCCCTCCTTGTTCTTCGACATGTTACATATTTCTTATCTTTGGGGTATATTTCTGATAGGAACAATACAGGAATTTTCTAGGCAGATCTAATACCTATGTTCTTAGTTATTTTAAACACCTCTGCTTTCTGGAAGAGTTTCTGATATGTACATTCTAAGATTTTCTGGAAAGACTGTTACTGCATTTTATTCTAATATAGTGGGTCCATAAACCAAAAGACGCACTCCAATAGATACCTTCCTTTGGTTGATCAGAAACAGTAAATTATAAAGATTCCCATGGTGCCATGTTCTTTTCACACTTAATCCCAATGGATTCTTGTGTCTAGGTACACTTTCACTGGAATATATACTTTTGAATCACTTGTAAAAATCCTTGCAAGAGGCTTCTGTATAGGAGAATTCACTTTCCTTCGTGACCCATGGAACTGGCTTGATTTTGTCGTCATTGTTTTTGCGTAAGTACTTTCAGTTCTTTGAAATGCCAAATTCATGAAAATCTCAGCACAATGTTCCAGTAAGAACAAAGCTTTGGGGTCTGACTTTTCCTGCATATAATGATTGTATTTAAAGGATACTATATGAAAGCTAGTATTGATAGGCAAATGTTGATCTTTTCAGAAAGAACATTTCCCACTCAAAGGTATATGACGTCATTAAGATTGATCATCTCCCTCTACACTCGGCACTTAGATGGACAGTCCATGTGGTGCCAATTAGGTTCACACTTTTTCCAAGTTCTTATTTAAAGCCTAATAAAACCTGTAAGAATCACAGAAAAAACTCAGGCCTTTAATTAGAAGCATGTTGATTTTTTTTTGTTGTTAACCTATCCTATTCAAGAGCGAATAAGTATATTGGAATATAGAAGTAAATATTTTTGCAAGGGCTGTCACTGCACACTGTACCTAACTTTAATGCACTGTATATGTATTGCATATGCATCCACAGTTTATTTTTAAGGGAAAAATATGACATTAAAATATAACTTTAATTTATTCATATTGCTGCTCTTTTCCCAAATGTATTTGTCAGAAACATTTCTTTACTTTAAATTGTAAAAGCAATGCATGTTCATTGGAGGAATTTAGAGAATATAGAAGGGTCTTAAGATTTCTAGTCTCCTCTAGTCCCCTCCCCCACCTCCTTGTCCATCAGGCTCACTCCTTTCCTGGTCACAGATGGCAGCTGCGGTTCCACCTACTGCCTGCTGATAAAACCACATTGTGTGGAAGAAGGCTGCCTCTTCTCAGGGGTCTTCACTTTTATTGAGATATAATTTACATACCATAAAATTTACCCATTTAAATATGAAAATCAGTGTTTTTTTAGTATGTTGACAAAATTGTACGCAAATCACCATTCTAATTCCAGAATATTTTCATCACTTCAAAAAAGCAGCCACTTCCATCCCCTTCCCCCCTCAGTCCCTGGAAATCACTCATATGTGTTTCATCTCAATGGATTTTGCCTGTTCTAGACATTTCATATGAATGGAATCTTACAGTATGTCACCTTGTGTGTCTGGCTTCTTCCATAGCATACATTTTCAAGGTTTGCCGCTGATGTTTTATAGGGTACTATTAAATATCTACATTACCATAATGTTGAGGTCTAATAATTGAAACATTTCATTGTTTAGGCATTTAAGTGTATGAAACCATTTTAATAATATATTTGTATTTTGCTGACATTAAATAAAATTCATTACGATGGGAAAAAAAGACTTGCAGAACGATACATTTAAATAAGTTCTAAATGTGGGATATACCTTGACTAAAGGCACAGGTAAGTATCATAGACTCTGTGTGAATTCTGAATAACTCTGATTTAATTCTACAGGTATTTAACAGAATTTGTAAACCTAGGCAATGTTTCAGCTCTTCGAACTTTCAGAGTATTGAGAGCTTTGAAAACTATTTCTGTAATCCCAGGTAAGAAGTGATTGGTGTGAAGCATTAGGCCACTCATAACTCCAACTATTTGGGAGATGTTCTTTGTTTGTTTGTGTGTGTGTTGTCACTGTGTTTGTGTGTAAACTCCCCCATTACAGATATGTGACAGAGTTTGTGGACCTGGGCAATGTCTCAGCGTTGAGAACATTCAGAGTTCTCCGAGCATTGAAAACAATCTCAGTCATTCCAGGTGAGAGTGGGGTTAAACACCGAGGCTGACTTTGTTCTTTTGGAGGAAAGCCAAGGAAAACTTTCTCTTATGGAATTTTAATTAAATTTGACTTCTTACGTTTTTCACAATTGTTATTAAAAGTCAGCCTTTGAGTTTAATCAATTGCATGGGTCTTAGAGGATGAAGATGACCATTTGGCTCACATCTCAACTTGAAATTTTCCCTCCTAACAGTTCATTTTCCATTTTCCTTTTCCAGGACTGAAAATTTCAACTTGTTTTAATTGCTTTTCATATAGTTAAGAAAAGAGAGAAAAAATATCAGCATGGGAGTATTGCATGACACACTGTTTTTTTAATCTTTCCTCAACAAACCATTTCTTAACTGAAAAACTAGTAAATTGTAACTATCTGCTGCAATTCAGCCTCTTCTTTGTTTTGGTGTCATTATAGAGAGATGGTTTGTTTGACAAGCATTTACTGAATTAGCACTTTTAAAAATTATTTTCACAACTGAGTGTGGATATGGTCTGAGCAACCAAATTTTTCATTTTGACCATTTGGCTATTCTTTGGAAATATTTTACAGTTTCTAATCATTTACTGTAATGTATAGAAACAAAATGTATATATAAAACAGCAAATCCACCCTTTTGAGCTAGTAGGCTTTTTCTGAATTCAGTTATCTCAGGTCATTGATTTGCTATCATGCATGCATTTCTAGGAAATGCTTGCCTTTTGTTTCTGTTTCTCGTTCAGAGGCTTTATTTCATCAGGAACATCTTTTGTTCCCCCCGCTGTATTCAGGCCTGAAGACTATCGTGGGGGCTCTAATCCAGTCGGTGAAGAAGCTCTCTGATGTCATGATCCTGACCGTGTTCTGTCTGAGCGTCTTTGCGCTGATCGGGCTGCAGCTCTTCATGGGCAACCTGAAGCATAAATGTCTGCGGAATCCACTTGAAAACAACGAAACATTAGAAAGCATAATGGATACCCTTGAAGAAGAAGACTTTAGAAGTAAGAGCGTCCCTACAGTTGTTAATAGGCTGAAATAAGGCTACAAGTATTACTGTCTTTTAGCAATTAAATGTTGCTTTCATTTTAATTATTCCAAAATTATTCAAATATATAAAAAGTTGCTACAGTGCAAATTTACATATGTTATATTTTCATAAATCTCCCTGGTTCTAAGCTTTTTAGCTGTTCTGGTGATGGAAACATGAGATAGTTCCATAATTCTCAATTTTTGTATGATAAAAAAGAATAAATTTGCTCTGCAGAAAGAAATTTAGCTATGAATTAATAATATTAGCCATTACATTTCATTACAAGATATATATTTTATATAATATAATATTATTGAATAATTCATAATTATGTTTACTTTATAGTGTTATTCATTATATGATAATATGTTTTTACACTTGTACTTCTAACATCATATAGTTAATTATAACAATAATATTATTACATATCAAAATGTCTCGATATTATTTTTGAAGATCTGTGTAAAGCAGAACAGTTTACTGTGCTTTATCAACGCTATCTTTATATTAGAACCATTGATGAGTTTCACAGCTCTTTCTAATGGCTTCCCTCAGTCTAGCAATGGCGTCACATCCAGGTTTAATTCATCAGAAGTAGCTCTGTAGGTACCGTATAAGGTGATCTGTACCCACAGTCTCAGAAGCCTGCTTACTTCACAAGTGTGTTTCACAGAAAGCACGAACTTCATGTTTTCTGAACAACTATCCCTTAATACAGTTTCTCTCACTGGAGCTGTTGATGAATTTGGGTGAGAATGAACTTGAGCAAGATTGTACTTTCTGTCTGACACCTGCCATGTGTCTGTATGATGTTGCCCGCATGAGCCCATAAACCTCAATAGATAATTAGATCCAGAGGTGGCGTGGAAAGCAAGAAATCTTTCAAATATATGTGTCTTTGACAGAAGGAGATCAGGCAGTAAAGGTCAGGATTCTCCTCGGATAATAAAGGAACATATACATCATCTATTTATTTTACTAAATGTTTATTTTCCCACTCACTGGGGAAGATTAAAAAAATAATGAAATATAGCTAATATAGTAAAATACTGTAAATAAAGAAAACAGAAAAAAATAGAAGCTTAAAACAAGAAAGCTGAAGTTTTTCAAGTAAAATATTTAATGTATATTTCTTTACTACCAGTATTTGATGAGGAATTTAGTACGTATTTCCTTCCTTTTTATCTTATTTTTCCAGTTTCTGATTTTGATTAATATGATCTTAAATTTTATTTCCAAAGAATTTTATTTCTCAATTTATATGCCATAAAAAATTTGTTTTATAGGTAATTGTTGACATTTACATTCTGTTTTGTGAATCAGTATACAACTCTTATTTAAACTTAACTTTTTTTACTAGGATCACTATCGGCCCTTTTATTCTGAATTTTGGCCCTGTTCCTGAGTTTATAATTTGAAAGATTTTTTTAACCTTCTGGAATTGTTTCAAGCAATTTTTTTTTTGAAAAGAGTGGAAAGAGGGGCTGGCCTGGTGGTGCAGCAGTTAAGTTCTCACCTTCCACTTTGGCGGCCCAGGATTTGCCAGTTCAGATCCTGGGTGCGGACCTACGCAATGGTTGTCAAGCCATGCTGTGGCAGGCATCCCACATATAAAGTAGAGGAAGATGGGCACAGTTATTAGCTCAGGGCTAGTCTTCCTCAGCAAAAATAGGAGGATTGGTGGTAGATGTTAGCTCACGGCCTATCTTCCTCAAAAAAAAAAAAAAGGAGTAGAAAGAGCCCTTGAATTTTGCAATGTATCTTCATGTTGCATTTGTACATGAATGAATGACAGCTTAGCTAACAATGACATTTTATACCCCACAATCCTCTCCCAATTCTGTACATTATTCTTGATTTTCTTCTAAAATATAGTTTTAGAGAGGTGATGTTTGTGTCAAGTCTGAATTTGGTTTCCTACCTGTTTTCCGGGTTGTAGAAGCCAGGTCTTACTGCAGTATTTATTCCAGCATTCAATTATCAACGTGTGTTTATTAAGTGCTTCCCTGAGGTAGACACTGTGCAAGTTTCTGAAGCTATAGCAATGAACATGATGGCCTCAGCCCCTACTTTCACAGACTTTATATTCTAGTGGGAATGAAAGATTAAAAAGAGGGAATGGACAGACAAATAAAAGGTATTGCAAGTTTAATAGATGCTATGCAAAGAAAGTAAATCTCCAGGACTGAGATACCAACTAAAGGAGAAGACCTCTCCAAGGATTTAAACAGAGATCTAAAGGATGATAAGAAGTCGTAAAATAGTGTAAGTGTAGATGGGAGGGTGTATGGGGGCTACTGCTTGAGTTAGAAGGAATAGCATGTGGAAAGACCCTGAAACAAGAAAGAATATTATGTGTTTAAAGAATGGAAAAACAGTAGTGTGGTTAACTTCAGCAAAGGAGAGACAGATGGCCAATGGAGAAAGTAAGAGAAAAACGCAGGGATCATATCATGAAGGATGATTTAGCCCATGGGAAGGAGTTTGGATTTTATTTTAAATGCAGTGGTTTGACTCACTTTTTCTGCCATATGGAGAACTGGTTGGGCAAGGCTGGATGGTAGATTGGTATAAGGAAGGCCAGTTATGATGTTGTTTCTTTTATTCAAAGAAGAGAAGATTGTGGCTTCATCTAGAGTGGTGGTAGAAAGTGATGAGTAAGTTCAAGATAAAATCTACAGAACTTGCTGATGGATTAGAGAACAGAGGAGGGCTTGAGGAAGTCTTCTAGGTTTCTGACTACAGTAACTGGATGAGTGGCAATGCGAATTGAGAGAAAGGTGGCAGGTTTGTAGGGAAAAGTCACTATTAACCCATTAAAATTAAGATGTCATTGAGAGCTCCAAGTGGAGATAAAAAGTAAACAATTGGAGATTTAAGCACAGAGATTAGAGGGACTGCCTGGCTTGGAGTTACACATTTCAAAGTAATCAGTAGAAAGAAAGGATATATACACACATACATCATTCTGGAAAACCCTGACGTTTATAAGTAGGTAGAGAATTGGCAAAGGAAGTTTAAAGCAAATTTAGTGTTTAAAAGATGTTCAACTCCATAACCCTAGGAAATCAGGTGGAGAGGAGGACCCAGAAAGACACAGAGAAGGAGGAACCAGTAAAATAAGAAGCAGAGATATTAATTGTGAAGCCAAGAGAAGAAAGTATGTTGAGGAAAAGGGAATGCTTGTGTTGAATGATGCTGCAAGACCAAGGATTAAGAATAATGAAGATAGAGAAATATACATTAGCTTGAACAACAAGGAAATCATCAGAGACTTTCATGAGAAAATTTTAGTAGAGTACTAGGAGCACAAGGTTGGACTAAGATGGTGACGGGTGAATAAGATGTCAGGAAGAAGACAAGACAGTATGCGTAGAAAATTCTTTCATAAATTTGGCTGTAAAGGGAAGCAGAATAATGGGGACAATGGCTGGTATTTTTTTAAAGATGAATTTTCATAGGGATATTTTTCTAGTGATAGAAATGAATAAGAAGTAAAATATGGATTAATAATTCAGGAGAGACGGGAGAAGTCAAGACGTTGAGAAAGTGGAAGAACAAAGAGGAGAGACATCTCCACCATTGAAGCAGGAGGAAAGATGGAGGAGCAGGCTGAAGAGTTATTAGAAAAGGATTAAGTCAAACCCAATGGCTTTTATTTCCTCAGAAAAGTGTAAGATGGGATCATTGACTGACAGTGTAAATGAATAAGAGGAAATTTTACAGAAGGTTTGAGGCGAATGCACTCTGTGGTCATCTTAGGGAATGGAACATGGAGTCTATTTTGAGTGCCAATTTTATATCAGAGATCATCTATTTAAAATGTAATCATTCACTTGGATGTGGGAGTTTCTCCAATAACATTCCGCCACTTGGGAGCAAGTATGGAGTAGGCGAATGCTAGATTATGTGTGGGATTAGGGTTCTTCCAGGTTAGTACGATAGACTGTGAGAGAGGCATGAAGTTGAGGGAATTGTAAGACAGTGATGATAATGAATGCTCGTGGATTCTAAACTGGACAAAGAAAGAACTGAATTCAAGAGTTGGTTGATAGATCATGAGAAAATTGTGAGCTAAATGAATTCAAATTCTTGAAGACATCAAAGAATTATAATGGTAAAGGCAACCTACATACAAAACCTGAACATCTTCTAAAACTCTTTTCTGGGACATACAGCAAAGCCTCTTTGGAGGTGCTTTTTTAATTCATTATCACTGTCTAGCCTCATGTTCGATAACATAAAATTTATAAATTTCCCTTGGTGCTGCACATTGTCTACTTTGACACTCATCAAACTTCCTTGCTACTACAGATGAAGGAAGTGTTCATGTGCAGAGTTCATAGCTAAATTTCCAGGAGTTATTGGGCATTATATAGTGCGGTTCTATTGGCATAAAGGGGGATAGTCTCTTACTACTGGTCTGCACTACTACCAGGGCTTTTCCTGACTCCTTCATGTACAGCTCTTTCTTTGTGGGGACTACATCTCCCAGAATGCAGTGTGTCATGTGCAGGCAGTCTGCCTCTACCTGATTCCCTGAACTAGTCTTCTCCAAGTTGATTTATTGTCCCTCGGTTAGGGAATAAACCCTGGGTTCTGAAAGCCCAAGCCATACATAGGTTGCTATAAGCTGTCTTTCTGAGCCAGGTCAGATAAAACTAATCACGGAATGTTTAGGTCACCAACTATTTTTACCATTCTGCTCCAATGCCCTCAAGTCAGTAGAAAATTACCCCAGAATCTGCCCTAGATTGAATATCAGTCCAGATTTTTGTTGTGTGAATTTTGTAATTTTCTGTTTCTTTTTTTCCCTCTTTGTATTTTACTGTGAAGTGGAGACTTATCCATTACTACTCACCGCCTTTGCCATGATACTGCATTATACTTATTTAACAGCTTTATTGAGAAATAATTCACATACCATAGAATTCCCCCTTTTAAAGTGTACAGTTCAGTGTTTTGTAGTGTATTCACCGAGTTGTGCAACCATCATCACTTTCTAATTTTAGACTATTTTCATCTCCCTCAAAAGAAACCCTGTACTCACTGGCGATCATTCCCCGTTCCTTCCTCCCCCGAGTCCCTGACAACCACTAATCTGCTTTCTGTCTCTATGCGTTGGCCTATTCTGAACATTTCTTATAATTGAAATCATGCAATATGTGGCCTTTTGTGTCTGCCTTCTTCTACTCAGCATATTTTTAAGGTTCATCCGTGTAGCGTGTAGTAGTAATTCATTTCTTTTTATTGCTAAATAATATTCCGTTGTATGTATGTATTACATTTTGTTCATTCATTAGTTGATGGACATCTGGGTTGTTTCCACTTTTTGGCTATTGCGAATAATGCTGCTATGCACGTTCATGTGTAAGTTTTACTGTGGACATATGTTTTCATTTTTCTTTGCATTACATTTTTGCTTTACATGTTGACCTTAAATTCTCTTGAGGCTAATTATCCTAATAATTTAACGTCCACTTGCTTGGTAATTAAAGTATTCTGCAAGACGAGAGTGAGCCACTCCCATTGCTTTACCTTTCATCATTCTTGTACTGGATTGAGTATGTTAGCCCTGCACATGCTAGTACAGGCAGCTCAAGAGCCCATTCTTACAGGGCAGCTCCTTGATTGGTAAATGGGAACCAGTGTTACTTTAAAGGATAATTCTAAAGTAATCCTTCCCTAAGAAAAATATCTTGAAGGCTCATGTATAAAAAGTTGCATCTTAACCCCCTCCATCCTCATTCTTGTGTGCCCACCCTCCTGAGGCACAGGATTTTTTTTCAATAAAGTTGTTCATGCACACTCTCACCTAAATTTTTACCTCAAACTAAGAGGCTTTATTGTTTTCTTTGTGTCTTCTAAAATTTGTGTCTTCTGTGTAGGACAAAATGATGATGTGTAAGTCAGTCAATTAATCTTATCTGAAATTGTTGAATAGTTTAATAATTGCTGCTCTTTGAGCAGCTGTGTAGAATGTGTGGATCACTGCATTAAGTGCTTTACATGAAGTATCCTATTTAATACCATTCAACACCTCTACAAAGTAAGTATTCTTGTCCACGTTTAACAGATACAGTGGTTAAATCTTAAAGTGGTAAGATAATGTACCAACATAGGAAGGGGGAGAAGCAACATTCAAATCCAGGTGTATCTGACTTCAACGTCTTTCTTCTACTATTACTCCAAAGCCTCCTGATAATTATATCTTTATTCTTTGGACTTGAGCCAAACAGGAAGTTGGGCCCTTGTTAAAAACAATGGATTTTTTTAAAAATCCTTTATACCTTTACTATAGATGTTTGGATCAGCTTCCTGTCTTAAGAATAAGTCTCCATTACATCTGAAAATGGCCACAAAGTGTACCATGCATGAAAGGGGAAGTGTGCATTTCTTTCACTGCTATATCCTGAACGTCTGGAACTTAGTAATTCCTAAATAAATATTGGTTGGTGAATAAAGAAGAGAATGTCAGAAGACAAGTTTTGTCCATTTGTAGTTTTGCCTTGCTGACTGTACCTTTTCAGGACTACTCTGGGGCTCAATCAGGGGCTCCCTTCCTTCTCTTCCCTTCCCCAGCAACACCTTCTCTCTGGGTTAACTCATCAAGTCTGATGGCTTTGAAAACTATCTACTTGTTGGTGACTCCCATCTTTAGGTCTCCATCCTTGATAGCTCTACTGACCTCAAGACTTTCATATCCATCCGATCACCTACTTTATAATACCTAATAATTATCTCAAACTAAGCACAGCTGAAATAGAACTCCTGGTTTTTCCTCAGGCCATTTTGTTCCCCAGTCTTCCTCATTTCGGTAACTGGCGCCACCGTCTTACCAATGGACCTGTCTTTGTGTCCTCTCTCTTCCTCACACCCCACGTGCACTCCATCCACAAATCCCTGTCCACTCTATTTTCATCTTCTCTCCATATCCACAGCTACTCTTTGAACATTAGCCATGTCGTCTCTCACAGTAGTCACTTACCTTGTATCCTTGCTTCCACACTTGCTCTCTTGTAGTCCATAGTCCACAAAGCAACCATAGAGACTCTTTAAAATGGTAATTATTCTCTCATGTCTTTGCCTTCCACTTCTATTATTTCTAATCATACTTAAAATCAAAACTCCTTTCCAGGACATGCAAAGCCTTACACGACCTGGCCCCTGTCTGCCCCTGCCACCACAGTCCTCCCCACTCACTACATGTAGCCAGGCTGGCCATTTGCTGTTTCTTCCATACAACAACTTCATTTCCATCTCAGGCCTTTGCTCTTGCTCTTCATCCTGCCAAGATGTTTCTTCACCAGGATCTTGGAATGGCTGCCTTCTTTGTAGCATTTAGGTCCAGTTAAAATGTCATCTCTTTAGAAAGGGCTCTCTGACCACATTTTATCACATTTTCTTAATTTAGTTTCTTTGGGGCATTTATCACTATCTGAATGTACCTTGTATATTTATTTATTTACTTAAGTGTCTTCCTCTATCCCCAACCTCCACCTCTACCTAAACGTAAAGAAAGTACCATAAAACTAATGATCTTGTTTATCATCGTATTCATTGCCTGGCCCATAAGAGGTTATTAATAGACCTTTGAGGGAAACTATATGAGAATATAAAAATAAATGAATGTGTATTCCTGGGACCAGGCCTGAATGTGTGTGAATATGTCTATATTAATTAACTCACCTGCTATATCACTCTTAAAGCTTACACTCCATAATGTTATATTGTTCAATTTCTTCCTAAACAGAATATTTTTATTACTTGGAGGGATCCAAAGATGCTCTCCTTTGTGGCTTCAGCACAGATTCAGGGTATGTAATATTTGTTTCGTTTTAGTCTAAAGGCTGCAAAAAAAAAGGAAAAGCATACTCGGTTTGCTAATCAGAACCTTTGATGCTATATTATTTTCACGTATTTCATGGCATTATTTGACCCATTCTGTCCCACAGCAAGTCCAGACTTTAAAACATCCCTAGTTAATGAATATTTTTGAAAGCAAGACTTTGAGGTAATGTTTGAATTCAAACAAGATACAAGTCATACAAACCTTAAGAAAGTAAAAAAATTACTTCCAGAAAACCTCACCACGAGGTGATTGGATAGTTTCAAGCCTTTCTTCTTTCTGGAAAAAAGAGTGACAAAATCAACTTTGCTTTCCATCCTCAAATTCTACTCATTCTCCAATAAAGTATGACTCATAGGTGACTAAATGCAGTGACATTTTGGCCACTCTAAACAAAAGGATCCCATTGATTTGAGTAAAGATGTTTTAAGAATCTCATATTTATGCAAATACCCATTTTTCTCTTTCTCCTATACACCAACTTCATTTCTGCTGCAGGATCTTTGTCTTGCTCTCCCCCTGCCCAGATATTTCCTCACCAGGCTCTGTGTACACTGGGGACGTTAAAAATAAACAAGATAATGTTGCTGCTCCCAAAGACACCTCAGAACACTGTGTTTGTGTACAGTCACGCATTGCTTAATGATGGGGATACATTCTGAGAAATGCGTCATCAGGCGATTTTGGTCATTGTACAAACAGCATAGAATGTACTTACACAAACCTAGATGGTATAGCCCACTACACATCTAGGCTAGATGGTACTAATCTTATGGGACCACCATCCTATATGTGGTCCATCGTTTACTAAGACATCAATATGCGGCACATGACTGTAATGGCATCGTAGATACCAATCCATCAGTTTTAGAAAGAAAAAAGTCTTAAAACTGAAAATCTTTATGAACTTACACAATTGCTATATTTTGACTATTTTTGGTTCTAATTCACTCCAAGAATAATTTGAGGGGACTCAGTTTTGATAGAGGTCTACAAATCAATCTTTATGGATACAAGAACTATTGTAAGACATCTGGTGGAAGTTTCCAAGTTTTGATGGCGATGATGATGAAAAACTAATAGCTACTACCATTTATCAAATGCTTTCTAAATGCAGGAACCAGGCTAGGTAATTTGCATACATGATCTTCTTTAAACTTAATAACAATCTTAACCTTTTGTAGTAGGTGTATTTTCCTGTTTTCACAGAAGGAGGAAACTGTGCCTTGAAAGATTTAAGCAATTTGACAAAGTCACCAACTAGTCAGTAGCAGGGGTGGGATTCAAACTCGGTTCTTCCTGACTCCAGATAACGTGTTCCTTATCCTTATTCAATAGTGTCCCCCTAGAAAAGGATCCTTGAGTTTCTGACTGTTCTGTAGTACTCTTTAGCTTGCATTCTGAAGGCATCCTAACTTGTGATATTCTTTTTCATATGCAGTCAGTGTCCAGAAGGGTACATTTGTGTGAAAGCTGGCAGAAACCCCGATTATGGCTATACGAGCTTCGACACTTTCAGTTGGGCTTTCTTAGCCTTGTTTCGGCTAATGACCCAGGATTACTGGGAAAACCTTTACCAACAAGTGAGTGCCAAGAGAAATATTCATTGCATTTTGGATGGCATAAAAATCTGATGGATGTTCCTTACCAACCTTATATATGAGATGTTTTATTCTATTTAGAATGGAGAAAACTGTTGTCTTATTACGAAAATTAGACATGGTTTATTTCCAGCACTATTAGCATGGATACTTTTTTAAATCATAAATTATTTTCTTATCTTTTCTTGGCTTATTTGATTTCTAGTTTTCTTTCCCTCTCTCTGAATACAGCATCCCATGGGGTCCTAAGTAAATGATAGGAAATATGCTGTAATCTTCTCTCATAGCACACCCACACACAGACTGCTTTCCACATCTGCCTCCCTGCTTGGAGTGCCCTGAACACCAGACGCTCCTTTGCTCACGGTGCTTTATTTTTTGAACTCCCATGTACAATTGTTAGGGATTGAATTGTATCCCCCCAAATTCATGTGTTGAAGTCATAACTCCCAGTACCTCAGAATGACTATATTTGAAGTTAAGGCCTTTAAAGAGGTAATTAAGTTAAAATGAGGTTTTTAGGGTGGGTCCTAATCCAATCTGACTCGTGTCCTTATAAGAAGAGGAGATTAGGACAGGAGAGACACCAGAGGGAGACAGCAGAGATGCACACACAGAGAAAAGGCCATGTGAGGACTCAGGGAGAAGGTGGCCATCTGCAAGGCAAGGAGAGAGGCCTCAGGAGAAATCAACATGCCGACACTGATCTTGGACTTCCAGCCCCTAGAACTGTGAGCAGTTGATTTCTGTTATTTAAGCCATCCAGCCTGTAGTATTTTGTTATGGCAGCCCTAACAAACGATTATAAGAATTAAAGACTCAATTCACTTCCTAAATTTGCCTCTCCCAATTCAATTGCTCCTTCCTCTCAACTTCCATGCCCTTTGAATATTCTTCAGTTTATAGCATCCATCTCTTCTACTGTAATTGTTAATTCACATGGTTATTTCCTCTAACTTGAATATGAACCTCTTGAACCTGTGGGCTCTATCGTTGTTTTACTTATATATTCTCAGCACCCAACCCCAAGAGGAAGGAGACCAAAATGATTATTCTGAATCTTGAATAATAATGAATCACTTTGCTCAGAATTGCTGCAGATTCTTCTTTTGGCCTGTTTTATGTTTATTTAATTTCTGAGATTATTATAAATGAGTACAGAAATTATAAGAAAATATACTTCACAGGAAAAAAGAAATGCAAATGACTTCTTAAATATGCAAAAAGATGCTCACCTTTACTCAAAATTAAAGAAATGCAAATTAAAATTAGAGTGACATAATTTTTTACCTGTCATAATGACAAAGATATATATACCTTTGACTGATATATGAGGAGGCAGACTTTCCCCCCCATTGCTGGGTACCACTGCTGAGGATAACAAGGAAATTTCTATGAAAGTTAAAATGAGTATACTCATTAATCTAACAATTCCACTACCAAGAATTTATCTAAGAGAAGATATCAGTAACCACAGTAACTAACAAAAAGGGAATATGAGTAACTCGACATTAGAGATTGAAAGGAGAGACTTACTTTTCATTTAATACCTGTTTGTACTATTTGAATGTTTTACCATATATACATTTTAAATTTTTTAGTACATGTTACTTAAAAATAAACATAAAATGAATAGATAAATCCATATAATAAGGCTATCTACCTTATGTGAACATAATCTATCATTATTACTGCTTCTTGTTAAAGATAGAATTTTATTAGTAAAAAAGACTAGATATTATCTGGTCCTATAATTTGAAAATAAGTAAAGCAGCTAGTTTTTGAGAAATTTTCAGATTGTGGAGAAAAAATTCAAGGTTATTATTATACTTAATAATAATCAAGAATCATACCTAATTTTAGTACAAGTTTAATAGATTGCTATATCCTTTGCACTGAAAAAGTGTGTATTTTAAAACATTCTCTTCCATGGAGATACAATTTTATTCCTTTATATTTTTGATAACATGAGATTATACAGAACTGCCCTATTTACCCATGCCTAACATGCCATTCAAGTTGAAACAAAGAAATTTGTTTTATTAAAATAATTTCCATTTTTCCCTAGACACTGCGTGCTGCTGGGAAAACCTACATGATCTTCTTTGTTGTGGTGATCTTCCTGGGCTCCTTTTATCTAATAAACTTGATCCTGGCTGTGGTGGCCATGGCCTACGAAGAACAGAACCAGGCAAACATCGAAGAAGCTAGGCAAAAAGAGTTAGAATTTCAACAGATGTTGGATCGTCTTAAAAAAGAGCAAGAAGAAGCTGAGGTATTGTTATTTGGTTTAAAATTCTTCCTAGAAGTAGACATGCAAAGGAGAACAACAGAGTCCCTGTGGCCTTCCCTAAGGAGATTTTCCTTAATGGATTTCTTAATGTAAACTGCGTTTTCCTTCTGGTGTGGTCAAAGGAACCAATTCTGGCTTGAGTTAGAATTGACATCTGTCCCACCGCTCTTTTACCCATAATCAGCTCCCTCCAGCACAAAGACCATTCTAAGCTGTTCCTCATAAGCCTGTTACCCACGATGCCTCAGTATGTATGACATTATGCAAATTCCCAAAACATATATGATGTATTTCCCCGGAGTAACAATTCTGTACAAAAATGTAGGGAAAATTATTTTAATGTTAACATTAACAGGTACTCTATGGGGTAGAAAGCAAAATGTGCATCAATTTTTGTTAATGTTGCAATGATTTTTAAGATAAAACATGAGTTGTTAAGAAAAGCATACTTATGATTGTGGCCACTTTAGGCTAAGTCACAAATTCTTGAAGATTTTTTCTTACTCCTCTCTCTAAAGGGGTGCTTCAGTGGAAACATTTGAGAAGGTTTATACTAAGAGAATCAAAATTTCAAATATTCTGCAAGAGTCTTAAAATTTCTTCGACGGTTTGACCTAGTTAAATCTCTTTGAGGAATCTAATATGTTGGGAGGAGGGTAGATTTTCTGCATCTGTAATGCAGAAAAACTTTGATGCAGAGACTTGTTTGGTGTAGTATTTTAATAATATTAAACATTAGAAAGCACTTAAGTTTTCAAAAATTCAAAAATTAAGAGGATTATGACATTTTTGTATTATTCAGCCATAAAATTATGTGTTTTAAGAATATCATGACAGGAAAAGGTGTTAGTACAACAATGTATTAAGTAGTAGGATACAAAATTGAGTATAAGATACAAAAAATCTAAAAATTATGTGTATAAAGACTGGAAGAAATATTACTCCAATTATTTTGGGTTGTAGGGTTATGAGTGATTTTTATTTTTTGTCCACAATATTTTTATTTTCCAAATTTTCACAAAGATTGTTTATTTTAATAATAAAAACTTAGTTTTTTTTATACAGTCATGCATCGCTTAACAATGGGGATACATTCTGAGAAATGCATTGTTGGGCAGTTTTGTCATTGTGCGAACATCACGGAGTGTACTGAAGGAGGAACAAAATTTACCACCCCAAAATGTCTCTCTTTAATGTGAGGATTATTTTAGGCTGTTTTCTTTTTTTTTCATGAGGAAGATTGTCCGAGCTAACGTCTGTGCCAGTCTTCCTCTGTTTTGTATGTGGGACACTGCCACAGCATGGGTTGATGAGCAGTGTGTAGGTTGGTGCCTGGGATCTGAACCCAGGAAACCCTGGCCACCAAATTGGAGCCTGGGAACTTAAGCAGTACACCACCGGGCTGGCCCTGGGCTGATTAGTTTTAAAAAACAAGACTCAGAAAGTTTGTCTCGTTACCTCCCCCTTAACTGCCTAAAAGAATTCAAATTAAAAACACCTGTCTCAGGAAGTGAGCTATCACCTTAGCGCAACATGAACTAGGTGGTAGAGAGAGAGAAAGCTAGAAAAGTCTGCTTGTTGGGCTCCTCTCTGTCTTCTTCTCTTTCTATGTGGCAAAACACTTGTTTCCAAACATTTGCTCCTTTTCACCTACCTGTGAATTGCCTTCTTTCCCTTTGAAGTCCCTGACTCCTCCCATCCCCAACATCTTCTTTTGTCTTTACCTGAGGATGACATTTAAGGGAGGGCATTGGCCATTTTGGCAAGTTACTTGGTTTTTCTGGGTTTCTCCCAAGTATATGCTATTAAACCTTTGTTTGTTTTTTTCCTGTTAACTTGTCTCATGTCAATTTAATTCTTAGACCAGCCAGAAGAACCTAGAAGGATAAAGTAAAATTTCTTCCTTTCTTACAGTACTGACACTAACCTAGATGGAATAGCCTACTACACACCTAGGTTATATGGAACTAATCTAATGGGACCACTGTTGTATATGTGGTCTGTCATGGACTGAAATGTCATTATGTGGTGCATGATTGTAAAGGGGTAACACTAGATTATCCCAGGAATTTCCCAGGGAACCACTAGGAAAGAAATCTCTTTCATTTTCTTCAGATATTATTCTGTAATAATTCATTTTACTTTTCAGGCAACTAATTTTTCATTAAACTATAGAGTGTCAGATTCTAATGATAATATTGAATTACTTACCTGGACAAGATATAAAACCAAATTATCTTAACACATGGTTTATGTGAGTTTCACATCCCAGAATTACCTAGTAAAACTTTCCCATGTACCATTAAAGATTGCTTTACTGTAAATAGAGTAATAGTAAATAATAGTTTAATTTCAAAGCACAATGGGGCTTTATTACAATGCAGGAGAAGCAATAAATATATTCTTTGTAAGCTCTCTGGTCATCGTGCAAAGAAAATGACATTATTTCGTGTACAAGGGATATGATTATATGCACGGTGTAATTAAATTAATGGTAGAGAGGATTTCCTCTCTCGTAATAGGATTTCCAAGACTTGGGAATGACTCACTGTGTGTGTGACCTCTTGGTTCAACAGGCAATAGCAATGGCAGCAGCTGAATATACAAGCATTGGGAGAAGCAGAATTATGGGCCTCTCCGAGAGTTCTTCTGAGACATCCAAACTGAGCTCTAAAAGTGCTAAAGAAAGAAGAAACAGAAGAAGGAAAAAAAATCAAAAGAAGCTCTCCAGTGGGGAAGAAAAGGGAGATGATGAGAAATTGTCCAAATCGGAGTCAGAGGAGAGTATCAGGAGAAAAAGTTTCCACCTTGGCATTGAAGGCCATAGGCGAGCACACGAAAAGAGACTGTCTACCCCTAACCAGGTACCTCAGAAACCGTCAAATGCATCTCCCTGGAGGCAGTATTATAGAACACAGTGTTTCCTTCTGAGGGTAGGGACCTCAGGAAAAGAGAGTGAGTGACTTCATCAGTATGTTTTTAGGTAAAAACCTATTGATTACTGGTCATTTATGGAAAGAACATAGATGTACATAGATTTTTAATTTGACCATTTTTAAAGAAGCTTACAGTTTCATAATTGTCATATCTTCTCTAATAAACAAATTTTCAAAACAAAATATTCGTGAGAACCATTGTAGAAATGAAGGAATTATTTACAGTAAAGATTAACTTTTACATTTTTATTTAGACTGTATTTTGTCATGCCTCATTGGTTAAAAACTAATCTTAGACTAGTTTCTCCTCTTTTCTTCACCACTGTAGGTACTGGTGTCACCAGAGTATCAGTCACCCAAGCTGGAAAGTTTGGAGACACCTTGCCAGTCCCCACCCACAACTGCATCAGCTACTCACATCTAGTCCCATAGTCTTATTTCTGCTTGTGTGCAATTTATGTTTCTTCCTTTTTCCACTGAAATCTCCATATTTCAGGTCTCCTTGCCTACGGACCTCCAAAATGAACCGTTGCTTCTATTCTCCTTAACACTTCCCTGTTTTCCATTGCACAACCTTTCCAAATCGTTTTTCTAAAACAAAGCTGTCCCTCTGCTCAACTTAAAAACAAAAAAACTCTGTTGAAAAGTACTGACTACAGAACCAGCCCCATATCTTATCCATGCTGTGGACTGACTTCAGCCTCATTTCCCACCTTTCTCTACCTTCAGGTACCCTCAGGCCACCATAATTGTCCATTCTTACCAACATCCTGTACTTTCACACCTTTATTACTTACTACACGTGGTTTTCTCTAAGTGGGATGGTTTTCTTCCTTGTTTTGCTCCTGCCATAGTACCACACAGTCTCACCCATTAGCTCAGGTGTCGCTTGTCCCACAAATTTTCCTCTGTCCTCTCCACTGCTGCCAATTTGCTGTTTGGTGCCCCACTCAGAATTACTATCCTTCTCATCTGTCTTCATTTAAAATTTTTAGCTTCTAGCAAAGTCTGCAAGACCCTGCCAGATATAAACAGAAATAAAAGATAGAGTCCCTGCCTTCAAAGACTTGGTAATCTACTTGGGGAGACAGACCTTGAATACATGCTCTATCAATAAAAAGAAATATGACAAGAAGTCCAAGCTAGTTTTAAGGCAACGACCTTGTCATACTCATTTCCATCTTCCACAAAGCCTGCCACTTTGTCCTTTACATAGGAAGCACTAGCATTTATTGAATTAGATAATTCCAAAGAATATGCATTCAATTTGGCTTGTGGGCACAGTTTATCCTGGACGTGAGTCATCTAAATGTGACTTTTTTTCCCTCTTTGGTATTGGGCAACTTCTTTTCCAAGTTCTAATATTTTATGACTTTGTAAACTCATTGGTATTAAAAGATCTTTCTTAACACACCTTAACTGAGCTCTCAATATGTAAGTTGGATTACAAGCAATGGAATGCAAAGAAGCATAGAGTGGTCTTTGGCCTCAAGAAAGTTTCAGTACTTATGGAACTTAGGGATTGATACATGAAAAGCTAAATAGCAGATATAAATACCAAATTCATTTTTTAAGTGGTATGTTCTTTATAGCAAAATGAAAGGTACAGAAAGAATGGAGAAGTCACTCTACGCTGGAATAGTAGAGAACTCTCCAGCAACGAATAATTTACCTGGTCCTAAAAGGATGAATTCTTCCAGTCTTTTCATCCCTTATTTGGAATGATTTTGTCTTCTTGCTGGATTGCTTTATTTTTAAATATGTTTCTTTTAAACCAGTGCAGAGTCACTGGCCCTCAGGTCAGTAGCTTCAGTGGTAGTTATGTGCTTCCACTTCTGTTTCTAGGTGCTTCAGCAGATACATGTCATCTTTTGTTTTTTCTGCAGTCACCACTCAGCATCCGTGGCTCCTTGTTTTCCGCAAGGCGCAGCAGCAGAACAAGTCTTTTTAGTTTCAAAGGTCGAGGAAAAGATATTGGATCTGAGACTGAATTTGCCGATGATGAGCACAGCATTTTTGGAGACAATGAGAGCAGGAGGGGCTCCCTGTTCGTGCCCCACAGACCTCGGGAGCGGCGCAGCAGTAACATCAGTCAAGCCAGTAGGTCCCCCCCAATGCTGCCGGTGAACGGGAAGATGCACAGTGCCGTGGACTGCAATGGTGTGGTCTCCCTGGTTGATGGACCCTCAGCCCTCATGCTCCCCAATGGACAGCTTCTGCCAGAGGTGATAATAGATAAGGCAACTTCTGATGACAGCGTAAGGACGTTTTAAATAGCTCAGGCATGGCTCGGCCCTTATTCTTGCATCAGTCAGTCTCTCTGCTGAAGGGACCTTCTCTCTGGTCCTGTGAATGGCTCTGCATTTTGCAATACTTTTTATGTTAAAAACACACCTTTAACTCATTAACTTAATCCTCATACTGTGTGTTGTAGACAGCTAATTCAAAAGATATTTAAAACCCCTCTTTTTAAAAAAGGTACTTATCTATTGATATACTTGAAGATTATAAATCATCCCTTGAGAATACCATTTATAAAAGATATACTTATCAGCACAGAACATGCATTGATAATGCTGATCTTATTGGTTCATAATGGTCCCATATCTGTGAGGAAATTTGGACTACATGTCACCTACTGCAATTTTTTTCAAGTCACTACTTAATATATAACTTATTGCAATGGATCTTATTTAAATTGTTTAATAATACTAATAATAATAGCAAACATGTATTTAGTACTTACAATAGCCCTATGAGGTAATAAATTATCATCCCTGTTTTCCAAATGGGGAAACTGAGGCACAGGGAAATAAAGCAATTTGTGCAAGGTCATCCAGCTAATAAATGGTAGTCCTAAAGCTCAAACAGAGCTTGTGCTCTTAAACACCGCACTTTCTCTCCAATGTATGGTAGGATTCTTTTTTTTTTTTTTAACATATTTAATTAGTCCTCTTTTAAGATTTTTTTTTTTTCCTTTTTCTCCCCAAAGCCCCCCAGTGCATAGTTGTCTATTCTTCGTTGTGAGTCCTTCTAGTTGTGGCATGTGGGACGCCGCCTCAGCGTGGTTCGATGAGCAGTGCCATGTCCGCGCCCAGGATTCGAACCAACGAAACACTGGGCCGCCTGCAGCGGAGCGCGCGAACTCAACCACTCAGCCACGGGGCCAGCCCCGATAGGCTTCTTAACTTAGAAATGATTTAGAATAACTATGCTTTTTTCCATCCATAAATGAAACTTATCATTTTCAATAAAATACAACAAAACTTGCCAGCCCCAGTGGCCTAGTGGTTAAGTTCAGCACATTCCACTTTGGCAGCCCAGGTTTGGTTCCCAGGAATGGACCTCCACAACTCATCAGTGGCCATGCTGTGGTGGTGGCTCACATACAAAATAGAGGAAGATTGGCAGCAGATGTTAGCTCAGGGCTAATCTTCCTGAGCAAAAAACAAAAAACCTCTTTGGTCTGGAGTCTATGAATAAAAACATAATAGCCAAAACATATACATTAATATAAACATACACATATAAAACAGAACTCCCATTCCAAGACAACAATTTCAAGAGTTTTGGAGTCATTGAGTGGTTAGAGAAAAAGGTCTGATTAGGCTTGAAAGTCAGGTCTTTCTGGTTTCTGGAGTTTCTAGGTTACCTCTTTAGGCCATTCACAATGTTACACTGCATTACTGAACATCAGCAAGGGCTTTACCTAACCTAACAAGCTTTGAACTCATGCTACTTATTCACATATTCATATTTGCAGACAATGTAGTATTTCAAGTGAGAATAAAGTTCCATCAAAGCCACAGCCACACACACATTTCAGTGTGAATGAATGAATGCATGTGCTTTTAGGTAACTTTGACCTCTATGCTTGCATGATACAGCTTCAGCCCTTTTGGTGAGGGATTTTTCCTTATCAAATGAGCATGTTAAATTTCTATGGAATCAGATCTTAATTGTGTCTTGCTTTTAAATTATGTGTATTATCTGTAAAATATTATGTAATTTATATCAGATTTGAGATTATTTCATATTTTTAAATGAATCATTTTTATTTAAAACTTTTTTTTACCATAGAAAAATAAGTATCACTATAAATCCTAAAACTAAAAACTACAAAGCTAGAGTAATTAGTGGATACTTTGAGATTCAATAGAAATGCAAAAACATACTAGTGTGGCATAATGTACAGTTTCGATGAAAATAATTGCATGACAAATAATATAACATTAACATCCGAAACATGTCAACATGGAGAAGAATTTGCTTAATCAAAAAATTCTTAATTGACTTGGCGAAAAAGAAATTTCTGCTTCTGGGAAGTCAGTAAATTAGAGGGTGTATCAGAGAAAACATGATTATAGAGAGATCTCTATAAAAAGCCGCCTGTAGATATATGTGTGTATGTGTCTGTGCACAGACACTTACACGTATACATACACACACACATGCACATATTTATGCCCATGTGCCTATGTTTTGATATACACACATATATAACTATATCCAAACAACTATACAACTTTACAACTGTAGGACTATGTATATATGTGTTTGTAAAATGGTGTGTGCATACACATGTCCAGACATACCACATACAAATAGATGGATGGATGATAAATGTAGAGTTGTAGAGTTGTTATGTATATATGTGTGTATGAGTATGTGTGTGTGTATTGTTGGCCTGCACTGAACTGGCATAGCGTTTTAACTTTGAATTCGTTGCCAAGATTTAGAAATAAGACGTTTTCACATAAAAATGAGTGTATCTGGTAAGACTGAGCTCGTATTCCTGCATGGCAGCAACCCTTTAAAGCTGAACAGTGGTCACCTCTCTTAGATGGAGCTTACATTCTCCATTTTGCTGCAGTTCCCATCGATCTTAATTGTCTTCTTCAAACTGAATCATTTATCACTATCTACTCAGAGCAGTTCATGAGATCCCCCTTGGCAGTAAGAAACGATCAGTACAGTTGCCTCCATTAACGCTGTTACCTCAACCAAGAATAATTACAGAAATTTGTCAGAGAATACTGAGGTTCTACCTCTTTACACGCACACAGCTATAACATTTGTTTTGCTGCTTTCACATAGCTTGTTTTGTTTTTCATTTCCTAGATGTTAATTCCTTTAATCTTCATAGCAAGAATATGAGGCAATTACTATGATTATTTTCATTTTACCAATGATGAAACTGAGACAGAGAGGTTAGGTAACTCTGCTGTGATACACAGCCAGTAAGTAGCAGAGCTGTTATTCAAACCCAGCAATCTAGTCTCTACTTTTAATTACTTACTAAAGCTACCTAAGCAAGATTTTATTTTATATCTATAATTTATCAGGATTCTACTCTTGAAGCTTAAATTAATCATCTCTTTGTTTTTAGGGTACAACCAACCAAATACACAAGAAAAGACGTTCCAGTTCTTATCTTCTTTCTGAGGACATGTTGAATGATCCCAATCTCAGACAAAGAGCAATGAGTAGAGCAAGCATATTAACGAACACTGTAGAAGGTTTGTAATAATATTCTCTTTACCATACAGATTGCTAAATAAAATTCAGGTAAATCCTGGTCAGCCTTAAATAGACACATCAAATTCTTAGGAAGAATTCAAAGAATATAAAGTGATTATAAGCAATAGTAAGGATAACCAATGGGTACTAACGGAATCATCCTTATGTGATTAAAAAATGGATAGTTATTTGTAATTAAAGGCAGGCATTGAATGATATGACCTTTCAAATATAAATGGCTTAATGGTAATGAATGAAGAAAGCAAAGTTAACTCAGGCTGAGTGGTTCTCTCACTTTGTATTGTTAGAAACTTTACATAGTGTCTTTGAATTTATCATCTTTCTAATATGCAAGAAAATAATACTTCCAGAAGTCTATAAATTGCTGCCTCTGAGCATTCTATAAAATTGTCAAATGATAACATGTGATGTGACATGTTAAGATTATGATGAAAAGGCATTGGAGAAAGCAGTTTCGAGAGTCTAATGTGAACAGTAGTGATCAGACCCTGAGATACACTCAGAAGAGTGTCAAAGGATGGCAGCTTCTACAGTGTGTTGGCTCCCACCCCCTCTTCCGACATTTGCCCCAGGTCCCATCATGTCCACGGGCTACCACTTCACCACCCCCTAAACAAATGATGGGCCCAGACAAAGTTTTCACCCACCTTCTAAATTTATGGTGAGAAGTAAATGGCTAATGGTATGAAATAGCTATTGCACAAGTCACTCCATAAATTATTTCTAGTCTCTTGGTTCTGGGATTGTTTTCATGTGTGAAATAGCAAGAGCTTTACCTGAATAGAGTTGTCTTATTGTTGTCATGAGATTAAGGACATGGGGGAATGTATGCATGTTGCTGGAAAATATACCTTTCTCCATTAAGAAAACATCTTTCTCTTGTTTATCATCCCGTGTTAGGTACACGTTTCTCTGAGAGAGACTCAGATCTGCTTTGGGTCATTAATTTCTCTGCCTTTCCCTCCCTTATGCTTTATCTTGTAAAGGAACATATGATATAAGATTTTTATGCATATGCTTGTTTTCATAGAAGCAGTACTGTTAAATTTGCAAAGTCTAAACTGGAAGACTTATTTCAATGTTAAAATGTACTGCTGATTTGTACCTGGTTAGCAATAAAATATACAAATAATTGACCTTATGTTCTCTTGGTCTTTTCCCCCCAGAACTTGAAGAATCCAGGCAAAAATGTCCACCTTGGTGGTACAGATTTGCACACACATTCTTGATCTGGAATTGCTCTCCATATTGGATAAAATTCAAAAAGCTTATCCATTTTATTGTAATGGATCCTTTTGTTGATCTTGCTATTACCATTTGCATAGTTTTAAACACATTGTTTATGGCTATGGAGCACCACCCAATGACTGATGAATTCAAAAATGTGCTCACTGTGGGAAATTTGGTGAGTCCTTTATGGTGTGTTATGGACCCATACTTCTCTTTTTGGTTGTCAAGATCATCATTTCTTTTTCTTTTTTTTGAGTCAGATAGATATGTAGCTAGGTAATTATGTGTATCCAGAATTCATAATATGAATCATTGTACAGAGTCAAGTTTCTGGTGCTATTTTTAAATAATTTTGCTGTAGTGTTGAGTTGTGTAAGTAACAGTACTATTTCCATACAGGGTCACCACCTTGGCAGTTGATAGTGTTTTTTTTCTGCCAGCATGTCTCTTGGGAGCACACTTAAAAAATTTGATGCTTTCTTACCCATTTTATAATTACGTTGCAGATTCCTTGTGAGTACATACCCCACATATTTTCAGAAAAACTATGGATGCTTTGTTTTGACATAATAGGTGAAGCGTCTGGGCCTTTGGAGTCCTAAAATCCTGTGTTTGAATCCTGATTCTGCCTCTTAGTGGTTATATGACCTTGGACAGATACTTTAATCTCTATAATCTTTATTTTTCTCATTTATAAAATAATAATACCTCATTTACAAAATAATAATAATTTGTATTTATAATATAATGACAATAATCCTTCATGTATCATATTGTTGGGAGAATTAAACACTTTCTACTTAATTCATTAGCCTGGCATATGGTAAGTACTCAACCTGTTGTTACTGTTATTATCATCATCATCGTGCTTTCAATCAATCAGCAGAAACAAGCCTTAAGAACAAGAACATTGAGAAACCAAAAGGGTTGAACTGGGCACAGAAGACACAAGGGCAGGTGAGAAGGTGATCTGTAGGCTTCATGAAGATATAAGATCTGATTAAGACAATTGATACCAGAGTGATCCCTTAAAAATACAGTGCTGGTCACACTCTAGCTTATTTAACACCTTATGGCAAACAAAAAGTGCTAGTTTCTGACAGTCTGCATGAAACAGGCACAGGCTCTACTTCACAGCCAAAGGGTCCCAGCTTATGACTCTTTATAAATCATGAATAACTCTAGATATCTTTGTGAATGTTTATATCAGATAATTTCACTTTTGCATTGGTCCTAAACCGATGTATCTTTGAAGTCAAAGAGTTTGTTTCTGTATCGATCTTCTCTCCCAAACTGCTTACAAATATTCCTCGTCAGGATATTTGTACCTTATGTGCTCTCTGAGTTAGCATTCTTCTTCCCTTCTACTCCTCTGGAAAAAGACAGGACCATCTAGGTTCTAATTATTGGTGGAGGTCCAGATCATGAAAATCAGTAGCTTCTCACTGAGTTGACTGCATCACTGCAAATCTAAAAACAATTCACTGTGTTTCTTATCTATTACCACAATCCCAAGTCTGGGTGTTCCCTGATGGTCTTCTTGATGCTGCCTTCTTATAAAATTGACTCACAGAGTTATAGATCTAACCATTTCCCTTTGAACCTTCTTTGGTCAGTTTCTTTGAGTCAAATCATCCCTGAATGATTCATAAACAAATCTTTCACTGTTGCCTTTTTAAGTGAGTCTTTTGATACCAGTGTCATGAATTAATGATGTTTTGTGATGCACTTTTGTGTCAAAGCTTTGGAAGTCTTACTTTAGCTTCCACTGTATCAATTAAATACTTTTTCCTCTTCTACCGATAAATCTTTAAAGAGTGAGTCAACATGTTCTTTATTACTCTGAGTAGTCAGACCAGAAAAAAAGACTGACTCAAAATTTCAGTATCAACCTGTTTCCTTTCATTTTCTTCCAGAATAACTTGACCCACATAAATTTTTTGCAAAGAGTGACTGTGTTAATTTGCCAAAAGTTTAGTTATCTGAAATTTTAATGTGCTCTACTAAGATGATATGATGAGAGCTGACAGGAGAGGTAGAGGTTTTTAACCCTTGAATGCTTGTATTAGAGCTATAGGAATAGTGATACCTAGTTTATAGGGTTAAATGAGATAATAATAGACATTTGTAAAGTATCTTGCACATTGTCTGAAGCACCGTAAATGCTAAACAAATAGTCATTGTCATCATTATGTTGATTATGTACCTTCTAATAATACCAGAAAAACATTGTATTTTTCATCCAGGTCTTTACTGGGATCTTTGCAGCTGAAATGGTTTTAAAACTAATTGCCATGGATCCATATGAGTATTTCCAAGTAGGATGGAATATTTTTGACAGCCTTATTGTGACTTTAAGTTTAGTGGAACTTTTTCTAGCAGATGTGGAAGGATTGTCAGTTCTGCGATCATTCAGACTGGTAAATATAGACCAATTTTACTGTTATGTTCTACACATAAAGGAGTGTTTCTTTGGTTTTGTATTATTGTTTAAAACTTTTGGAGGTTTGAATCAAAAGACAAGATTAGGGTTTGATGTCTAGTAAAATAAAATTCATTCAGTAAAAACTGGCCTTAAAGAGCTCAAAACCACGTGAATATTTTAATTTTAAGGTTGAAGACATATTCAGTTGTATATGCTAGTATAATAGCAAGGCAATAATTTATTTCACAGTAAGAAGCTTATGGTTTACAGAGTTTCAACCCTTATAATATGTTCATTACTTTGTGGATTCGATAAATCAAATCATTGTCCTTAAAACAATTGTTGTCTGATATCAAAAATATTTAAAATATTAAAGACTTTTTAATGCATTTTTCTCTAAGATGTTGGGCTTTATCCTTATGTCAGCATAAAAGATTTTTTAACATATCAGAAAATAGAATTAAGGTACATTATCAATTCTAAGGGAAACAATATCTGATACCATGATAAGAGGCTTCTATGGCAATCCTGAACTAAAATTACACAGTTCTTTCAAAATGTTTGTGATAATTATATTGTGGCAAGTATAACAAAATGATTGGAATATTAAGAATAGAGGAAAATAAAAAATAGAATTAATCTATGTTAGCTAGGTAGTAACAAAAGTATTTTAGAAGTTAAAATTTGGAAGAAAACTCAAGATTGGAAACATCAAGAACTTTTTCATAATAATTAATATTAAGCTCTATGTTTACTTTTAGCTCCGTGTTTTCAAGTTGGCAAAATCTTGGCCAACACTGAACATGCTGATAAAGATCATTGGTAACTCAGTGGGGGCTCTGGGTAACCTCACCTTAGTGCTGGCGATCATCGTCTTCATCTTTGCCGTGGTCGGCATGCAGCTGTTTGGTAAGAGCTACAAAGAATGTGTCTGCAAAATCAACGAAGACTGTGAGCTCCCGCGCTGGCACATGAATGACTTCTTTCACTCCTTCTTGATTGTGTTCCGCGTGCTCTGTGGAGAGTGGATAGAGACCATGTGGGACTGTATGGAGGTCGCTGGTCAAGCCATGTGCCTTATTGTTTACATGATGGTCATGGTGATTGGAAACCTAGTGGTATGTAATCAGATAGTCACATATTTAACCTTCTCTGTAGCAAATTGTCATCTGATGATACAATCAGTTATTTTTATAATTTTAGGATTAATTAGATCTAAACCTATTAATTGTAGTAGAATATTGATCATTTTAATACAGGGAAGAACAGAAAAGAAAATGAAATGTTGTCTTAATTTCACTGCCAGATAACCATATTTATATTTTTCATAATAACCCCCAATTTATTTTAATGCAAAGTTTTGTACTTTATTCTCTTATTTTGATAATGTTGTCATATGAATTGTCTGTGGTTTTCATGCCTCTTAAAGTCTATTTAAATATGAAGTTATGTTAATAGAATATGATTAAAGTAACAGTAACAAAAATGAAGTTATAATGGAACGAGGCAAATGAAAGGACTGGTCTCACTTCATTACAGTCACATATAAGACTAGCATCTGTAGCAAGGAGCTGCAAACTATGGCCATGGGCCACATCCAACACGCTGCCTGTTTCTGTATGGCCCAGCAAACTATGAAAGGTTTTTACATTTTTAAATGGTTAAAAAAATCAAAAGAAAAATAACATTTCATGGCACATGAAAATTATAAGAAATTCAAATTTAAGTTTCCATAAGCAAAATTTTATTGGAACACAAACATGCTCATTCATTTACATATTGTCTGTGGCTGTTTTACTCTACAATGGCAGAGTTGAGTAGTTGCCATAGAGACTCTATGTCCTACAAAGCCTGAAATATTTATTATCTGGCCCTTTACAGAAATAGTTTGCCAACCACTGCTGTATGGCATCTCTTTTACAAGTCATCTTTTTTCTTCTCCATTAGTGTTTTCTTGGCTTGTACTCCTATATTTGTTTCTTTCTTCCTTATACCTACATATTGGTGAAAACTTTCAAGCTTACAAGCAGGAGAAAACTGGGATAAGATGCTCTTCCATGAGCCACTCACCTTAATTTTCAAAGCCACCATGTTGGCTTAGTATAGTTGATCAGCTTGGCACCAGACTCTTCACCAGGTATCCCAGGAGGTAGGGTATGGTAACAGCCATATGGTTAGTACCTTCACTTCCCACTGGCTTTGAAACAAGTTGCTAAATTTTGTTGTCCATGCAACCCCTGTGTCAAATGTGATTCAGAGCCTAGGGCAGAAAGTTGCATTCATCAAGTCACATACTAAATGTCACTGGACCAGACATACACAGAGTAAACTATACAGTGCAAATTCTAGACCCTTACTTCACAAAAATATAGACATCATGAGTTAGCATTCTGTAATTCTTGTTCATCCTCAATTTGTAGTAAATTTCCTAGTTTTATATAGGCTTATAAACTCCTTCCAATGAAATGCACATTCTCTGTTTGGTTCTCCTTCTGAGTTTAGTAGTTTTTCTGTGAGAGGCAATGCATTTAGGTATTATAAGGTGATGAAAATGTGTCTATGACATAATCCCTGTCTTCAAGGTGCTTACAGTCTCTTAGGACAGAGAAAAGTGGTACACAAAATTATCAGAGGAGAAGAAGTGGTAAGTGCTAGCAGTGAGGTAAAAATAAAATGCTCATGTCACTTGGAAGAGGTGAGAAATTCTAAATAATGACTCGAGGAAGGCTTTTGAAGTGGGCCTTTGAAGAATATATAATATTTAAGCATGAACACAGGTGCGAGAGTAATGGTTTACTTTGAAACGCAATATAAATTTATAGTTAGAAATAGATGGGATATATCGGTGAGTATATCCCAATTCCATATGGAATTGGTAATGACTGACTCATAGTGATTGACATTAACTATTTGCTAGTGATAATGAAAGATAACAGAAGTATAATTCACAAAGTTGATAACCAACTTTTGGTTAAGGAATTACCAATGATGTAGAATTAGGATCTGAAAGGAAAGAAACAAAAAATTAGGGTTCTGATATAATTCTCTACATATTAGAGTTATAAGCTAAACAGAGCAATCACTTTTTTGTTTCCTCATTTATTCCTTATGTCATTTTATTACCAATTAACTAAAATGGTTTAAAACCGTAAGTTTTAGAGGATAGTTCAGTGAAATAGAAGATTTTAGTAAATTCTTGTCTACAACAGGAAACTGGTGAAGAATGTTAATCAGAATGACTTTGAATTGAATATACATCTTGTTAATATTACTTTCCCTGTCTCACATGATCCTGGATATGTGATACAGAATGGACTTCATCTTCATTTGTGATATCCTGTATTTATGATAAAATATTAGAGTCTTATGATTTTTTCTGGAATGAAAGTTACTGTAGTACCTCTTCTTAATGAAGAGGTGACACGACAGAAGTATATTATTGAATATGTGCAATCTAAAAAAGCTAAACTCACAGAAACAAAGAGAAGAATGATGGTTACCAGGGGCTGAGGGGTGGAGAGAGACATTGGTCAAAGGGTACAAACTTCCAGTTATAAGACAAATAAATTCTGGGGATCTAATATACAGCATGGTGACTCTCGTTAACACTGCTGTATTATATACTTCAAAGTTGCTATGAGAGTAGATCTTAAATGTTCTCGGCACAAAAAAGTAATGGTAATTATGTGATGTGATAAAGGTGTTAACTAACTCTATGGTGGCATCCATCCTGTGATGTATAAGTGTATCAAAGCAACACATTCTTGTTCTACTTGTTTCTCACAGGTAACAAATATTAATTATTGGTTAATGTTAGGAGGTCTTTTTAGGCCCATAAAAGGAAATTTTACCAAGGGACTTTGTTGCAGAAATAAAGATGGGCATGACATAATGATAATGGTAAGGGAGCATTCTCTTTGCTCCCCATGCTAGTCCTTCATGTATGGGTGACCTCAGCTCCTAGAGTTCCCAGGAGCTAGGATATGGAGGAGCTGATAAGGAGTCTAGCCTTTCCTCTACCCATCACATGTTCTCATCTATTTGTGAAGTGCAGAGATCTTCATCGCTGGTTTGGATTTAGGTCTGTATTTCAGAAAAGCGTGCTTATTTTCCTTTTTTCTTTCCTGTCTCCCATTTCTCCACACCCCATCCCCACCCTGATATAGGTTCTGAACCTATTTCTGGCTTTATTATTGAGCTCATTTAGTTCAGACAATCTTACAGCAATTGAAGAAGACACTGATACAAACAACCTCCAGATTGCAGTGACCAGAATTAAGAAGGGAATAAATTATGTGAAACAAACCTTACGTGAATTTATTCTAAAAGCATTTTCCAAAAAGCCAAAGATTTCTAAAGAGATAAGACGAGCAGATCTAAATAGTAAGAAGGAAAACTATATCTCTAATCGCACACTTGCTGAAATGAGCAAAGATCACAACTTCCACAAGGACAAAGATAAAACCGGTGGTTTTAGAAGCAGCGTGGACAAATACTTGATGGAAGAAAGTGATTGTCAATCATTTATTCATAATCCCAGCCTCACAGTGACAGTGCCAATTGCACCTGGGGAATCTGATTTGGAAAATATGAATACCGAGGAACTTAGCAGTGATTCAGAGAGTGAATACAGCAAAGGGGTAAGATTGTTTTATGCACATTGTGTTTCATATTATTAATTAGTATGAAATGAATCAAAATTTCACATTTTTGCTGTCGTAACTTCTTTCTAATATTGCATTCTGATGGGTAACTTTTTGTGTGTGAGTTTACACATCAGATTCCTGAAGCTTCATCTGGTAAGGTTTTACTTACTCGTTCTTGATAACTGATTTAATCCTTCTTAGCTGTAGTTGAAAGCACTGGGTGTGAGTCTTCCTTTCCTTCATCCCGTTTATCAGTTGTAAAGTCACATACAGTCTCCTCCCACAGTGTCTGTTGAATCACCGCTCCTCTTTGTCACCTTTGCCTTCATACTCACTACTTGTTGCCCAAATCATTCCAAGTGGAGTCCCAACTGGCGTCTCTGCCTCCATTTTCCGTCTACTCTAGTCCACTTATTTAATTAATTTTACTCAGTTTCAATCCTAATCAAGTCACTCTTTTGAATTATCCTTGGTCCCCAAAGTCTCCCAAGTGACAGACTGTAGATAAAGCCTTCACACTATGGCCCCAACCAGCTTTGACCAGCTGTATCGCCCAGCGCTCACCCGGAGCTCCTACACCAAGCCAAGCCAACTTCCTTCTGAGCCACAAACACTCATTACCTGCATGACTTTGCTTGGGATTTCCTTCTTCATTCAAAATCCCATACTCATCCTTAAAGACATAGCTGTCAGCCTCCTCATGTGTGAAATTGTTAGTCCTTACATCATAGGGTTGGGTGAAGGTTAAGTGAATTACAGACGTACAATGCTTACAACAGTACTCAGAGTGCTGAAAAGTAGTAGAGCTATGGCATCCTTCCTAATCTCTTTCCAAACAGATATGATCTCTCCTCATTTTGAACCCCACACAACTTTATGCCTCTTCTTGGATTTATTATTTAGTCTTGTATTTTAAATTTTTTGAGAAATTATTATATGTATCAGAGTATTATAAACTCATTGAGAGCAGGAACCTTTTATTAAAACTTTTTTGTGTTCTCCTCCCCCATACCTGGTTGCATATATTCAAAGTATGTATTGAACTGTATTTTTATTAATGTGGAGTATAATAACCATATGTGAGTTATATGACAAATCATTTTTATGACATCTCTATTTTTCTATTCTTTAGGTCATATTTGACAGGTATTTATCAAACACCTTCTATATGCTTAACTCTATATTAAGATCTGCTCTCCATGAATTTATAGTGGACTTTGGAATAAAGATACACAGACGTCTGTGTGTGTGTGTGTGTGTGTACTGACCGTATAAGTGGTACTAGGCACTTATTAAATGCTCAATACTTATTGAGTGAATAGATGGTCAAATAAATTATGAATATATATTTCTAAGTAGCCAAAGAAATTCTTTCCAAGATGATATGTAAGGAATTAAATGTTTTATTTTTTATTTTGAAAACCTTTACATGGAAGAAGTAATATCTCCCAAATTCGCAAGCTGTGGTTGTTTTAGCTTGGATGTAGGAAATTTGATTCCATCTCCATTTTCAGGAGCAGTAATCAGGGTCTTGTTTCATGTGGAAAGGCAAACTAACTCAATTACCCATTTTTCTGCCAATGAAGATTAGAATTATAAACCCTAATTGCCTGGCAAACTTTCTGAATAAGCTTGGGATTCTAGGTATTAAGGCCCTTGTAGTTTGGCAGAGTTTACCAAACACCGCTTGTCTTAATATTTGGGAGGATCCTTTCTTATCTGGTTATTTTTCCTTTGCTCAAAGCCTGTAGCTAAACTTTACGTGGATCTCCTTAGTTGCTAGCAAAATTCTTATTCTGAGTATGTTGAATTATAACATTTTAAAAGGAATCTTATGGATCTGCCCATTTAACACCTCATTTTCTAACTGAGAAAGCCAGCTCAGTAAGAGGAAGAGGTGTTGTCCACAGTTGTAAATCTAGTTCAAGGCAGAGCCATGACAAGAGTCCCAGTCTTGTGATTCATACGTCAGTCCTATTTCCACCTCCCTTCCCCTGTCTTTGTCCATTTCAGGGATAAGCCCACATTCCTATTGGAGATAATACCCAGTTTGTCTCCCCTGGAGTCTGAGTCATGCTTCTGAAGAGTTTATGGACCCTGTGGCGTCCAGAGGAGGTTTGTGACGTCACAGTGGCCAGCTGTCTTTTATAATTACTGATTTCGTTTGTAGACTGGTTACTGAAATAGCCATTTTAACCATCCATAAAGTTACTCCTCTACCTATCCCATAAACTCTTCCTAAAATGCATGAAATTTAGTGCCTTTAAACTGTGTTATATAAAGACCATTTGATGGTAACATTCTAATAGTCTTGTTATCATCAAGGTTTTTTTTTAATGACATTATAGTCATAACTACATGAGAAAAAACATACTTTTTTCTATTTCCTATCTGTAGTTTACATGGTATAATATACAGGAGCTTGGGGCTACCTCATAGGTTATAATACAGAGTACATAAACTAATCTCTTTAAATCATTTAGCACAGTATCTGAGTTGGTAAGCCCCTCCAAAATTAGCTATTTTGTTTATGATTGAATTCATCATCATTTTCATTTAAATGTTCAGACTTTTTAAAATTATGGGCTTTGAAAATTTGCCCTTCTTCATAAGAAATTTTCCATGACCTATCTCAAAGAGTATCATCTTGGATACATTCAAACCTACTTGACTATCTACTGGACTTGAGAAATAATGAGAGTTCAAGATCTGTAGGAAATTTGGTAGGTAACTTAGAGATAATATTAAGCTGTCACCAACTCTATGTCTGGAGTCTTTCTTTCTAGCTACTGGAGATGTAAATGTTCCTAGGTATGACTTATTTTTGGTTTGTTTTTCAATTGGGACCACTGAAAAAATGCAGATTTTACTTATCTAAAGTGTTTCTATGATCCTTCCAGGCTAACCTCCCTGCTCTAATTCCCCTAATCTTCAGCTCCCACACAAGTTCCCAGATTTTTCAACTGCTTATTCCCCCCTTGGTAACTTTCTTATGTTTTCATGCCTGGGATATCTTTAAAATAGTGGTTGCATGTTCTTGATGAACCTTGCTCGAAGAGGCAGATCTTGGTTACCCAATGGAAAGGAATGCCTGATTCAATACATTTAGGTTATTTACGTCTTATGCACTACCCTGGGGTATGGTTAAGAATAAAGCCTCTGAAGACAGAATATTTGTCTTAAATCCTAGCTTTGATTTTTACTAACTCTATGATCTTGAGCAATTTACAAAACCCTTTTTTTTTTCAGTTTCCTAACAATTCCAAAATAGAATTGTAATTAAGATTAAATGATTTAGGTAAATAATTAGACAAATGCCTGTGGGAAAGTAAGTGCCCAATTAACAGTTATTGTGGGTATGGAATTGAGTTGTCATGTACACACTGTAGCCATTTGCTACAGGTTAAATTTAAGAGAGGCAGCGTGATGTAGATCAGTGGTTCACAATTTTAGTGTGTAAAGACACACTTAGGGAGCTTGTTACAAATGCTTGTTCTGGGCCATATCCTCTGAATTCTCTCTGCCTAAATCTGAATGTAACGTCAGAGTCCTTATTGGCAGTGTTCCCAGTGTCCACTGTGATGGATTGAGTTCGCATGGAAAATGAAGCTAAATTCATCCCAACTTGTTTTGATCCAGGTTTCTGAGATATTATTTATTCAGGAACTGGGGATATTTCTCCCTTTTGCCTACTTGAGAATCTGCATTTTGAACAGGACAAAAGAACGTCTTTGACCTATGACACCTCTCTCCCTTGCCTCCTCCCCATCCAAAAAAAACCCCTCTCTTTTATGGCCTACCATCCTATTTTCCATTATATTTTATGGAAATGTTTTTGTCCTCTTCTCGTATCAGCTCTCAGATAGACAGCTTTCCCTGTCTTGATAGGCTGTTAAATATACACTCCAGAGTGAAATCAAAATATTGTATAATAAACACCTTACCAGAAAATGACCAGAAATGAGTTCAAATAAAGTGTTGAATAAAATATCATAAACAGTTCTGAGAAAATAATTGTCAATAGAACATCAGCATTTCTCTGAAGACAGAGCCTGTCTCGGAGCCAAGAAAGACATGCTGTAATCTCAAGTGGACCCATAAGAATAAGACTCCTGTCACTGCTTCTCAGAACACAGACACAGAACTGATGGCGGCTCTCAGAATCAGCTTCCTCCTGGAGTGCAACACAGCTCTAAGCACACAGAAAACATTAACAACACACTGTGCAGATTTTGACCATTAGCAAGGAAGCCCTTTATTATTATGAGCCTCAAACGAAGCATGCAATGCACCCATTCATTCAATAAATATTTATTGAGATCTACTGTGCTTCAGGCACTGTGCTAACGGTTGCTTAGGGAAAAAAAAAATTGCTTCACCCAGCTGCAATAATTTAATGTGATTGGCATCCAGCTTAACTAAATTCTTAAGAAGTGTGGTTTTTTGTTCAGTCATGCCAAGTTTCAAAATTGAGGGCTCTAGAAAACTAAATTCATAATTAATTTTTAAAACTAGAGAGCTCTTTCTTAGCGAGTTATAAAGACATTCCGTTTGTTTTCAGTTGTTACAGATTACTTCCTTCTCTAAAGATGAAAAGATAGACATAGAGCCATTTCACAGAATTGTAACATTCATTTTGGAAGTGTATGCAAATTTCAGAGAAAAACATTAAATTTATCCAGTTTATTTTTCCAAATATTTAAAAACATAACAGCTTCATATGATTTTAAAGTAGTATAAACTCTTAGAGTTTTCAGAAAAGCTCCTTTCCTCGCTGTGAGTCTAATATCCCAAATCCTCTTTACTGCTCTTTTGACAAATGTATCTACTTAGCAAGCCTGGCTTAAGTGAATTTGCTCATCCTGGGTACTCAGCAGAGGGGAAAACATGCTGTGTAAAAATTTCCTCACGGAAAGATCCTCCATTTATTCCTCTTCAAGCCAAATGCAAATACTTAGCTTTACCTAATACTTCTTTAGTGTTTTGAAATGTTGTATCAAAGTTGTGATGGAGCTAGCTGAGGTCCTTGGAGAAAGGAAATCAATGAAACCTTCAAATTTTACGTAATCAAACTTCCCACCCTCAAGAGATTGTCCTTTAAAACACTGCAAACACATTTATGCAAAACTTCCTGTTCCTTGAGGAAGCGAGGGCCATATAAAGCCCTCACTTTCATCATTGTGGGAGGAAAAATTGCAAAGAAATACGTCTGAGTACATGTTCTATAAATCATCACTATTCATTTTTTTAGCTCAGATTTATTGAGCAACTGCTTATTACCATACGCCTGCTAAACCCTAGAAAGGCATGTCATCGGTGTGCTCATTTCTTTAGTAAACATAGGCTGAAGGTCTTCTTTGTCTCTGGCGCTGGCCTAAGTGATAAAGAGTAAAGCAACATTCCTGCCTTCAAGAAGAAACACATATAGAAACCAGAAATTATAATTAAACGCATAAAAACAATTAAAACAGAGTTTTAGACAAAATATTGAGGCAAGATAGGGATAGTGTAAGTGATCTTGAAAATAAATTGGGATAATTCACAGAGGAGATGGCACTGGAAGTGGGTTTTATGGTACAAAAAGAATTCATCAGGCACATCAGGAGAGAGAGAGAGATTTCAGGTAGAGGTAAAGGGCCAGCACATGTGGAAGCATCCAGATGCAAAAAAGGCCCATTAAATACAAGTGAGGATTTGTATTCTCGGTGGGAAGTAGTAGGTTATGGAGGTAGATTGGAGCCAGATAGTGAATGGCTTGATGTACCATGACAAGAGATTAAAATTTCTTTTTATGTAACAGAAAGAGGAAACTTTAAGGTCTCGTTTTGCTATACTTTGTTGTTAGCAAACGTACTTTTAAAGAAAGTTTATTTGGGGGTGTAATAAAAGCCAGCAGGAGAGAAAGGTGAGGGGCTGGGAAGCTATTGTAATTATCCAAAGGACAATTGATGAGTGTTCAGCTAAGGGAGTGATGGTGGCAGGTGGGGATAAACTCTAAGACACTTGCAAGTTAAACTATAAGGGCTCAGGGCGTGGATCTATGAGTTGGGAACTGTTTCAAAGGGTATGTTAGTTTCCGTGGCTGCCATAACAAAGTGTCACAAATGTGGTGACTTCATACAGCAGAAATTTATTCTCTGACAGTTCTAGAGGCTAGAAGTCTGCAGCGGAGGTCTCGGCAGGGCCATGCTCACACTGAAGGCTCTAGAGTGGATCCTCCCTTGCCTTTTCCTAGCTTCTGGGGGTGGTGGTGAATTCTTGGCCTTCCACGTCTTGCAGCTGCATCACTCCGATCTCTGCTTCTGTCCTCACACGATGTTCTTCCTTCTCGTCTTAAGGACATTAATTATATTGGATTAGGGCCCACCCTAATAAACTCATCTTAACTTGACTACATCTACAAATAAGGTCGTATGCAAGGGTACAAGGAGTTAGGACTTCAACATATCCTTTTGGGAGATACAAATTGACTCATAACAGAAGGTTTTGGCTTAGAAGACTGGATAGACATTGATGCTATTAAAAATATACAGGGGGAGGAGAAACTTTAGGAGAGATACAGTTTAATTTGGGGAAATCTTAATTGTGAGCTACTTGCAGAAATGCTAAGTGATGCTGAACAGTAGGTATTTGGAAACGTAGTTCTTAAGAAGAGAAGTCAGAGTTGTAGACAGGTTGGAATTTTGTATGTTAATTTATGTTAACTTTGGGATTATGCAGGGAGACAATCTGAGGTCAGGGTCCCTGGGAAACCAATTCTGAGAGAGAAATCCATGTTTCGGAGATCTACTGGGTAGTGTTCTCAGGAACAACACCTAACACCAATAAGAAGTGAGGGACATAAGACGATTAGGCAGAGGAAGAAGTTGAAATTCTCTGCAATTGCAACAGATGCCTAAACTACTACAGCATCTCTGGCACTGGGATGACCCTTTGGAGTAGTCCCAAACTGCAGCAAGGGGGTCAGGACTTTGTACCCTGCACCAAGTAGTCATTGGATGCAGGCTCTCCCTCCACTTTTCCAGGGGAGGGAGGAAACCTTGGGTGAGGCAGCTTTCTTCTGCGTTACAATTTCCAGAGAGGGACTCAGCTGTGAGCCTTCAGCTGCCAACACTCCTGGCACCTGGAGGAATGAGTGGCTTGCCTAAAAGGAGGATCTGGGCAGTGCACCACAGCATCCACTACACTGCAGGGAACATAGAAAGAAAGAGCACAAGTGATCAACTCAACACTTGAGCGGTAGACACAAAAGAAGAAAGCACCAAGGAGACCAAGGAAAAAATGTGTACATTAGCCACTTTCATACATTATGTAACTTTCCTCCTTATAACAACCTGGGAAAGTAGATATTATTAATCTATATTCATGGATGACTAAGACACTAAAAGATTAAGAAATGATGCTCGTTAATCTCTGATGTTTTTAGGGGTCTTTTAAAATTCAAACTCCAAGCTTTAACCACCATAATACAAATCACAGAAAGTCAAGAGAGTGAGTAGGAGTATAATTATTTTCTGTTATAGCCCCGTAACGTTGCAATTCAGGGTCAAATTTTCTGTTATAATGGTATTGTGCATTTGCTGATTCAGGTTCAGCTTCTAATCCTCCTTAAGGCTGATTTATTAGGCTGTAATTGACCTCAATAATATAATACAGAGCAGAACAGAGCACATTCCATAACAGAATAATAAACCATTGAAGATGCATTGAGTAAGAGACTATGTCAGGCTGAAGGTACTTGAAAGGAGGTGGCACTTGAGCCAGACCCTAAAGGATGGAGATCATTTTCTTGGGTGAATATGGTGGAGAAGGAAATCCCAGGCAGAGGAACAATCATTCATATTGTTCACCTGATTCACTCATTCATTTATCCATCTGCTCATGTATCTATTCAGTATTCAGTTTTGAAAGCTATCATCTTTGGAGAAACTTAAATGTGCTTACTTGTTATTAAATGCATTCATTCTATTGATTTGATAAAAAGTTTAAATATTTGCAGTCATTAAGGTTAAATATATTATCTCTTTTTACTATATGGTGGTTTTAATTACATTGTTATCAGGTCTCTCTCTCTTTAGAGTTTTTAGAAAGATTTTTTCCCTAAAGAAAGCAGTTGAAGGCAGTTTAGATTTCTTCTTCTTATTGCATTTTAGAAAATATAATAGTCTTTTCCAGGAATTCATTTGACTTGGTGAGATTTAGGGATTAGTTCTATATAGCTTTGGGGGAAGCTGACACTTGCTCTTATCTTTTATGCCTGCATTCTTACCAAAACAAAACAAAACAAAACACTCCTATAGAATTTTACTTAAACCATTTCTGTTTTGCATGTTGGTTTCAAACTATATGAAAAATCTTTCATCTTTATTGGATTTGTTCATGTGTCTAGAAACAATGAAATTTTGGGCTGATATATTTAAATCAATGTTTTTTCATTCTTATATTTTGATAAATTTGGAAACATCCCTTTCCTGTAATGCTGTTTAAAATGTCAAAATTAAATAAATATGATTAAAAGTAAATCAAGAAATGCTGATTTTAGAATATGTTTTTAAAAACTTCACATTCTTCCTCTCACCCCACTCCAATATTGAGAATCACTTATTTAAAAATGTTTATTATGAAGAGCAAACCGAATGCAAAAGATTGCCTTAGCACATTATAGTACTTAAATTCATCTCTTAAATAACAGAATTATATAGCTGTTTATAGTTCATTATTTTTCAGTCTATATTGAATGATATTTAATCTTACTGTGTTTCAAATGTGTTGCTTTGTATTGAGCATGTAGCATGTATTGTCAAGCATATAACTAATTTCTACTTACAGGTATGTGACTTTAAACATTTTAAATCAGTTGACTAAACTGTTCCATCATGCTGCATTTCTAAACTTTAGTCCCTAACCTTCTTACTTCTCACAGGGGTAAAAACAAACTGGATCAATCAAGGATGCAGCTCTGTGCTTTTAACCAGGCAGAGACATATGTGACCACTTTTACACAGGTTACCTAAAAAAAAATCATACATATATGATATTTTTTTTCAGTGTCATGCATGCTCTTCAGCTACAAAATCTTTCTGCCTGTTCCATTGCAAGAAAGTAGAAACATATACAATTGTTCCATAGATGAATTGACATCACAGCATGTCACTGGGGCAATTCCATCATTTTTTGTTATTCTCTTGATGACTTCTTTGATATATCTCTCATGTCCTTCAGTGATTCAAATGCATGATCTATAGATTTTTATTGGACGGATTATAAAAGTAAGGTATGGAATGCAACAGAAGTCTTTGAAGCAACATTTAATTTGAAAACCTCTATCAACTTCTCTCCCTAATTTAAGCTATCTATGTACAAATGTATATCACATTGTCACATTTATTGCTACAAGAGTAGGGCTGTAATATTCTCACCATAACAACAGCAGCAACAAAATGGGAATTGTATGAGGTGAAGGATGTGTTAGCTAACTTTATTGGAGTAAACATTTCACAATATGTACATAGACCAAATCGTCACAATCTACATCTTCACCTTCCACTATATATGTCAATTATATCTCAGTAAAACTGGAAAAAAATTGTCACATTTAAACTCAGTAAATTAAAACTCTATTAAGAAATAATTTTTGTCAGAGAAATATTTTAGGCATAAGCATAAAATCTCAGAACAGGAAAGGGCCATTTTAGTGCTAGCCTTGTATTTCTGGATAAGGAAACAGACTCATACACATGAGCTGCTTTCTGAGTACACATCTGGAAAAATGGAGAAAGAGCCAAAATACCCAGCTTCCAAGCCAAACATTGAGTACATTTTGAAATGATTTTAAGCACAGTGATAATTAGGCCTTTAGTTCTTTAATCAATTCAGTAATTAACATTTCATTTTTTTGATCATATATAAAATGCATCAATCAATAATTTACTAGGCCCTGCCTTTGAGTGAATGAGTTATACTTGCTTGAAATGCTTAATTTGATTCCAGAAGCAATAGTACACACTGATGAGGATAAGTTTCTGATGATGTACAGATCTCCTGAGGAGATATGCAGAGCAGCCTCTGGAAGATAAGAGGTTTAAATGGAACATATTATGAAATGAACATGAAATCTGTCAATCAGATATAAAACACTTTCCCTAAAATTAGAAACAGATTAATATGGATTGCCTTATCTAATATTTCTAACAAGCACGAAAGAAAATATACTACCCAGATATAATATTTTAATTTTAGGATCCCTTGTTGAATGACTGAACTCTGATAGTTATTTGGGGGAAAAAATTCCCTGTTAATAAGAATCTTGCCTTTTTTTTTAATAATCCAATTCATACTTTGAATTTCTCTGTTATTATTGGGATGTTCATATTATTGTTTTCCATTGTGCAATGATAAAAGTTAAATTTTATCCAGAAATTGATACACCCTAGGGATAATAATGCTAACATTTTCCAATTAAAAAAAAGACATATTGTTCCAGTTTACCCAAAGTTAACATTAAAGATGCTCCTAAATGAAAGACATATTTTTGTATTTCAAATTGATGGTGATTTAGAGGCAATATTCTCTTAGAAAAAAATTTTATTCCAGACTGTAGTAAATTTCCTCCCCCAGCACCTAAATAAAGATGCTCACACTTACATAGACAATAGTATCTACATATGTATAGGTAAAAAACACAATTTTTGAGAGGGCTGTTTCCAGAAATATATATATATGTATTTGTGTGTGTTTAATTCCTAAATTATTATTACTATATTTTTACTAAACTAGTGTTAGAAAACATGAGTTGCGTGTTAACGAGTGGTCATTCTCATGGTAAACAAAAACTCTGGATATTTCAGTTAGGAAGAATGACTTGAAATATGGTACTTTTCTTTGGCAGAAGCTACCTATGTAAAGGTTAGGAAAGATATGTTTTATCAGTACCAATTTTTATTTTACCTTTTGCTTGCGATATTAGAAATCCATGTGTTGAAAAAACTGGTAATTGTTCCATTCATTGGAATTTGTCTTTCCTTGTCCTTCCTCATTATGGGTGGTTTTAGGAGATGGCATTAATCATTCAAATGTATAGGTAGTTTAATTTTTCTTTTTCATTCTGTTTTTTTAAAAAATTGTTCGTTTTTGTTGTTGTTGTTAGTGTCATTGAGTTGATTCCAACTCTTAGCAACCCTGTCACCAGCAGAGCAGAGCCCTGCCCAGTCTTTTGGTGCCATCCTCTCATCTTCCGCCACCGTATCAGACAGTGCTCTGCTGCTATTCACAAGGTTTTCATGGCCAATTTTTTCAGAAGTGGGCGGCCAGGTCCTTCTTCCTAGTCTTAGTCTTGACGCTGCACTGAAACCTGTCCACTATGGGTGACTCTGCTGGTATTTGAAATACCAGTGGCATAGCCTTCAGCATCATGGAAACATGCAGCCACCACAGTATGATAATGGATAGATGGCTGGCATGGTCCCCTAACTAGGAAAGGAACTCGGGATGCAGCAATGAGAGCACAACATCTTAACCATTTGACCACCAGGGCTGAGCTTGAGTCTTAGAGTCTACACTTGGCATTACATTTTGCAGTCAGGTTTGCCTATATTCTAGTTCTTATTTGCCCACTTGTTGCAATATTCTAGCAGACATTAATAGTAGAACTGTTTAAATGTTTGTTTCTAAAGTTCTTGAGATACTCTTTCTGATTTGACCCAGTATATTCCAGCTACTTAAATATCTATTTTCTGCAAATAACAGTTCTGTGTTAGTACATAGAACCCTTAAATACCGTTGGTCACTTTATATTGCAAGACCTTGTTGGCGAATGCCACTTGCCTTTTCATTAGGAAGAAGTTCCAAGATGATACTGTAGGATCTGACTAAGAAATCTATAGCCAGTCCAACCTTCTAATATGGCTAATCTTTGTTTCATTTGTTTGTTTGTGTTGTCGACCTAAAACTAAAACAGCCAATTATTTTACCAGCAAAAGGGGTTTATTCAGGTATAGCAAAGGAATTGCAATTTGGGACAAGCTAGCTATAGCAAAAGCCATAGGCAAGTCCAGCAAGCAAAGGAGAAGAAAGTTATTTTATAGATAAAAAGGAGGAAGTTGGGAGAGGTTGTTTTGAACAAAAGTCCGTTGATGGAAAGCGAGAGTTCAGGGTGGTAATGGCTTCTCATTGACTGAGTTGCTGGGGTAGTCGATTTCATTTTAGGGATGCAATGTACATCTCTTCTTGTTGAAGTCTATAATTGACAATCCTTCCTACAATTGATGTGGAATGGTAGTGGATGAGGGCTCCGCCTTCTGACCCCCCATTTTAAATGAGGTTTCCCTTTATTAATATTCACACTTTTTGTATTCAAGATTTTATCTTTTAGTTACCTAAGTTATCCAGTTATTGGATAGAAAGTGCCTTAGGTGGAAGATTCTAGGAAACTAAGGACTCTCAGTGAGATCATTGACTTTGTTTTGAATTTCTCTGGTGGTGACTGAGATTTGAGCTCATTATTTCTCCAGCATCCAATACTGTATACCATGCTGACTCTCTGATGGAACTGTTAAGTGGATTTCCTGCTGAATGAGCAGCTGTTCCCAAAAGGCCTACAGTTTCTCTAATAACAATAAACAAAGAACACGAGGAAAGGAAAAAACTCTGTTTTCATGCCCTTTATTTGAAAAACTGCTGGAGTTTTTGGTGCCCATAATTATAATGTGAGCCAAGAATTTATTTTAGCTAGTAAATAAACTGACAATTTTCTGCCAAATTAAGTGGAAGTAAAATGAAAATCTAGATAACAGAGAGGAAAATACTATTTAATTTCCCATTGATGAAGGATATCTGGAGTAGTTTCTAGCTTGGGACATTACCTTTTAAACAGAATCCTGAGAGAGATCAGAATTTCAGAGCAACCAGAAAAGGATTGGAGGGACCTTGAGGGGCCCAGAAAGCTAAATCATGTAAAGAAACTAAATTACTTTCAAGATGAAAATCACAAGTGGTAACGTCATAGGTGATCTCCAATTTTAAAAAGGCTCTAAGAAGATAATGCTTGCATTTCTCCAGAAGGCAAAAAAAGACCCCAGCAACTGCAAGGGAGAGGAAGGTATATTTTGGTTCTAGACCAGAAAAGAATATTTAAACTTGAAGTTATCCCATAATAGAATGGTAAACTTGGAAAACATTGGACTTTTACTCACACAAAGCATAGTAACTATCTGTGGAATTCCTCTCTAAAGGTCCTTTGATCTTTTATTCTGAACTTTACCATTTGCTCCATAATATTCACGACCCTCATTGTAGATATCAATTATAAAATTAGGCTGTAAAATTAAAAGATAGGTGATATTGATTTGAATCTAATTAAAAGATGTCTTTCTTGCTTATTGACGTACAGTGGAGCTTAGCTTATCAATAATGTCCCCCATAATTTTTCTTCTCATTTATGCCCATTCCTTCCTTTTGATTTACTTCTCTCAATCTTCTTGCTGTCCTCTGTGTCTTCGCTTCGATGCTCAGGTGAAATAACTATTCTCTGCTCCTGAAAGGATATCTTTCTTTTGTTGTGTGACACAAACAGTCTTATGAGTATGTACTTTAGATGTAACATCTTTGGGATGTTTTCAATACCAACCATGCACTTTGAATAAGGTTTCTGTTGAGTTCTGGATTTTCTTCAGTGCTGCTATATGTTTGATGATTTTCTGCTTTTGAGCGCCAGATTATCAATTTCTTACACAATCGTATTTCATAGTTCTCAAAACAAGAAATGACCAACTAACGTTAACTACCATCCATATTAGACTTTCTCAGGAAATGTCAGTAATAAATCAATAAGTGATCAGCTTGGGGCAATTTCTAATACAACACCTATATTTAACAGTCTCTCCTCACATACAATGTTGTGGAAAACAACCTTTAAGGCAATCAAAAGGAGAACCATGGAAAATAATAAAGCTTTTGATTTGATCATATTTTTAATAATTGAAAGGAGCTTCTCCAGTAGCTACATAAATTTATAATCAACATTAGGAATGTTTCAAAACCACTTCAGTGTTTTATGGATGCACATTGAAGAGCATGGAAAGATATGCCAAGAATATACATACTGTATAGTAGTTAGCTCAAGAGAACAGATCAGGGAGCGAGTGGAGGGGACTTTTAGTTTTCACTATATACTGTTGTACATTTAAAATTGTTGAATCAAGTATATAGATTTTATTTAAAGTAAAAATGATAAAATTTTAGAAAGTTCCTACAGTCAACATCATATTATTCAATAAAAAGGCAAGAATGCTAACTACGGCGTACTTCCTATTCCTAATACGAGTAAGTCTTCTTTTGTGATCCTGTATTTACACTTATTTTTATTTTTATTTATAGGTAGATTGTCAAAGATAAAAGATTATCTTTGTTGACAAACAAAGAAGTAATAGACAAAAGTATATTTTACTTTTTATTAAAAATAAAGTCCACATGAAAATTACAAAATGACCTGTTTTTAGTGTTGAAAGGGAAATTTTTCATACTAAAGTAAGTATTTATTTCACTGCCCTTGGTATAGTATAATCATTCTTCCATTTCCAAAATTAAAGAAAGGAAACCAACAAATGATTGAGTTTATAAAAATAAAAATAATCATGTAATTAATTATATAAAATGATATAAATGATTGACATGATCTTCTCTGTAGACTAAACAAGAATAAAAGAAGCCTGAATAGTTAAATCTAGCAATGCCTGCCGTGAGAATTAAATAAATTTCCCTTCAAGAGGAGACTTTTATTATAGATGTTAGCCGTTCTATTTAAAGGCATCTTTTTTGGACTCTGTTAAACAAATTTCTACTCTAATAAGTATTGAATTTAAAAGCTGAAGAATTTAGAACTAAAGTGTCTATATTGCTATGATATGCAGATAAATATTTAATATTATATACAGTACTGAAATAGCTACTGTGTGAATATTTAATGCATTCCCAGGAAAACACTGAATTCCTAAAAACTTTCTAAACATTGAATTTCTAAAAGGCCACAGTAATTTGGCTTGTGGTACAATTTATAGTTTATATTAAATATTTTGATAATTTCTGTTCTAGTAAGAAACAATTTTGAATAACTGTAATTTATGATACAAAATCTGAGCCAAATTCTGAATTTAATTGACAACAAATTGCTATAAAAGTTACAGAAAAGAAAAGGTTTCAATGACAAGATATCCAATCATCTTAATTTTTAATTGCTTATAAATTAACATGGCATAAGTCTTCTTTGTTAATGCTCTTTTAAAAAGTGAGAAAACCAAATACTGAGGTTGAAGATGTTTTCATTAATTTAGCCTTGGTCAGAATTCTGTAAGTTTGAATTATTTTCTTTAAAAGTTGTTACTAGCTCAGAGAAAACCATTATAGCTATTTCCTAGTTGTCGGTATTTGGCTAATAGTGGGGAGGGGCTTTGTATTCTTTCAATCAGCAATTCCTCCCACTGCTTTGCCTCAAAATCCAAGCCAGTCATTTTTTTTTTCAGGAGGGAAGGACTTAGTCACATCTCCACAGAATCATAATGCTTTGTCTTTCAGTTCCCTGGTGACAGTTCACTTGCTGCTGAGAGGTCAAGAATTGAGGACACTAAATAGTTGCAGTCTTTGGAATATAGTTTTTGTGGCAATTGGCACAGTAGGACATATTAGTAATTATAAATTTCCCCATTGCTTCCTGGAGTAATGTATATCTTAAAGCCTTAAGTCTTACAGAATATTGTCATAATTAATTTATACTTGCTTTATTTTAAAGTAATTTTAGATGAGTTCAATCCATTTAAATAACCTGCTTTTTAAACAAAATTTCATACTGATACTGCTCCTAACTCACAGTATTTTAAAACTCTTCAATGTAGTGGAAATAGTGCTTCTATGCCAACACAGATTAGAAGTATTAATTTAATAGAGTATTCATAATCCTTTACTGCAGTTATAAAAAGAACTTACATCATTCCTTATGTAAAATACTTTATCAATGCCTTTTTTGCTGATGTTGAATACTGTGTGATAATAGTAGCACTGAGAATTTAATGTGGTGCCCATAAAGAACAATTTTAGCTTCCAAGTCTAAAAGCTAATATTTTATATTGGGCCTATGATATTAATGCAAATTAATAGATTGAAGAGTCAATTTAACTGAAATGAGTATTTCTTCATTTTGAGCACTTTCATTTATTTAAAATATTCTAAAAAAAAAAGTAAAGCTGTGATCTTAAGAAGAGAAGTGCGTGCTGTAATAACTAGTAGTTTTCAATATTCACATGTCGTTTAGCAAATGAGAATGAAAAATGAACTCTTCCATTGATGTCCTGCTCTACCCCTTATAAAACAGTATTAGGAAAATTTGACAGAGTTTTGCTACAATTGCTGTATGTATTTTTTCTAAAAATCTCTGTGTATGTATATGTGTGTATGTGTATGTGTATGTGTATGTGATCAAACATCATGTTTGATCATAAAGTTCTGGGTGGGAAAAACTTGTTTGTGTTATGATCAGTTATATGATCATAATGACAATGAATTCATTCCTCTCATGTGTTAGTTTGCCATGTTTAATTTCACTGAATCTTTGTTTCAGAGTTTGCATGTGGTTCTCACTTTAGTAGCCACTATCTCTTGACATTATAAATAATACTTTCTGATCTTTTCTACTATATCCTGAAATTTTATGACTAATATGGGTGGTGTTGGATGAGATAATTGCTGTGGTCTTTGGCATTTTGATTCCAATACAATATTTGACTTTTTTGGTCTTGATGAAAGGCCTTCTATCTATATCATCCTGATACATATTCTTAAATCCAAGAAATAATGGGAAAAGTATGTTTGGATTTCATCTTACACTGATTTCTTTCCTTTTTTAAATTTTAAGGATCAGCAAGCTTTTTCTGCCAACTGTCAGATATGACCTGTCAATTACCAAGTATTGGCAATTTGGCACTTGTATATTATTGCTATTAGGGTCTTGGTTGTTCTAAAATCATAATTATTGGTGTATACAAATTTAGATTAAACATAAAACAAAATACAAAAGTGGCCAATACTTTGAAAATGTTATAGTTTACTTAAAAATATTACTTTATGCTAATTCTGTCCAAATACTTACTTGTTAGAATACTAAAAATAATAAAATTTATTTTTCACAGGATGTGTAGATAGAAAGATCAAGCATAGATGCATTGTTAGGTTTCCTGACCTCAATGTGTGTTTATATGTTTTTTATGGCCATCATACTGTTAATATTTTTTCATAACACTTTGCATGACTCTGATTATTAAATATGGCTTAAATGCAAGATTTGAATGATCCCTAAATGAACTCTCTGGGGGGCTGGTGAATTTCATTTTAGAGACTGAACCAATCGAGTTCCTCTGAGTGCAGCACAGTTGATAACCCTCTGCCAGGAGAAGGAGAAGAAGCGGAGGCTGAACCTGTGAATTCAGATGAGCCAGAGGCCTGTTTTACAGATGGTAAGAGAACAATTGAGACCTTCTTTACCATCTGTTTTTCGTGTTTTGGCTTTTGTCTTAAAACCTGATACTTACCAGGGATTGTTTAGTAAAAAGTCGGAAGACTCCATTCCATGCTGATTCAGTCGAGGCTCTATGACTAAAGGCAAGTCACTGGAGCTTTCTACGCTTCAATTTCCACACTTACCATACTCTACTAATGATAATTTGCAATGACAGTGTGTTATACTGTAAAGCACTCTACTTATTATAGGATGGTCATACTTCTCATTTAGATCCTTAATTCATGTTCCCAGCTCCATGGAGCCACTAGAACACAACTTATTGGATAGATGGTACTGTTATCCTTTACATTAAACGTTGAAGCTACTCACTAACTCTTAAGGAAATCATTTGATACTGTGGCCACAGTCTTTCTCAAAATTCTTCCTTCCCTTGGTTTCAGAGGCCACACTCTACCTCTCTACCTTTCTTATTTTACATCTCTGAGAGTCCTAAGTTTCCTCCCCTTTTTCTTTTAGTGACTGTTTTTATGCGCATCCCTTCAGTAACAACGTTCCCCCACATTTTGATCCTTGCTTATCTTCTTTTCTTATTCTCTGGCCTTAAGGGGTTCTATTAATGTCTATGGCTTGAACAGCCATTTCTGTGTTATTGACTCTTAAGTCATTATCTTTACCCCGACTTCAGTCTTGAGTTCCGGATCTGCCTACAACTCCTCATTGCTCATATCTACCTGTTGTATTAAACATCTCAAGTTTAGTAAGTTTGAAACAAACTTTAGTGGGCTTCCCGCCATATAATCTGCAGCTTCCTCTGGTCTTTACCTCACTTAGTGACATCATGATCTATCCTGCCTCTCAAGGTAAAGACTTTAAGTCAGCCCTCACCTCTTCCTTTCTAGCCACAAGTTGATCACAGAAACCACAAGTTGATCGGAAACTGTGGGGATAGGGCCCAAGTCTTCCAGGTGATTCTGATGCACACTAAAATTTGAGAACCTTTGGTAGGATAAAAGCGGAAGTGCTTGCTTTGGCATGTGAAGCCTTTTACATTTGGCCTCAGTCTATTCTTTTCCAACAGTACTTCTCTTCATTCCTTTTCACTCTCTGCCTCACTGATTCTTACTACTCCTGGAATTTTTCAGGGGTTTTATTCAAAGTAGTAACTTTGAACTTGACCTAGGAAAGTAGTGTTTTCTAAGCAAATATTGTGTCATCTAAGGAAAAAAACAAACCTAGAGCAGGTGACAGTATAAGACAGAAATTTAGAGCACAAACTTTGGAGCCTGATTAGCGGGAGTTCTCATTGGCCTACTGCGAACTCTCTGAGATCTTGAGCACATTTTCAAATCTTATATCCCAAAGGCCTCTGCTGTGAAATGGATATAACAAAAACACCCATATCATAGGGAGGTTGAGATTAAATAACACTTATAAATTAATTAGCGCAGTGCCTATCTTTCATCTCCTCTGCTTTCCTTATTGTTTTTAAAGTATTTTGTTAACCATCTCTATAGAAGCTATGATAGCCTCGATGCTAAGGACTCATGATCTACTCATGGACTTACCCTCAGCGTCAGTATTTTTTGTAGAAATCACTGACTTGCTTTCGTTCTCCAAGATTTTCTGGACTAGAATCCTATAACAGTTGTGCAGTAAACAAAATGACTGGCAAATAAAGATATGTGCAAACTGCAATGGATGCAAGAATTTTCTTCCAATACAAGCCAAATCTCATTTTATGTGAGAAGCAAACAAGTATGACACCAAATTAATAGAAATTTTGTGTTTGCTGAACTAAGTACCATTAGCAAGACACATGGAGTTTGCTTTCGAAGTGTTTATGTTTAAAAGATATTTAGAATTTTATCATGTATTTCATCGTCGTGATGAAATTAAATTGATTAGCACTATGTAAACTTAAATTTGTACAGATACTACCAAGATTTCTTTCACTCACTTTATGAATGACCTTGACTTAAAATCCAGGATAACTAGAAAGAAGTTGAACTTATCAAACAAATTATGGCTTCAAATCAGAAAAAGTCTTTAGAAAAACTTAAATCCTTTACAGAAAGTATTAATGCTAAGCTATTTCAGGCTGTACGTGCTATCTTACTGTGATCAAACTTTACAAATGTTATTTTAATCCTACAAAATATCAATGAGAATACTTAGAGGATTACTTTGAGATTATTCATTACTTATAATTTGCATTTAATATATGAGATATTATGGAAACACATTTTCAAATGAACTTTGATATTGACCGTTGAAAATCTTCTGAGAGTGAAAGTTTCAGTTATGCAAGATGAATAAGTTCTGGAGATCTAAGGAACAATAATGTGACTATAGTTAACGATACTGTATTATATACTTGAAATTTGCTAAAAGGATACATCCTAAATGTTCTACCACAAAAAAAAAGAAGAAACATAACTATGTGGGGTGATGGCTTATGTTAATTAGCTTGATTGTGTTGATTATTTCACAATATATACTTAAATCATGAAGTTGTATGGCTTCAATATGTTCAATTTTTAATTGTCAATCATACTTCAATAAAGCTAGAGAAAAAAGAGAAGAATAGGAAAAATTAATCTACAAAGATAGAAGTCAGCCTAGTAGTTACCTTTAGGAGGTACAGACCAGGAAAGAGCATACGGGTGCTTTCTGGTTGCTAGAAATGTTATGTCCTGACCCACGTGTGTGTTACATGAGACTATCAATCTACATATTTAAATTTTGTGTACCATACTCTATGTATGTTCTACCTCAATAAAAAGTTAAATAAATGATTTTTTAAAAGACAAAATCTCTGAACGGAACACACATCTCTGAGTCACATCACTTTGAGCAGCCCTGCTCCACTGGAGACTTCAGACTCGCTGGACGTCTGGGCTAAGATGCTCCACCAGATAAATTAAAGAGGGCAACCAATTTTGCTGAGCTTTTCAACCATTTACCACTTAATCATTGTTTCATCCAATCAACAAATAATTATTAAACACCTTCTGTATTCTGTATGCCAGGCCCAGGCCTGAGCACTGGAGACAGATAAAGCAGTGAAAAAACAATGTCCCTTACCCAAATAAATATATAAGTATTTCATAGGTCAGATAAGTGATGCGTGCTGTGGAGAACTAAAATGAAAAGGGGAATACTAAGGTTGAGGGGTAGGAACCTACTATCATATAAATAAAGTGGTCAGACAAGGCCTTTCTAAAAAGGTAACATTTGATCAGAGACCTGAAGAAAATTGAAGTGGGCCATGCAGATGTACGAAGGAAGAGTATTTTAGGCAGAGTAGTGATGGCACATGCCCAGAGGTGGAGATATGCACAACATTTGAGGAAAATCAAGGAGCCAGTATAAATAGAACAAGTTGAGAGGTGGGAAGATGGTAAAGCTGAGGTCAGAGACATAGTAGAGGCCAGACCAGAAGAGCTTCGACGGATGTTATAAGCATCTCATTTAAATTCTCACAACATGCCATCTTCATAGTAAGGGTGGATAGCAAGGGCAGAAGCTGGGAAACTTCTTGGATGTTCCTGCAGTAATCCGGGTGAGAGATGAGGGGAGCTTAGACTACCGTAGTAGCATTGGGGATGGCAGGAGTATGACATTCTGAGTATATTCAGAAGTTAAAGCTGAAAGGATTTGCAGATGGATTGGATGTCGGGTGTGAAAGAAAGAGAAAAGTCAAAAATGAATAATATATCTCTTCAACTGTAACACTGACAGAAATAAATCCCACATAATAAAATCTTCTTAACCAAAGGGATAGCTCTCCCTTCTGGCCATTATACTCAAGGCAGATAGATTCTGTTCTGCACGAGGTCTTTGTTTTTAAATTTGAGATAAATTCTAAAGTCTCAAGCATGAAGCTAATATAAAAAAAAAAAATTCATCTTAAATGTTTCCACTGTCTCTGAGGTTTTCTTTTGTCCTGAAAGAGATTATCTAGGAGTCAACTTTTGGCCCTACACTTTTATTATTTTTCCATATCATTTTGTGAAATGTTCTCTCTTTACTAAATACATTTGAGATGTAAGGTAATTATTTTAAATACAATGAAGATAAATTCTGTCCGATCTGAGATCATGTTAATTATAATTAACGTTAAATAAGTGAAGCCATGTGTACATTTTCCATTCATCATGATTTTTTTCCGTTTTCATCCAATCGTTGTGTAAATTCTAGAAATCACAGAGATGCAAACTTTCAGATAGTGTCTAAAGCTTAGAAGATTTTAGAACTCTTTTTTGGGGGCATTACATCTGTTTTATTTAAATCAACTATCCACAGCTATGTAGGACTATAGTAATGACTATGGGAAGTATTGTGAACAGAAGGAAAATCCTAACAGACACAGCTTTAGCCTGCTGGGAACTTAGAAGCTTCCAGAGAGAAAGGATAGTGACACATAAAATATACAGGAAAGCAAAACCATCAGAGACTTGGGGGAAAAATACAGAGCTTGCAATCTTTCTGTAGAGCTGGAAATTAAAGTGCTAAGATCCTCCTATTAACTGGATCAATGAACTAATTTCTCTTCAGAATCATGAAAGTAGCCTGAACAAGACATTGTCTAAAAAGTGTAGTTCATCAAGAGAATTCTAGTTTTGTTGTTTCAGGACATACAGTTTATGATTATCTGAAGTGATTACTTGGTATACTCAATATTTTTATGAAATATATTGTTTTCTAGAAAAGGAAATTATTCTTTTTTCAGTCTTTTTTTTTTTAAGGTATGCTTTTTTTGGTAAGGAAGATTGGCCATGAACTAAATCTGTTGCCAATCTTCCTCTTTTCTTTTTTCTCCCCAAAGCCCCAGTACATAGTTGTAAATCCTAGTTGTAAGTCATTCTAGTTCTTCTATGTGGGATGCCACCACAGCATGGCTTGATGAGCGGTGTGTAGGTCCACACCCAGGATCTGAACCTCTGAACCCCGGGCTACTGAAATGGAGCATTCGAACTTAACCACCTGGCCATGGGGCCGGCCCCAGGAAATGATTTTTTAAAGTGCCTAACTTACAAACTTCTGAAACAAATATCTAAAAAGGGCTTTCCAACCTCCTACCTTCCCTCCAAATGACATTTTTCATCTAAAAATTTTTAACAGAGGAATTAACTGTAGTTCCTCTTTTTAAATTCTTCCTTTTCTTCATAGTAATTCTGTTTATATTTTAATCAACTTTAAATTTTTTAATTTAATTTTTAAAATTTTCAGCCATTACCTTTCTAGCCTCTCTTGGTTACAGCTCTGTTCACCAGTCTTTCAGGAAACCTTTTACTCTCTGACTTCTCTTTTACTGCAGCCTTTGTACATCTCTCCCACTCCGACTCTGTCTCCTTCTCCTTCAAGGTTTTCTCTTCTTCCACCTGTCCCACTGGTGTGCAGGTAAATGTTTAATAACCAGTTCTCAAAGAAAAAGAAAGTATACATACATACATATATCAGCTTATTATAAATTTTAATGATATAAAGGATATATGGTGCCCAATTTACAAATAATACTATAAACCACATTCTTTATCATACATTCCATATAGCTAACTGATTCTCACAGAAGGCTTTTGTTGAATTTTGCCAAAATTTTTGTTTTATAGATACCTAATGATTGCAATTGATGAACAAATATAGTTTTAACGTGAAGGTTGGTTGGTGTTTTCATTTCTGTTGATCAGTAAGGTGAAAGGAAACAAAGAAACTACATGTCAGAATTTCATTCATTCCTCAGTGATGTGAGCAAATCTTTGCTGAATCAGATAATAGAATCTGAATAATGAAAGATTATTTCCTCAACTTTTTGTGCCATTCACAGTGTAATGGCTACAAACTTTTACTGTTTTATTAACATTTCCTCCATCACTTTCTTAAGTCTACTCTGGAAAATCAGCAAGCCCTGATTTATAGCACTTGATGACTTTTGTAATGTAAAGATTCCCACCATGGCAGATGTCAAACTACTGACGTGACATTGCTGACTGTGGAGTTGGGAAGAGATGCACAGCAGCCCAATTACATTTTTCCACCATTCAGAACATATAAATATACAGAAGAGCATACATAATAGTAAAGTGATTAGAGAGTTTTTATTATTTTTAACTTTTTTTAAAGTAAATTGTGGTTTTAAGTTTGTACAATTTAATTTTTGATCATGGCTGCATTTAAAAACAGGCTAGCAAAATTTCCTGGCAATTTAACTGGTGGTTAAGAGCCAGTATGAGCTGGCTGCAGCATACTACTGGATTCTGTCCCTTAATATTGCTGTTCTAGAATGTTCCAGACTTGACTCTTTGCTCTCCTCACCCTAAATACTTTTGTCGTGTGACTTTAATAACTGTCCTGATCTCAGGGGACACATCTATGCTAAAGATTTCTACATATTCTTTTCTAGCCCAGACTTGTCCCCAGAGCTTAAGATTTACACCTGCAAATACCTACAGGATATCTGTATTTAGAAGTTTCACTGGCATCTCAAACTTGTTCCCTTCCAAATAACTCCTGCTCCTGTGGTCTTCATGTCATTGCTGACACCCACCCAATTGTCCTGGACTCCTCTCTTTCTCTTACATCCCATATCCAGTCGGTCACAAATCCTGCTGATTTTCCCTGCCATATATATCTTGAGTCTGTTATTGCTCTGGTTCCTAACTAGAGTTGCCCTAAGCTATCCTTGTTAGGGATACCGAACCAGAACCCTAAATGGTTTTCTGGCTCTGGGTCTTTCTTTCCCCACACCCCTCCTTTTCCTCTTCTTCCATCTTAGCCTCCACACAAGTGTTGGAGACGTCTATTAAATTGCAATCTGCCTGTATCATTCTCTGCTTACAACCCTTCACTTAGTCCTCTATGTCTAGAGGTCATAGAGCAAGCTCTTTAAGGTGAAGAAAATGCTTTCCACAATCTGACCAATTTCTCTAGCCTTATCTCTCAGCCATACCTCTTGTGTACACTTTACTTTCATCACAGTTCTGAACTGCTTGTAATTCCTATGGACAATACATTTTGCTACCTCTTGGCCTGGAATTCCACCTAAACTCTTGTTGTCTAGTACTTTGATTCAATTCAGAATTGTCTTCCAGAAAGTATCCATGGACCTCTTCCAGAAGGTCTCCTTGGACCTCACCTTCTCAACAAACAAGCCATGTTAGGTGGCCTTCTTCCATCTACCAAAATAACCCCTGCATATCTGTCATTTTAGTTGCCTTATCCAGTTATAGTCATTTATCTCTATATCTAACTGCCTAACCAAAACCAAAAATAGATCCCCAAGAAGAAGAAACTATGTACACAGCTGAGTACAAAGAAGATAATAAATGTTTGATGGAAACGTGAATGAATATACCTAAAAAGAAATTAAATAAGATGTTCCTCAATTTGTTATAGCAGTAGGTTTTACATCTAGGATTCCAAAGTCAGATTTCTTTTTAACTTAGCTACTTGAAACAGTTTCATCTGCATCTTCTAATCAGGATCTGTTTCTTTTGAACTTGATTATGGGACCTTCAACTAATTTTCTTAATATTACTTAGAATGGTGTTTCTCAAAGGGTTTTTTATAGAGGAGTTGAAGCAGCATCAGATTGTAGGCTAGATCCACATTAAGGAAGGTTTCTCTTTCAACAAAGAGGGCCCTGAAGTGCATTTTTGTCGTGAGATTTTAGTTCATTCATTCATCAAGTAATTATTTAGTGCTTATTGTGTGTCAGGATTAGGATTGTATTAGGATTTCAACAATAAAAAATACTAAGTGATTTAAACACTGTAGAGGAAATTGATGAGAAATCAGAGAAGTGCAGAAAATAAGAATACATTCTAAGTTAGAAATTACTGACAAGTATTAAGAAGACACCATGGAGAGAGAAGAGGAGAGGAGATGGCATCCAAGTTGAATCTATTTGCAGCTTCAGGGGTAAGTGTTAGAAATTATTTGGTTGAGGAACTGTCATAGGGAGCACTTTGTATTAAATAATGTATTTTAAATATTTTATTTATCCTGAGTATGAAGATTTTACATGCATGTTTTTTGCCAGGTTGTGTACAGAGGTTCCCATGCTGCCAAGTTAACATAGAATCAGAGAAAGGAAAAATCTGGTGGAACATCAGGAAAACCTGCTATAGGATCGTTGAACACAGTTGGTTTGAGAGCTTCATTGTTCTCATGATCCTGCTCAGCAGTGGTGCTTTGGTAAGTGATCTGACACCCAATGCATTAAATTGATTGTATTTTTAATAAATGAGTTGGAAGATAAAAATATCATGGTAAATTGTTTCACCTAAGAATTCATCCCTGTGGTTAGTACCAAGGACAAAATTTTAGTTTAGCTCAGTAAATATTTATGGATCACTACTATATGCCAGGGATTATCCTTGCTGCCCTGAATGCAAAGATGGAGAAGATCCAGGTACTTTTCTCAAGGACCTCAGAGGGCATTGTGGAAGAGAGAGGCACAGGGGATTACAGAACTGGGAGGTGTTTGTAAGTGAAATATATACATGATTAAGCTCTGGAGCAAGAACAGTTGTCTGCTTGGGATTTCAGAAAGGTTGCTGATGTTTTGCAAGATCTAGAAAGATAAATAGGAATTTTCCAGGCAGGAAGGTGGGCTGAGGGGAATGAAGTACAAAACAGTATTAGATATTCAGGAAATTAAAAGTTGCCAAACTGTAGAAAGCGTCATGGAAGGAAGAGCAAATACAGAGAGGAGGGTGGTGGCCAGAGATACTGTGACAAAGATAGGCAATGTGAGCTTATGAAGAATCTTGCATATTATTATAAGGGAAAATAGACTATAGTTTAGGGTGAAATGGGACAAGTACATATTCCAAACCTTCTTTGAAAGAGATCTGGGAGAATTACAAGCTCCCTGAGGCTTTTCTTACTTGTTTTAATTTCCTGCTGACACTCAAAAAAGATGGGTCAATTCCAAGTAGAGATACCACTGGAAATTCCATTATACTAAAAACAGAATACTCAAGAACTTTATATATTGTCTCATAGACAGTCTTCATGGAACTGGAATTTAATTTTACTCTACTTATAATAAATTAACTGTTTCATGGATGTGGGTAGAAGATATGAGACTTCCAAGTCAGAGACAAAGGACTTTATTACTCATGGTATAGAAAGCAGCGCGAACTTCAGCATATTTACATTGGTTCCCCTGGTCCTCACGTCAGATGGGGCCGTAGTAGGGACTTAAATAAACGTTTCACACACAGCAAGTTAACCTCACAGCTGAGGAACACTGAGCTTAGGGAACCCGTCCTTTTATAGCAAGCAGCAAGCAACCTTGCTCTTTGTCCTAGAAGACCACCTCAGCCCTCAAGGTTGCTTGTGCAAAAACAGCCCTGAGAAATGAGCAGTCAGGGCGTTGCATTCTTGGCATGCTTAGACAACAACAGGCAGGGGTGCCGAGGGCCCACAGTGGATTGCCTCCCCTAACAAATCTCCTCTCGCAAAAACAGAAGCTGCAATAACAAAAAGTCCACTCTACTTATCTGGTGGAATGCAAGTAGGACTCTTGACCGTGTCTACATTATCTTGTATTCCTAATATTATTACTAAGGAAGTTGATGAGTCATGCTGGGTCACATATGTGACTGAGACTTTCAGAAAAAAGATCACAAAAAATTAAGAAAAGTTTAGAGTAATCTCTTGTTGAAAATGTCTAAAAAGAAAGATGACGTGTTGGGGGAGGGGCACTCTCAAAACTGAAATTCAGATGAATCATATGAGGAAGAAAAGGAAAAGGTATTTCAAGAAACTGGTGTTTTTACTCAGGGAGTTTGCTAATTGAGGTAGATTTTAAAAGTACTGTAATTAGTTAATAATACCTTAATTAATAATAAAATAAATAATGTAATAGCTCTAATTTAGTACATATTTATTGTGTTTCAAGATGTTTATATAGATTTTTCTCCTTTAATTTTCAAACAATCCTGTGAGATTATGCTATTTTGCTTGTTTTACCAATGAGGAAGCTGGGTAAAGAATTTGAAAAGTTGCCTAATGTCCCAAAACTAGTAAATGACAGAGCTGCAATGGCTGAAGTCTAAAGTCAAAGCCAACATATCTTTTCACTGTATTGTGGCTCCTCAGAAAGGGGAGTGCACTCCAGGTAGAAACAAAGGAGTGGTAACTGAAATGAGTAACAGTAAAGCCTATGCCCCAAATCAAGGTGAACTCACATAATGCCGCCTTGCTCCCACATTTACAACATTAGTCCTCGAAGGTGGGAGCCCTGCAGATGAATCCTGTTTCAGGCTCTGGGACTAGTCAGGGCAAGGTGTACTCAGGCAGAATATTTGGTTCTCAGCATCAAGACTTGTGGTTGGTCCTTCTCTGCAGCTCAGTTCTGGGAACGGCACCCTTCTTTGTGATCAAGTCCCTTCCTTGTCTTTGCAGTGCAAGGACTGAGGCATTGCCAGAGTTTCTGTTGAGGCAGCTTGACTAATTGCTCCAGAACGTGGAAAGGGGAAACAACAAAGTCATGAAGGCAGGACTTCAGTTCCTGCACAGTTCAGTTCCATTGACTTTCAGAACTTTTGCCAGCTTCTGGCACCTTCTTTTAGCATCTTAATAGATCTGTCCATTCTCTTTGCTCCAACTTCTCTATGTTCTTCAATATTGATACCAACAGTTTGCAAAACGTGCTAAGGATCATTTGTAAAATTTTGATAGAGGAACTTGAAATAAGAAGAATAAGAATGGCACAGGCCCATGACTATGGACAAGTAGTATAATGGTACCCACTTAGGATATTCTCCAACATGGTGAATATTGTTCAAGCTTGAAAGAGAAAATTCTAATATTTTAGACCTCTTTATGTCAGCAATCATTTTCAATGTCTTCAGTGAGCTCAATTTGTTTTTTAGGGTTTTTTTTTAGTTTTTAAAAAAATTTTATTTATTTATTTTGAGGAAGATTAGCCCTGAGCTAACATCCACTACCAATCCTCCTTTTGTTTTTGGGTTTTTTTTGGCTAAGGAAGATTGGCCCTGAGCTAACATCCGTGCCCATCTTCCTCTACTTTATACATGGGATTCCTGTCACAACATGGCCTGGCAAGTGGTGTGTAGGTCCGCATCAGGGATCTGAACCAGTGAACTTCAGTCTACTGAAGCGGAATGTGCAAACTTAACTGCTGTGCCACCAGGTTGGCCCCATGAGCTCAATTTTTAAAGTCCATTTCAATTATGTCCCAAGGAGCTTGTATCTATGACCTCAGTATTATCGTCTGTCACTTACTAAAAGTTCTTGGAGAGTATTAAAAGGTGCCACATTTGTGGAGTGAATAACAATGATTTGTAGAGCTGAAGCTCTTAATGAATGATAAAATATTGGTACAAGATTCAAAGGAAGAAACCATCCTCTGTATTCTCTAGCCCTATTAAGCTATGACACTCATTCGTTTAGCAAACCATCCCTTGCATCCTGCCGTGGTCTTGACAGCTAAGCACTGGGAATGCACAAGCATATGAGAGCTGAAGGAGAGGCTCCAAATCCTACTGCTCGGTGGAAGGAGAGTGCAGGGTGAGCAAGACTCAGAAGCTGCCCCTGGAATCATGTCTTAAATTATTAGGACTCATCTAAATTTGAAGGGGGATAAAAGGAGAGTCACATGAGTGGAAATTCCTGCCTTGTCAGAGATTATGGTTCTTTTAGAGGATTGTAAATAATTTCATTCTTTTGCACCCTCTTTCTCTTGATCTCTGGTGACCACTGGTCACTGCTGAGGTCACTAGAGAAGGCTAGAAATAAGCATTACACACTAGCTGTAAGCCAGAATAAAGTCAGCTGACCCATAACAGTACTATATTTTAGTGGTTTCTCTATCTGACTTGTATTTCCTGCTTCGTCATGAATCATAAGCTTTAAGTTGTACATGAATTGAAATTTGAAAATTATTTTCACAGGCTTTTGAAGATATATATATTGAAAAGAAAAAGAACATTAAGATTATCCTGGAGTATGCTGACAAGATATTCACTTACGTCTTCATTCTGGAAATGCTTCTAAAATGGGTGGCATATGGTTATAAAACATATTTCACCAATGCTTGGTGTTGGCTGGATTTCTTAATTGTTGATGTAGGTACTTTAAGTAAACTTGAAAATTCTTACAAATTAGTGTTCTGAAAAACCTTCACTACTGTTGTGTATCATCATATTTAAAATTTGGTTAGCTTTCTGTACTTTCAGACTATAGGTTTATGTTTTTAGAACTATTAATGCAGTCAGTTGAAATATATCTGTGTGGAAAATTAAAAGAGAAATTCTTCAACAAATGTAAATTTTTTTCGGTATCATTGTAATATTCATTATTTACTCTTGTATGTGTTTTCTGCAATCAGAAAAGATGTGATTTATATATAATTTGAATAGCATTCCTGTTGGAAATAAGAACAAAATAAAAAACTAGGAGGTGGGGGGGGTGGGAATGGAAAAAGGCAGAGGCACAGATTAAAAAGATAAAATACTGGGTTTTTTGCAATATAAATTTAGAAAATAAAAGATGAAAAAAATTTAGGAAATAAAAAAAATTTAGGAAAAAAGATGCAATGTAAATTTAGAAAATAAAAGGGTATATCAAGTTGCTTGACATGTTAGCTGAAAGTTATGTAAAAATGAGAGGGCTGAAGCTAAATAACTCTGTGTTAGGGATAAGGAAAGACATGAAATTTCAAAATGTTTATCTCAGTCACAGTGATAGGTAAAACCAAAATGAGTCACAACTCTTGTCCCCGTTTCAAACATCTAATTTACGCTTCATCTCTAGAGTGGCAGTGGAGCAGAGAAATAGGTATTAATAATTTCAAGTAGTAAATCAGAGAACTGGGGAATACTTGGATGATGGAAAATACATAAGAATGCTTCAGTTTATGCATTATTTTTGACAAAGGAAAAATATTTTTTAGGCATCTTATTGAAATAGTCAGGAAAGAGAATCCTAAAACAGCTTGTGATATCAAGGCATCTCATATAGAAATTAATGGTACCACACCCATTATTATCAATTCATTCTTATTTAGCATACTCCATTTTATTATTTTTATTATATAATAATAAAATACTATATTTTTATCATGCAATTTAATAATATATTGCATATAATAATTATTTTGTATGATGTTTTATATTATTTTAAAAGGCTTTCTTAAATTAATCCATGACCTCAGTCTCCCAATTATATTTTTCTCAGAATGATTTATGTTCTTCATTTTCTTAAAAATTCCCCTAGATTTTAGAAAATCTTATCTTTGTGGGCAGGGCAAGAACATCCTATAATCAGTCATAGTTTTTAGAGATTTGTTTTCCATCTAATGTCTGCAATTAGAGGGCAACGTGCACATTTTTATAGTACCAACAAGCGCTCTAAATATTTAACCAAGAGTGCATCATCAAGCTTTTCAGAAAAGATAAGTTAATACAGTATCATTCATAGATATCAAAATTACAATTATATCAAAGTAACTACGAAAAGCAAAATCTGACTGCACAATTGAACCCAAACTAATCATATCTACTCAAAAGTTCGATTTTGCAACTGTTATCTAAAGCTCAGTAAACTCTTTTTTAACAGGTCAATATATAAAACATTACCAAAAAAAACATATTTGTTTTCTATATAGGTGGTTTGCAAAAAAAACTCTTTCCCAAGATGTAGCTATACATTATACTTCATATGTTCTCTCAGGTTGTCTGTATGAGACCTCTAATTTTTGATACCTAATATTAATAATTTCATATTGTTTGATTGCTTTTTGATTCATCTTTTTTATATATATTACCTAGTTACTGCCTAGAAAAATAAATGGTAAGATGGATGCTTTGGTAATATAATAGTTTTAAACAAAGGCTAACCAAAATAAAAAGAAATAATAGGAAGAATGTAGTTATTTCTTTTCTTTTCTCTTAATCTTTAAATATGATTGGAACTTTTAAAATTTATAAAATATTTAAGATATTCAAAAATATTTAAAAATATTATCACGAGTTGTTGTTTTCATCAATCAGCTTAAGAAATAAAAGTTGCAAGTAGAGGGGCTGGCCCCGTGGCCGAGTGGTTAAGTTCGCCCACTCCGCTGCAGGCGGCCCAGTGTTTCATTGGTTCGAATCCTGGGCGCGGACACGGCACTGCTCATCAAACCACGCTGAGGCAGCGTCCCACATGCCACAACTAGAAGAACCCACAACAAAGAATATACAACTATCTACTGAGGGGCTTTGGGGTGAAAAAGGAAAAAATAAAATCTTAAAAAAAAAAATAGATAAATTCAAGATTTAAAAAAAAAATGAGTAAAAAAAACAGTTGCAAGTAGAATTGAATTTAAGTTAAGAAGGAGACATGGCTGTTTAATAACAAATTATTTTGATTTGGAAATCTGAATTGGTGAGTCTCAATTTTTAGGAGTATGTAATATGCTGAACTCAGGGAGGTATATAGCTCCAATTTGAAATATTAAGATTTTGAAAAAAGGTAAGTAAATCTTGGTATATGTAAATATATAAGTGGGAACTTGTTAGGGGTACAGTTCTCAGAACCCACCCAAGATCTTCTGAATCAGAAAGTCTGGTGTTGGGACCCAACAAACTGCTGTAACAAGCCCTCCAGTGTTCTGGTGTGTATTCAGGTTTCAGAATCAGTGATCTGATGTGGTATTCAGAGGATGGACTTTGATTTCTTCAGGCTTCTTGATATTTGAAACTTACTTGATTGAGCATTATTCATCAGTATGGACATAGATCGTGCATATACATATGCTTGCAGAGATAGATAAATGTATGTATATGCCTGTATATTCTCAGTTACAGACTATGCTGTGGTTTACTCAATCATATGCTTCTATTATATTCAGTATCATGACACCTAACAATGGTTTGGAGATCACGTCTACTGTTTCCTTAGGGGGCTATTCAAATTATAATAGACATTTTAAAACTTTATTTTTTTCTAATAAAAAAGGAACACTTGTTATTCTGACTAAAAAGCATACTTAATTTTTTAACTGTACTTAAGTGGAAAATAAGGGACCTGAATGACTGGCTAAAATTAAGAATGATATGAGGGACAATTAGTTCTGCTGGATATATAGCATGAGGACTAAAAAGAATGTTACATTTTGTGCGACATTCGGAAGTAACTACATGAGAACAAAACCCTACAACACATCCCGATTCATAAATCAGGTTACTTGTCCCAACAGCAGCAGCAGTGAACTTGTGAGCAATGAATTTTCCTACTCTGTCAGTAGGTCAATATAAGGAAGTAGACTCTTGGGTGTCCCAACCTTTCCCTGGAAAACTTGAATCTTTTAGTCAATACTTAATTCATAAGGAAGAGCTGCGTTCCCGACATTGTTCTTAGATGTTGCCTCCTTCTACACACAGTGTAAAAGAAATGGATAGTTTAGATAGAACTTATTCAGAGGCTGAATGCATTTCCAGATCCAGATCTAAGGTCATTGAGGAGCATATTGCTCTATTACCAAAATGTGTATTGATTTTATTTCTGTCTGTGTTCCTTTTTCTGAGATCATTTGTGATAAGCACACAAATTTCTATTGGGTCCTGGTGTGGTGGTGGTGGTGGGTCTGGCTAACATGATGAAGTTCTGGATGTCTGTGTGGATGTGAAGCCAGTGAGACCACCTAGAGGTTCTCATGCTCTCTTCAATACAGTTGAGATTTTCTCCCACTAATCACTACTAGGTAGATCTTTGCTGCCAATTCTGAGAAATCATAAGGCAGAGCAGTCTTGTGGGGAATTAGCCCCATCTCAAAATCATGAGTCTCCAAAATGCTTTTGAATAAGGTTTGTACTAGGATTTAGATTTGGTTGAGTTAATGCCACACTCCTACGACTTAGCTTCATAGTCACACACTTTGTTATGCCGTGGGTTTTATTTCAATTGAAATTTTGATAGTTTCTCTAATTAAATGTTCAGAATTAATAAGCATGTACATAGCATTGGCTACAAAAGTGTGAAAATCACGTGTGATTCTTATTCAGATATAAGGAATAACCTAACTTCCCTCTATTATTTCATCTTATTTTGATTAACCTTCCTTTAAATCTATTTCCTTACAAAAGTATCCATCTTACCCATTTTTTAGGCAATGACTAGATAACTTGATATATAAAATCATATTGTTCTTCTTGAGCTGCTCTTAGTGACCTTTGAAATTGACTTTTCTTCTTTATGCTTTATTATTTCATTAAAATGATTAATAAAATTTTTTTTTCTAGGTTTCTCTGGTGACTTTAGTCGCAAACACTCTTGGCTACTCAGACCTTGGCCCCATTAAATCCCTCCGAACACTGAGAGCGTTAAGACCTCTAAGAGCTTTATCTAGATTTGAAGGAATGAGGGTAAGAAAATACTAAGCTTTCTAATACAATATTCTTGGTTTTTAAATGAAGTATAAAATATGAAAAAATGGGTATGTAGAAATTATGGACTATTTATATTTACATGCATGTACATATATGTACATATATACATATATTGGACTGCCTATGTATATAAATGTGTATACATGTGCATATATACACAGTATTTCAGTGCATATTGTTTAACAAAGAGTGAATCAATTCCAGGAATGCCTCCTTTATATAATATTATTAGGTAATGATCTTTTCCCTTCTTAAATAAAAATCTTCCCTATGCTAGGAAAGTCAAGTGAAGGGGACACTATTAGTGCTGACAACATCTCTCATATACAAGTCATCAAGGGCTTGCCTGTGTCAGGTGGTCAAATAATGAAATAATGATTTGAGGTATTTTGTAGTTCACTTCCTTTGAGCCTTGAGGCACTTCAGCTTATTGACTTTCCCACATGGACCCCAGTCCCCCAAGACTGAGTAGGGACAATGATCATGGAGAGACAGACAGTGGAACAGTAGTTATTCTGTGACATCTGCTATAAAACAGTAAACACACAGTGCTACAAGAACATAGAAGTGGGAGTGGCTGCCTGGAGAAGTCTGGGAAGGGTTCACAAGGAAGTAACATTGAAGCCTTGATGAAAGAGTGGGCCCCAAATCACAGGCGGGTAGTCATTTTAGGCAGAGATGCAACATGTTAGAGAAGCACAGAGTTGAGTATACAAGATGTTTTTGAGCAATGACTAGAAGAATCAGTGGGCCTAGGTGATAAGACAGTAGGGAGGTTAGCAGGAAATGAGGATGAAAAAGTAGGCTTGAACAAGAGTTGGCCACTTTGAACCTTATTCTCTAATCCTGTTCTTCCTCACTCTTTTAGTGTCATGTAGGTTGTAAGAATCTCATGAATGTTTGAATCATCTCTCCATAAGGAAATCATACCCATAATGTTTTCCATTTAATTTCATGCCCGCATGGAACCCCTACAGGTCCATGGACCCCAGAGTAATAACTATTGCTCTGGACCAGGGGTCAAGAAACCAAAGCCGACAGGCTGGCTGCCTGTTGTGTAAAGGGTTTCACTGGATCTCAGCCACGCCCATTTGTTTATGTATGATCTATTGCTACAGTGGTAGAATTGAATATTTGCAACAGAGATTATATAACCCTCCAAACCTAAAAATATTTAAGAAAATATTTGCCAACCTTTACTCTAGACAATCTCAAAAGTAGTTGGATCCTTAATGTTTCACCATTTGGAAATGTCTTAAGAGCCTGCTTGATACGTTGCAAAAAATAGGGAGCACAATGCTCTTACTTAACAGATTAGTCTTTGACACATTTGTACTCAAATTCAGACTAGAGCTGACGTGTAAGAAGACAGGTAGGTTTTGAAGGATGGAGTAATTAAGAAAATCTGGACAGTGATAAATGCATGGTAGTCACCATGCAGGAAAATTGGAGTGGCAAGAGGCCCTGGTGATCTATAACAGTGGAAATGCTGAGCAGCAGAAATAATGGGAGAATTAAAGATAAACATCATTTTTGTTTTAACTGAGGCCAGTACTATGTATATTTAGCCAAGGGCTTATTTATAATGTATTTTTAGAGTTAGAATAACAAATTTGAAAAGATTGCTCTCATCTTGCAGATGAGGAAACAGAGGTCCCAAGGTCTTAACTGAATTCACATATCATACAACCAGCAGAATCAGTTAAATCTAAGGGGATCATGCCACTAAGACTCCCAATCCTAGCTCTAGTTTATACTCACCAGTAGTTTCTCTATATGAGAGAATTTTAGCACTGGTAATTCTAGGCCTATGAACCTTTATACATTTTGTTTATTTTTTTAGCATTTATATTTATAAATTTCTTTCTTTTCTACAGTATGCAGATTTTGCGACTTCACCTTACATATATCAGGTTTTTGGTTTATTATTTTTATTTATTTTCTATTTATTTAAGCTGTCATATTATCTTAGTTATTTTGTTTTGTATTGTTGCTCATAGTTTCACTGTGTATTCATCACGTATTTTTGTAAGTTTGTTGATCACAGGACTCCCGTCTTGTTTTGTCTTGCTTGGCATACTGATGAGCATAGACTAGGCATTCAGTTAAGACATGTTGGTTGCTTGACTTGATATATTAAACAGTTAAGGGTGGCTTTTCTAATTTCTCTAATTCTGCATTGTGTTTTATTAATATTGCCCATTTAACATTTTTACTAATCCTCATCATTCTTTTCTTTCTTTTGAATACTAGGTGGTCGTGAATGCACTCATCGGTGCAATTCCTTCCATCATGAATGTGCTACTTGTGTGTCTTATATTTTGGCTAATATTTAGCATCATGGGAGTAAATTTGTTTGCTGGCAAGTTCTATCAGTGTGTTAACACCACAGATGGGTCTCGGTTTCTTACAAATGAAGTTCAAAATCGTTCCGACTGTTTTGCACTGATGAATGTTAGTCAAAATGTGAGATGGAAAAACCTGAAGGTGAACTTTGACAATGTTGGACTTGGTTACCTGTCTCTGCTTCAAGTTGTAAGTGACTTCTTTCATGAATGTTTGATGTTTTAGTAGACAGTGGATGAAGAATATGTGTCATTCTTTAAATAATCTATTAACTAGAAATTAAAGATAAAGTACTTTGTGACTTTAAAAAGACACTTAGTCTTTCTTAGAACATGTGCCTATAAGCATGAGTTAAGAAGCATAGGTTCTGTTGCATTTGAGAGTTATTAATCAATGACTGACATTTGGTGTCATTTGGCTCCTCACCATGGCACCATCTGAATATTGCTCCAACATGAGAATAAGGAGGACTTCCTTCTAACACAGAGAATCCTTAAGAAATGGAGAAAAAATGTTGCCTGCCTTATTCATAAAAATCTCATCTATTTCTGGAAAAATAAATGTTGATGTGCAAATTGGCAGGAATTATTTGTTGTTATTGTCCTTGAGTTGACTCTGACTCCTAGCAACCCTGTGTATAGCAGAGTGGAACTCTGCCTGCCTGGTCTTTCTGCACCATCCTCTCACCTTCCAGCTCTGTATCAGACAGTGCTTCACTCCTATACACAGGGTTTTCATGGCCAAATTTTTTTAGAAGTGGGCGTCCAGGTCCTTCTTCCTAGTCTGGCTTAATCTGGAAGTTCCCCTGAAACCTGTCCACCATGGGTGACCCTGCTGGTATTTGAAATACTGGTGGCATGACTTTCAGCATCACAGCAACACACAGCCACCACAGCAGGACAACCGACACACAGGTGGCGTGGTTCCCCGACTGAGAAATGAACCCGGGACACAGTGGTGAGAGTGCCGAATCTTAACCACTAGACCACCAGGGCTGGGTCTGCAGGAATTGTAACAACCTGGAAATAATTAGCTTGGACTAAGATTTAGAATATGACTTGGGAATGTGTCCTTTTTGTTCTTGATATAACAACTTTATATTAAATTGGTATTTTGAAATACAGTAATACTTAGTGATTTGATATTAGTTAATAAGCGTTGCAACAATAAATAGACTAAACTCATGTATGGCTATTTTAGAGTATGAGCTTCACATTCAGATTCTATAAATGTTTTGTTCACAGGCAACATTTAAGGGATGGATGGATATTATGTATGCAGCCGTTGATTCTGTTAATGTAAGTATTGGTTGACATAACACTAAACTCTACAATTCTTAAAAGCTTCTTAGTTTAATTTGGCTGTTTTCAAACAGTAGCTCCAAGCAGCCCTTGGTGTGTACCACACAAAATGAAGAACTTCCACCCAATAGTAGTCTAGTGGTTACATGTGAAGCATTTGGAGACAGAGCTTGCCTCCACTTCTGGCTCTACCATCTCATACAAGCTCTGCAACTGACTTTGAGCAAATTGCTTACCTCTCTGAGTCTGTTTGTTGACTGTACAAAGAAAATAATTCAATGCCTCCCTCATGGGATTGTTCTGAGGATCTAACAAGAAAATGTAAGTAGAGCACTTAGGACAGCCTGGCAATAAGAAGTGCTCACTAATTATGAGTTTATCAAAATAAAAGTGAAATAATGTATTTTATTCATAGTTAATAAGAACTATATTTTTATATTTTAAAGAGCCATGGGAGAGTCTATGTGAAATAAGTTCTCTGCTAAGAAAGTTAAATCCAGTGAAGACAGTTCTGTAATCAAATGAAAAAAAGTCAGCAAAATTTATATAAATATGATATCATCTCTTTTACAGTCTTTTTTGGAAATAAAAAACATACTTTATGTCATTTAGCTACTAAATTATTCTACAAGTCTAAGAACAAGTATTACATATGGTTAAGCCCTGTGTAGTCATTTAAAGATTATGTTCATATACGTAGTAAGCATGTAATCAATATTTATGTACTGTTGAATAAATTTTTAGGAGTGATTATGTTGCGCCTCAACAATGCTATGACTTCTGAAAAGCCAAGTTCATCCAGGATAGCACTGTTTGGATTACCTTGTCAAACCATGTGAAAAAGAAAATGATGACTGTTATTGTCAACATACTGCTAACTTTTGTTAATTTTATAGGTAGACAAGCAGCCCATATACGAATACAGCCTCTACATGTATATTTATTTTGTCATCTTTATCATCTTTGGGTCATTCTTCACTTTGAACTTGTTCATTGGTGTCATCATAGATAATTTCAACCAACAGAAAAAGAAGATAAGTATTTTAAGTTTTTTTCATTGCACTAAAAATTCTGAACAATTATTTTCCCAAAAACATATTATGAAATTTAATTTGATATCAGTTAGTAATTAGCTTTATTAGAATTTCATTTCTTTTTCAAATAATTGGCCAGTATACAATTATAGCTATGCTTAATGTCATTCATCTCTGCATAGTAAAATAATGATCTCTTAAGTCATAACTATTTTTAAGCCATGGTTTTTTTCAGTGTTTCCTGTAGAGGATTGATTAATTAAGAAAAATTAATGCATTAATTATTTATTCAAAACACATTTCATAAATAGTTACTTCATTCTGTTCTGAGCCACTGTTCTGTGTGGCATGTCTTGAGCTTGTGCTTCAGCAAGACCAACGTAAGCTATGGTTCCGGAGGTCAAGGTGTTTACATTATAGCAGAAGAAATGAGACACGTAATGGAAATTAAGATTCGTTGAATGTTGCAAGTGAGGCACTCCCCTGAGATTTCTGTTTCACTAACCCTCACATCACTTGTATTAGTTTCTTAGCCCTGCTGTAACCAAGTACCACAAACTGGGTGGCTTCAAAAACAGAGATTTATTTTCTCATATTTATGGAGGCTAGAAGCCTGAAATCAAAGTGTTGGCAGGGCCTTCAAAGCCTCTAGGGGAAGATTCTTCCTTGGATCTTCTAGCATCTGGTTGCTCAAGCATTAGTTGGCTTATGGCAGCATGACTTCAGTCTCTGCCTCCATGGTCATATGGTGTTCTTTCACTCTGTGTCTCTCTTCTTCTTAAAAGACACCCATCATATTGGATTAAGGGCCCACCCTACTCCAGTATGACCTCACTTTAATTTAGTTACATCTGCAATGACAATATTTCGAAATAAGGTCATTCTGAGGTACTAGAAGTTAGACTTCAACATCTTTTTTGGAGGGACACAATTCAACCCATAACATCAACCATAAAGGTATTATTATTATAAACCTTTTCTTATAAATGAGGACAGGCTCAGAGAGGTGAAGTGATTTACCCAAGAGCATACATAGAGTAAGTGATAGAGTTTTAATAGAGTCAATAGTTGATCCCATGGACCATATATATATATATATATATATATATATATATATATATATTTAGGCCCTCTACCCTGCTGTATCTCTAAATATTATAATGTGAGATAGTGATAAATGCAATAATAAAATTAACAAAAACAACAAAAGGAATGTACATGGACAGTCAGAGGAAAAATAGATAAAGCTATAGAAAGTTTTGTGATGTATGTGACAATTGAGCAGGACTTGGAAGATGAATAAGAAGATGTGTAGCAACTGGGAGAAAAAAGGATGGACAATCTACATGGAGAAGTAGAGAAATGTGTGAGCACATGCATAGTGCTGATAAAGGAGGCAACAATCCAGAAGGAATAGCCATCCAACCAGTTTGGATGGAGATTTGAGATGGAGTTTTGAGAAGACAAATAGTACAAGATGAGGACAGTTATTATTATAATTGTTCTATTTTATTATTAGTTATTGTTAATCTCTTACTGTGCCTAATTTATAAATTAAACTTCATCATAAGTATATATATAAGTATACTTCATCATAAGTGTATAGGAAAAAACATAGTATATATATATAGGGTTCAGTACTATCCATGGTTTCAGGCATCCTCTGGGGTCTTAGAACTTATCCCCTGGGATACGCGGGGACTACTATATAAGCAGGACATTGATATTTATTAAGACTTGATGATGTGTCTGATCTTGTGTAAAGTACTTCACGCATGTAATCTTAGTCAAGTTTTACAACAGATCTAAAAGGCATAGTATCCCCCCTTTACCTCTCAGAGAGGTTACGTCACTTGCACATGGTTTGACAGCTAGGAAGTAGCTTCACCATAGATCTAACTCCAGAGTCTCTTTTTCCAGGGACTATGAAAACTCAGTTTTAATAAAAAATGAATCTAGTAATGATGCATAGAATGATTGGAAAGAGACCAAAGACTAAGCCAGACCCTGCTTTACTTCCTGCCTGGACCACACGTCAGTCTCCAGATTAGTCATTTGAAGCAATTGAGAATAGGGGATATTTCATTTAAGAGATTTGAGGGGGAGAGTCTACACTATTGTTTGTGATTTGTAAGAGAATAAAGCATCTAGGAGGTCTCAATTTTCTCATCAAAGTTGAGTGAGTTACTGTGGCTGTAGCACCACCCACAGAAAAAGAGAGGGGATAAGGAATAGAATTCAAAGAGGGAGTGATTTAAGATGCTGGCTTAGCGTCTAAGAAAAGATGGATATACATAAAATGAAATGTCATTATTGTGCATGATTGATATTTGCAAGTGATGGAAAATTTAGTAAATGTTAAATGTTATTTATGCTTTCATTTCCAAGTACAGGTGTTTATTTTTCAACGATGTTTTTAAAAGTCCATGTTTCATTCTTACAGTTTATTTCCGAGAGTCAAACTTAGCTAACATTATATATTCATGCCTTTAGACAGAGAGTCTTTAATAATTAATAATTATTTTTGCAAATAATTTTACAAAGTATACTCTAATTTTCTATTTAATTATTTTTTCAACTTTAGTCATTATATATGTGTTATTTTGATATATAAGCACACACGTATGACTCCCCAACATTCCCTACACAGGATAAATTAAACATGTATCTAGAAAAAGCTCTATGATCATGGACGGGACAATCACAGCCCTAAATGCTTTAATCTCCTTGCTCTTAAACGTTATTTGTGAAACAAGAATTGCCACTGCAGGAAGATGGGTTGGGTTGGCACCATTACCACTACTGTCAGGCAAAAGTTACTAATTTAGACACACTGACTATCCCTTACCATTCTTCCAGTATTTCATTTACGATTTAAGCAAGCCTTTTATTTTCTGCCCTTTTCTGAATGGCTTAGGGTTTCTTTCCACTCTACTAAGAGCAGGAAAGAAGACAGGAGCAACCCTTCAATTAACCTGCTACGTAAGAGGCCTTCTGCTAGAACTTATAGTTCATCTGATCCATAGAACAACCAAGGGAAGTGGCATCTTTACACAAGTGTTTACACTGGGGCCTAGTGAAGATAAGTAACTTGTTTCAAGTCAAGTAACAGGTCCCCTGGCAGTCAGGATCCAAAGGTCTGTTTGACTTCAAAGCCCATATTCTTTCCAAGAGGCAATGTTGCCTCTTAAGGTTTTTTAAGTTCAATACGTTGATCTCAGCTTATGACTCTACCAACTACCCATATCTCTTTCAAATAATAAACCCCGTTTTACTAGTTTTTCCAGCTATCCATCATCCTTATAAGTAATGTTACCATCTTTAATAAGTTCATGTGATAATTGGGTTTTAATAGTTCATCAAAAAACACTTCTAAAAATTAGAGTACAAATTAATGGGTTCAAGTTATAAAAGGGAAAAGTAGGTAATATATTTACACAAATTCCTAATACAGAACTGGATACATAAGAGTAAATTCTAAGTATAGCAACCCCTTTCAGTAACTAACTTTATTGGGAAGGTTAATAATAGCAATAGTAATAGTAACTAACAATTATTGAGGGCTTGTGTATCTGGCATTGTGCTGAGTGTTTTGAATGCATTATCTCAATTGATCCTCACAACAAACCAATGAGATAGTTACTCTTGTAATGCTGAGATGACTTATCCTTAAAGAGATTAAGAAACTTGCCCAAGGACAACAGAGATGAGATTTGAATGAAGATGATCTGATACCAGAACTAAAGTCTTCACTGCTACGTAATACAACCTTGACATAGAGTGTAACATAGAAAAAGACCGGCCTCACTTACAGAGTGTTTCCCATCTAACTTTTAAAGGAATGCATTTTACACAAGGTGTATATAAGCTGTAGTAGAACAAAACAGCAATGCAAGTTTCTCTATTGGAGCATCTTGTAATCTCCCCTTAGTTTCATTCCACTCATCCTTATGTTGACACCCAGGGTATCATCAAGGGAAGACAAAATCTGCTGCTTTGATTTTTACCTCTAATTCAGAGCTCTGTCCCCAGTGTTTTCTTAGCTTCTTCTGGTGAGTTCTTGACGTGCTCTTGATATTCAGCCTCCATCAGTGAGCTATAAAGGATCCGCTCTTGAAACTGGCATGAAGGCTGTCTCTCAAGCCCGGCATCAGTAGATCAGATGAATATCAACATTACAAAAAGACTCCATATCAACTAGAGGAAAGGTGAATTAAAACACTCTAGGAGAGAAAGGGGAGTCTGGTTATCATTAGGTATCTAATAAATTTAAAAATGCAGTATAACAGGAAGCTGAATATTAACTAATCCAGGAAAACTAAAGGGAAACCATAACCAGATTGTTTTTAACTCCAGGAATCTACAGTAACGATTTTAGAACTGTAAATTCTCCAAAATAAATTCCTAATTACATGGATTATACTAATTTATGCCATAACTAAGAAATTGATATTACAGATCAGTGTAGAATATGCATCAATCTGTAAAAATTACAGATAATTTTAAGACATTAGCAGACCCTAAAAGAACAGGCAAAGTGTCTAGGCCCCCTTGTGGCTTTTACAGTTTGGAAACTTCATTTTGATGTTAGACTCTTTTGCTGTTGAATCTTAAAAGTTGTGTGTTCAATTAAAAAGTGCTTCAGGTCAGGGGCCCTGGATTATTGGTAATTTCCTCATTACCTAGAACTCTGTTATGCATAGTGTTGACACCTGATAAAGCGTTTATGTTGAAATTCCTTTACTTGGAATTAAAGAGGTAGCTAAAGAGTTTCTTGAAATACACACACATACACATACGGATATGTGTGTTACATATTTATTGTATATTCTTTTTCTCTGCTAAAGGAATATGGCATTTTAAAATGAATACAAATGAACATAAAACTAATACCATTTTTGCTACACATTTTGGCCCGTATTCTTAATGAGTGCTTAAATATTAGCTAAATCATCAAAAAAAAGTATTCACTACTTTTATTTCTTATAATCCTTCCTAATATATTTGTTATTTAGCAATAAAATGTCTGATGAGAAAAGTAGCAGATAAAAATGTGATACCAGCACATAGTTTAAAATAACACAGATTACCTCACCAAAAGAAAATTGAGCCAATCATTATTGTATGTAATACATGTATTTTATATACATATTACTTTATGTATGGAGAGTCATGAGCCTACACGTAGGTAAATCCCTTAAGACAGGTTTTATTTATAGCTACATTGCACATAATAAAATGCATTTCATTTCTATATTAATACATTTTTAACCTGTCGTAATGATCTGAGGAATGATCTAGACAATGATTCTGGTTTTAACTAGATTTATTTTTTATTTCTTTACCTTGGAGGTCAAGACATCTTTATGACAGAAGAGCAGAAGAAATACTATAATGCAATGAAAAAGCTGGGATCTAAGAAACCACAAAAACCAATACCTCGGCCAGGGGTAAAAAAAAATAAATATATGTATATGTGTATATATAGATATATATATCTATATATATCTATATATATCTATCTATCTTTAGCATGTAAATTTTCAAATTTTTTAAATTCATCTTTAATGTACTATTTTTTAAACATGAATGCTAATCTTTTGAAAAGTCCTTATATAACTAAATATATGTATTTTGAACATGATCACAGTTCTTAATATTTCTTCTTATTTTTTGTTTTTCTTTAAAAATTAAAAATAACTATATATGGTTTCACTTTTATGTTAGCACACAACTTACTACTAGTACAATGGCCTACAGAGAATCAAAATAGAATGTACTTCTGATTGAAATTTATTTATGCAAATGGTGATTTTATAATGTAGTGATTGCTATCTATCAGTAGGGTGAAACTAACATGTAGATCTTTGATATTACAACAAATAGCAAAAGAAGCAACTAAATTGGTCATGAATCTGAACTTTACCCTACCGTGGGGTCAAAGACCAGAATAGGCTCAGATGGAAATAGTGAGGCTTAGCGGTCAAAGAGTACTTTATATTCCTCTAACAATTGAAAAAAACATTTAAATGCATTATGTGCGTTTCAATTTATATTCAACGTAACACACCTTACCAAAGAGTCATACCTAAAGACAGAGCATCCTACAGGTGGATACCCAATTATTACCGAGCTAGCTACATGAGAATCCCCCAGCACTTTTTAAACGGAAACACTGCCAGGTCTCAGCCAGACCTACCGAATCATAATCTATGAATTTAAAGCCCTGGTATTTAATTTTTTGAGTACTCTACCTGATCTTGATACAATACTTTAAAACTTGCCTATACAACTATTAAAGGGATTTTGAAATGTGTTTCCTGGAAAGCCTAATACTAGCAGTGAGATTGACAAGAAAGGTAATAAGTAAGTATGGCTATGTCTAGAAATATATGTTCTATGCAAGGAAGAGATAGGAAAATATAGGTCTCTGATATTTTAGCAGTAATATCAGTACAAGAAAAAACAACACTTTAGTTAAAATAATAAAACAAAGTAGAAATTTAGAGATATGTTATTATAGAAACTTGGAATACTTCAGGCAATGGGGCTGAGGTTTTCTTAACAAAAAATTACCTTACGATCGTGGTAATTCATATATAACATCCTAGGGTGGATATAAGCTTAGAAGCAAATGTTCGTATACAAGGCTAACTAAAGACTGGCCTGATATACTGAAAGTCTACAACAACAACAAAAAGTTTTCATTTACTCTCACTTGGATTTAACCCATTGATAATATTTCTTACAGAAAACAAGATAGGGATGATTGTAGATAACCTTGTAGAAAGCAAGATAGGGAAAGCAAGGCCAGGGATAATTTATGCAAGTTTTGAAGACATACCTTTTTAAAAAAATTGTTACTAGTGCAATGATTAGTGAACACTATTTGTAAATTTACTCTACATTCCATATTATTCTTGTTTCTTTGCAGAACAAGTTCCAAGGATGTATATTTGACCTCGTAACAAACCAAGCTTTTGATATCTCCATCATGGTTCTTATCTGCCTAAACATGGTCACCATGATGGTAGAAAAAGAGGGACAAAGTGACTACATGACTGATGTTTTATATTGGATAAACGTGGTTTTTATTATCCTTTTCACTGGAGAATGTGTGCTGAAACTGGTCTCCCTCAGACACTACTACTTCACTGTAGGATGGAACATTTTTGATTTTGTGGTTGTGATTCTCTCCATTGTAGGTAAGACCATTTATTAATGAGATTTTAATTTTGAATCAAACCAAACACACATGCTCAGAGAAGTTTCTGAATTCTTGAATGTAAATTTGCTTCCGAGTAAGTGAAGTGAAAGAATGAAGGAAGCTTAAAAACAAAACTAAACAAAACAAAAACTTCTGTGTCAGAATTCCTGGGTTCATGCTACACAAAGCCACAAGTTTTCTATTTGTTGGAAGCACATAATACTCCTTGATATTTGAGTTCCAAGATTACCTTCACAAAGGTAGCAACTATGTCTACATGTAGGCATGTTTTAGAAGACCAGTGCAGAATCTGAAATCACTTCCCTTTCTTAGCACATATGAGAACTGTCCCTTGATTAATGATGATATTAATAGCTAGAATATTAGTGACTCTTTGAGAAAATTCTTCCTGAATTCAAAGTGAAGTTAAGGTCTCACAAAATGCCATCTTCATTTCTCATGCCCATATACTTGGCGAGTCTGTAAAATGTAGTCATTTCTCAACCATCCGCAGTCATGTCTGTGAATCACAGTACATGATTTTATACTTCCTCCTCTTCCATTACCACAGCTATTTTTCTATCCTCTTTTTTTTTTTTCCTTATCTGTATGTGCCTTGCCCGGTGTTTTAGGATTGCATTTATTTTTAGAATTGTAAATTTTAGACAGTAAGAAATTATGAAGATCGTTTAATACAAACTCAACTTACAGATTATGAAACAGGCAGGCCCAGAAAGATTAAAGTTCACATAACCTAGAACCCTAACACTGAGTACCACAGAACTTAGAATAAGCATTCAAAATCAATTTTTTGAAAAAAGAGTATTATGACCAGAGGTGACATTAAAATTAAGATATTTGGAAACAAATTAAAATTTAGGTAGGAATCTCACACTACCAACAAGCATAATAGTGGAAGCATTCCCATTAAGTTAAGAAGAAGAAAGGAATGTCCCTCTGTTGCCTCTTTCGTACCAGTGTTGGCTGATGCAATTAAAAAGAAAACAAAGAGGTACTTATTTTTAAACAGTGGAGCAAATTATCTTTATCGTCATGTCATATTATGGCATTCTTTAAAAATTAAAGAGAGTCAACTAAAAAAATTGATTCATTTAGAGTTCAGAAGGTACAAATTTTCAATTACATGTACCAACAGTAATAATTGTTTTATATGTGGACAAAAAAATTAGAAAATGTTCTTAAAGAAAAAGCTCGTTCACAGTTACTGTAGAAATAAAGTAAATATCTAGTAACAACTTTAATAAGAATTCTATGAAGAAAACTAACAGACTTTTAAGAAGGCTTAAATAATTGAAAGGCTTATCTTGTCCTTGAATAAGAAGGCTCTCACTATAATTGTGACCCTCTTTTATGAATCAACCTGTAAATTCAGTGTAATCCCAATGAGAATATCAACAAGTCTTTTTGTGTGATGGGAGTAATAAATTGGCAATATCAGTATAAATGATTCTAAAATTCATCTAAAAGAAAAATTAGAGTGGTGACATATTGCTAGATATTAAGACTATTATAACATTGTAACATTGATGAAGTAAAACTGTGATTTAAAAAGCTTACTGAATTCAAATAGATAATTTAATGTCAATACATAGAGAATTATTCATTTACTCAGTGAAAAGATCACGAGTCAAAGAATAAAGTGTAAAACAATGGATTCTAGTAGAAATAGATTTTTAACCATGAACTTGAATAGTCCTTTCGATTCATGACACAAACTTGTGTCTATAAAGAAAAAACAATAGATATGACTGCATAAAAATAAAAATGTTCTATGGAGGAAAATTCACCACCACCAAAAAAAAAAAGGCTGAAATGAAGGACAAGTAAAAAAAAAATTATGGAGCATTTAAGGCCAACAAAGGATTAGTACTTCCAATAGTAAAATAGTTCTCATAAATCAATAATAAAATACTAAATCTCCCATTAGAAAAGTGGGAAGACAACCTAATTATGCAAAAAAAGAGAAAGTTGAAAATAGCCAACAAGAATATAAAATGTCTGAGGCTAGCCGGTGACCTACTGATTAAGTTCAGCAGCGTGGGTTTGGTTCCTGCACACAGACCAACACCAGTTGTCAGTGGCCATGCTGTGGTGGCAACCCACATACAAAACAGAGGGAAACTGACACAGATGTTAGCTCAGGGCAACTCTTCCTCAGCAAAAAAAGAAAAAAGAAGAAAAAGAATACAAAATATCCAATAAACAAAAAATGTGGATTATTTTTTCCAAAAGAAATGCACATAAATTAGAACAATTAGATGTTGTAAACATTATAAGGATTTTCTAGTAAAAATTATAAAGATGAATGACAGTACTGATAAGCATGTGCAATATGAGCACTTTCACATACCTCTAGTAGGAGTGTTAATTTGTATAAACTTTCTGGAGATAGATTTGGTGATATAGAACAAAATTTTAAATATACTGGTTGACCTAACTTCTATTAATATATTATCAAAGTATGCTCATGCAACTAGAAAAAATATACCAACTTGGATGTTCATCTCAGCCAAAAAAATTGAAAACAACATAAAATTCTTCAATATGTGGTTATTTTGACAAAACATCATACAACTATAAGGAATTATTTTGTTGTTATTTGTATGAAAATATCTCCATGACATATGATGAAGTGACCCAATTGGATTACAAAAATAAGCTTGTATAATATGATTACATTCATGTGTATATGTTTGTATGTGCTAGCATTGAAAAATGTCTGGGGTGATAATAAAATATTGACGATAGTTATGGTTGATGATAGTTTGGGTGATTTATATTTCCTTTTTAGCATTTTAGCATTTTACTGTATTGCTTGAATTTTCTACATGAGTATAAGATGTTGTCCTTATAATTTACAAAATTATTGTGAAGGAAAAAAATAAGGCCCAGCAATAGTAAAGGCGAGAAAATGTCACCATGGTAATTCTAATTTTCTTTGAGATTTCTCAATCCTTTGATTGCTGTGAAACTGCTTTCAGTATAAAATGACAGTCCTGAAATCCTAAGAGATGAGATGGGAGATAAAACTGTTTAGAGTCATGATTTTCTGTAGCATGGATATTTAAATATTTCCTTTTTATTCCTTCCCTCTTCACCAGGTATGTTTCTAGCTGATTTGATAGAAAAGTATTTTGTGTCCCCTACCCTGTTCCGAGTGATCCGTCTTGCCCGCATTGGCCGAATCCTCCGTCTGATCAAAGGGGCCAAGGGGATCCGCACGCTGCTCTTTGCTCTGATGATGTCCCTCCCTGCATTGTTTAACATCGGCCTCCTGCTCTTCCTGGTCATGTTCATCTACGCCATCTTTGGAATGTCCAACTTTGCCTATGTTAAAAAGGAAGCTGGAATTAATGACATGTTCAACTTCGAAACTTTTGGCAACAGCATGATCTGCCTGTTCCAAATTACCACCTCTGCTGGCTGGGATGGATTGCTAGCACCTATTCTCAACAGTGCACCACCCGATTGTGACCCAAGAAAAGTTCATCCTGGAAGTTCAGTTGAAGGAGACTGTGGGAACCCGTCAGTTGGGATATTCTATTTTGTCAGTTACATCATCATATCATTTCTGGTTGTGGTGAACATGTACATCGCTGTCATCCTGGAGAACTTCAGTGTTGCTACTGAGGAAAGTACTGAGCCCCTGAGTGAGGATGACTTTGAGATGTTCTACGAGGTTTGGGAGAAGTTTGATCCTGATGCCACTCAGTTTATAGAGTTCTCCAAGCTCTCTGATTTTGCAGCTGCCCTGGATCCTCCTCTTCTCATAGCAAAACCAAACAAAGTCCAGCTCATTGCCATGGACCTGCCCATGGTCAGTGGGGACCGGATCCATTGTCTTGACATCTTATTTGCCTTTACAAAGCGTGTTTTGGGTGAAAGTGGAGAGATGGACTCTCTTCGTTCACAGATGGAAGAAAGGTTCATGTCTGCAAATCCTTCTAAAGTGTCCTATGAACCAATCACAACTACACTAAAACGAAAACAAGAGGATGTGTCTGCTACTGTCATTCAGCGTGCTTACAGACGTTACCGCTTACGGCAAAATGTCAAAAATATATCAAGCATATATATAAAAGATGGAGAAAGAGATGATGACTTGCCTAGTAAAAAAGATATGGTTTTTGATAATGTTAATGAGAACTCAAGTACAGAAAAAACAGATGCAACCCCATCAACAGTCTCTCCCCCTTCATATGATAGTGTAACAAAGCCAGACAAAGAGAAATATGAAAAAGACAAAACAGAAAAGGAAGACAAAGAGAAAGATGGCAAGGAAAGCAAAAAATAGAGCTTCATTTTTGATATATTGTTTACAGCCTGTGAAGGTGATATATTTGTGTTAATAAGACTCTTTTAAGGAGGTCTATGCCAAAACTTTTTATCAAAATATTCTCAAAGTCAGTGCAGTCGCTAGCTCTGATTCCCTAAGGTAGGTGGGCAGCATTAGCAGATGGCTATTTTTGCATTGGTAAAAGTGACTTGAATTCTAAGAATAAGTCTATAGGGATTATTGATTATAGCAAACAAAGGTGATTTAATTTTATTTGCTTTTAATCAATCAAAACAGCAGGTAGAAAATCTGCCTTGTCATATTTTCACAGGATTGTAAACATTCGTGTTTCCCATGCAAATACAAACAGGCACGCACACACACACACAAATATCTATCATTTGCATAGCTACAAAAGTATTTTGTCTTGGCTTTGCAATGAAATGCCCCATTAGAAGGAATGGACATTAGTAATGAATGGTTAGTTAAAACATCTTGTTATTAGGGAACAAGATTCTTTTATCCATGTACAGAGGTCATTCTATATTTTGAGGTGCTTAAATTTATTCTATATTGCATCAGAACCAGTTTATACATGCCTATAAAATGCCATGGGAAAATGTATGTAGGTTATTCATTTCACCAAATACTTTTCATTCATCCTGACTCATATACCACCCAGGATAAGACTAACCTTTAGAGTATTGTGCTTCGTAGCCTGCCTTTTTTTATATCCTTCTTTGTTCATACAATAACCACAGAACATGAAAAATTATTTTAAGTACATGTCCTCAAAAGAAAAAAAGTGAAGATAATTGAGAAAAGAAGCAACTGAAGAAAGCTTTATTCACTAATATTTATCAAATCTACACTGTACCGTGCTGCCCCAAAACACCAATAATGACCCAACTCTTAATCTCTTTTGTCACAATTTTCTGCTTCCTCATGCAGTATTGTTTAGTCATTCTTTAGCACTAAACAAAGTTGGTATTTCCCTTCGATGAAGTGCTTCCTGAGATGCAGACAGCTATTTGATACCATGGTACATGTTTGAGCAGATAACGACTTGGGCACAGTATTTACTGCCTCACCTCCAAACCATCCTAAATGTGTATGGCAAGATTTTAAGTCACAATTTATGGCAAGCTTTCAACAGACTTGTGTTTCGTATGAATGAAAGAGCATTCAACTGGGATGCTTGCCACTTGCTTTCCTGTCACTAACCTACTATCCTAATTTGTGCTAGTAATCCTTTTGGACCTCTAGTCTTTCATCTATAAAATGAGAAGGATGTCTCTTTCTCCTTCAAATTTTATAACTATGAGATATATTATGTATCAGTCAATAAAGGACCCTGAGCTTATAGTTTACCAAGCTCATATTCATTTTGCTTTAGCTATTGTCTTCCTACCAAGGTTTATAAATCTAGCTTTTAAAAAAATCCTTGTTAATTCTGGCTTGAAAAGAAATGGCCGTGATACATTTTTTCATGAGATTATCCCAGGAATATGAGATCTTTCTTCTATCAGGTTATTCATGCATAGGCAAAAACTGAGTTACAGAAGTAGAAAGTAGTTTTATTTAGAAGATTTTGTGGGAGTTTTCAAAGTAAATATATAGAACATATTTCATTCATTTGCTTTTTTAAATTAAAAAGAACAGAAATTATATTTCTATAATAAGTATTTAAACATATTTTTTGTTGTTCTGGCTAGTTAAAAATAAAGAAGATTGAAACGTACCTATAAGATAAGAAGAAACATACCTATAAGAGTAAAGAATGAGAGATAGCAAGAGAGACTAAGAAACAAAGTTATTGAGATAGACAAAAACAAATGAGACATTTCCACAGAACTTCCTATCTAGTACATTTTAAAATTGTGATGCATTTTATAACATTCATGAAGGAGATTATCACTTCTAGACATTTGTCTTAGGGTACATATGAAATTAAATCTAGGGCCAAAGATTCTTTACAACTATGTTCAATCATTCATCTTAGGTTATTTGAGCCTCTTTTTTATTTAATACAAAAGATACCATGCAGTGTTTTCTTAGACTATGTAGAGCATCGCATCACATACCTGCTAAGTCTACTGAAAATAGGTTTTGACAATTTAGTTAGGGAACCATGCAAAATATATTACATTTGTAAGACTTTTTTAATACATTAAATTAAGATATTAATATCACCTTAAATTTGAATTCAGTCTGTCCTCATTATTTTAAATCCATATAAATATAACTGTAGTCTGCATATATAATATAGTGTGAAAAGTGGACAGGTTATGTGTCATTTACTATTGATATTTTTACATTGCCTGATTTCTATGTAAAAAAAAAATATTGGCAACTGGTTCGTCAACACAATTTCTTCTTAGCATTTCAAAAAAAGAAAAAATTACAAAGTCACTCTTCCTTCTAGTTCATGCTGAACCTATTCCATGTTGAACAATATTTCTTTTTAAATATAACATAGTTAGGTTTTGTATATATATGTTTTCCCAGGAATGTCTGGTTGTGACTTTTTATCAATTAAAAACAAAAGTAATTGTAACTAGGCACTCATTTAGTACAGTGTAAGCTTGAAGGAAAATGAGACTTCTTTTTTCAAGTAAGTTACTCTTTGGTACTGAATATGAGATATCACCCTCCAGATGGCACTGTCATAGTAATACTTAAATTACCTAATCACTGAACTCATTTCACCTCATGATATAGAATGGAAGTTACACTGTAAAATTTAAATCACAATCAAATTGAAGTGAACAGATTTGAACACAAATCCATACATACAATTTGGATAGAAGTGGGAGAATCTCATTTTACCTTTTTCACTGGTACATAGTTTGCAAAAGATCTACGTGACTTTGGGCTGTTTCTGATTGTTGATGCTCAACAAGGCTGATCGTTGAAAACCTCAACCCAAGATGTTCAGCATGATTTTATAGAATTTTGATAGCTTTATTAAAAAGAGGTAAGATAAAATGCATATGTAAATAAAGCAGTTCTAAATAGCAATTTCAGAGAAATGTTAATGGAAATAATGAAAGGAGGGCCAGCTAAATTAGAATGGCCAAGTTACTGGCCTGGGTTAGGAGCTATGTATAAAGGCCACCAATTTTTGAAATATCTGTAGTTTATTATGTTATATTCTTGAGGAAAACAATCAAGAATTGCTTCAAAAAGAATGAATAGCCATGAACATAATAATGCCGTTTACATAGAATTCTTTACAAATTTCATACATCTATGAATGCTCAAAATGTTTGAGTTTGTCATAAATGATACTGTAGTTAATACTTGAGACTTACACATTGTAATAGAATCTAAAAATAAAAGTCATCCCAAAAAATCATGTTTGCCTGTATTTTCTGTTTCTGTGAAAATAAACTTTAAGGAGATAAATTCAGTGTATCCCTAAATAAGTTGCAGCTACTGTTAGCTTTTTTTTTTTAATTGAAAGATGGAAAGCTTCAAATGTCCTCCAGGAAGAAGTCGTCCAGGATAAGAAAGATGGGGACAAGGAATATAGAATTCCAAAGTAATTCATTGAAATCCACAACAGAGTTTGTGTGGGAGGAGAAAATAGAGACAGGAAGTGAAAGTATATAAACATTAAACTGCACTGTGACAATATGTATCTTTTTTGTGTAATAGCCTTCAGACATAGTATAGCAAACATAATGGCTAAGGGCTTGGGTTCTAGAACCAGAACTGTATTTGGATACCAGCTGAGCCATGACTCTGAGTTTCCTAAATTGCATTATTTAACCTATGTGCCTTAGCCTTCTCATCTGTAAAATGGGGATAACAGTACTACTTGCAATATGGTCATAAGAGTATAAAGAGAAAATCCATATGAAGCAATTAGAACAAGCCTGACAACACAGAATCAAGACCTGATAATAGTAGTAGTGGTTAGTGTGGCAGCCAAGTTGCCACTAAAAGTATGAGCTCAGGCTACCTCTCCATCATATAGGAGCACAATGCATTCTACATAAATGTTAAATAATAATGATATTTCTTCTATTTTATATGATAAGTATAAATATAGTACCCAAAAGAGTCTCATGCATCCTTTTGATACGTAGTAAACATTTAGTGATGTGACATATACACCAAAATCTTTCAAAATTGAGCTATTTTTGAGATTTGTGAATTCAAACAATAGGCTAAAACAAGGAAACATGCATATTTGCAAAGGTTTAGCTTTTTTCCAAGAAAAAAATTTGGAGGTGGTAGTTCCCATAATTAGCTAAATATTCAATCCAAACCTCTGGTTATTTTAGCTGTGAGCATCCAGTCCTGTTATTGGTCTTTAAATAAGATATACTAAAAATGATTGCTACTTGCTGAGCGGTTATTTTGATCTTTTGTGTTGTTATAATGATATGTAAAAAGGTGTAGAATATTCCTAGGGATCTCTGTACTGGCAGTTGTGATAGTCACTCTGCAAAATAAAATAATAGTACTAAACAGTACTATCATCCATTTCAACGTAACTGATTGACAATCACATGAATTTCTGACAGCAAAAAAGTTAAAAATTCTTCCTTGCTATGGATAACATTATACCATAATCCAAGGAAAATGGACTGCAGAGTTCATGGTAATCTCTCTCAAGGGAGAGAAAAACTGTACTGGTTAGAACAGAAGGGAGCATTGGTGCAACAGCGTTTGAAGCGCACAGGAAGAGAAACATGAATAATTGATAGCTATAAACAAGCAATAGAACAAACATGCCGCACTTAACTCCCTATTATTCTGAGTCGTGTAACTAGATACCTACATTAGCAATTGATCTGTCCAAGAAAAAAGCCAGTTTTAAGAGATTTAGGAGGCATGCGTAATGTCTGTATCATGTGCTTTAGCTTGACTTTCATCTAATGTTTTTCATAAATAATTGAAATGCAAAAAAATGTTAGATAAAACAAGGGGCAATAGGTATATAGAAAAGATTCAGAGCTTGTTGACAATTTTGAAAACCTGGTAGAAGTGAGCTGAAATTATTCCTTTTTCAGATGTAATGTTTGCTGACATGTCCTAGTTCTGATTTTGTTTCGTACATGACAAAACATCTTCTATTTAACTTCCACAAGGTGACTCTAGCAACAGCTTGGAATGTCTTTATGAACCAATCAGAATAATGAAAAGCAAAGACAAACGATTTGACTAAATGAAAGAAGCCAGTTGGAAAAGGCTACATACTGTGCAGACTAGCAGGTGGCTCCAACGGAAATATTTCAACTCAGTCAGAACATATTGAGATTTCTTAACCCTAGAGAATTTTAAATAGAATTGATTTTAACTACATTAGACCCCTAGCAAAATGTGGATGAGAACTACCAAAGAAAACTTCTTTAATATATTGAAGGAAAGAATGCAGTTCACAGACAAGGTCTGAGAAAGATTCCTGATAAATTGAGACTACAGGAAAGTGGAGTTTCCAGCCTTCCCAAAAGGTCACCCAAACCCCATCTACTTTTGGTCTTTCCACAGAGTTTTAGCGATGCTGACACCTTCACTTCCACCTCAGCCTGTGAAATCAAATCCATGAATTTAAAGCTTTTCTCGCTCCCGATTAATCTCTAGGGTGTCAAACTTAGCAAATTCAGTTTATGTTCAAAGAGAACTAAATATGATACACGAGTTAGTCATTCATTCATTCAATAAATATTTACTGAGCACCTTCAGCTGCCAGTTCCTGTTTCAGACACTGAAGACACAGACAAATGCTTTCCCCCTCGGAGCTTTTATTTGGGGAGGAGACAAAAATGATGACATGTGAATGATTATAAATATCAGAGCAATATTATATTAATTTTATCATACATTATAAATCATGCACATGTTATATGTATTAGATTGTTTTATTATATATTATATTACCTACATTATATACTATTTTATTTTATGATACTTAGGTAGTTTCAGGGTGTACCACGCAAAAGCTTCGTAATTTTTGTTCATCACTTAAAATTAGTGACTTGAGGTTGTACACATTTTTTCCTGCAAATTTTTGTAACTCTAAATACACTTACTCTAGTCATTCATTGGAATAACTTATAAGCTGCTTTGCCAGAGAAATCACTCAGGAGTTAACTTTTCATTCTAAATAGTTATTTGACTTCTCACTACTACAAATGAGCGATTTAAAAAAAAAAAAAAACAGTTTAGGCCAAAGATTTAATGAGGCAAAGATTAAAATTTATAGTTAAAGATTTGCACTTCTGGGTGAAGCTAGGATATTATCATTTGTCCTTAATATTATTCTTAATATTGGAAATCAAGAACTAATTTTGTAATAAAATTTTATGGATGAGAAATAAGTATAAAAACTCCATAGGAAATATCTTTTTTTCTTAAAACATTCTGTGAAGCTCACAATGACCAGACTTCTAAATGTCAAATATTTTGATTCTTTTTAAGAAAATAGTAAAGATAGAATTCCCTTGTAATCTCCCTAAACAGCTCAGCACATCTTGATATATTGGTTCTATCTGATGCCCTCAGCAGAATCAGCTTTGATAAGGATTGGGAGAAAACAGAAGTGGGAAAAGAATTCCTCCATGCTTCATTTTCCTGCCTAATTTATTTCCTTTTATATATTCATCTTACTCTAACCATCTTCATTTCGACCCTAAATTCAGAACAAAGATTGATAACTGGTTTAGAGTCACCTAATTTGGCCCTGGCACTTGCAACTAAAAAAAAAAAAAGATGCATTTATCTCTAAAGAATCACACATTGTCCATTTATTTTAGAGCCAAATGGGTCTGCCTCCTACAAACCTCAGCCAGAATACCACCTAGAGCTGGGTTATGGGCACAGAGAGATCTGGAAGGGAGCCAGGGAGAATTAGCAAAGCAATCTACTTCAGCTTCCTGACTCTAAGCCACAGCCTATACTAGAAATCTGAAGAATGCAGGCAGAAGTGAATCTTTGCAAGCAAGCACATTTTAAATTTTTCCCTTTGAAATAAAGTTAAAATTCACTAACTCTCCTGCCTTAGAGCTAGAAGGGGCATGATTAACTTGGCGTAAGGAAGCCAACGTTTGTGTAGAAAAACAAAGCCCTTTAATCTGCACAAAGCTGAGAAATCATTATGGCAGCTTAAAATGGCAGCCTTTGGCATTTTTTCCCTATTAGCATTTCGTCCTGTCCAGTTATTCCCTCCTAGAATAAGAGAACTCTTTTTTCCTTCCCTGCTTCTGTTATCTTGGGAGCTAAAACCAACAAAACTAATCTCTTCCTCTTTATAAGACCAATAAAGCAAATTAGACATGACATTGAAAGCACTTAAAGAAATCTGAGCTCTGTTTTTCAGAGTGCAAGACCATCTTATGCCTTTAAGAACTGTCAGAAGATGTAAACGTACGAATATACACACAGCAGCATCATATTAAGTAAAATCATGAGTTTAGATCTGCTTCGCCGTTCCAGGGTTTCGCTGGTATGGATCCTGGGTGCAGACATGGCACCGCTCATCAGGGCACAGTGAGGCGGCCTCCCACATGCCACAACTAGAAGGACCCACAACTAAAAATTATACAACTATGTACTGGGGGGATTTGGGGGAGAAAAAGCAGAAAAAAAAAGAAGAAGAAGATTGGCAACAGTTGTTAGCTCAGGTGCCAATCTTTAAAAAAAAAAACAATGGAAAAGTAAGAAGTCAAATTGAATATCCTCTTTTTTGAAGTATACACTTGCATTTTCCATCTATTTTTAAATTGGGCTTTCAGCACATCAGCAGAAACGTCAAACTAGGAAATTTTGAAAACCCACTTCTCCGTAAAAGAATAGGAACACTGGCAAAATCGTCGAAAGCAACTTTTTCAGAACTCTGGAAATTAACCAAAGGAACAGTTATTCAAGAAAATTGGGTGAATCTTAGTAAGAACAGCCAGCTCCTTAGTAGCTTTGAAAACCAATAGTCCCACAATCACAGTGAGAACCAGCAGCCTAAAGGGGGAAGGACAGGTTTGGAACTCTCCAAAAGCCCTGTTTCCAAAAAATTGTCTGTCAATTCCTTGGAAAACCCATTTGCAAAGCTGTCTTTATCTGGCCTGACTCGGAGCTCACCCAGTGCAAACAGCCTTTTTCCTGGGGTTGTTTGCAATTATTTAACATTGCAGCTGCCTGAAGCAGAGTTAATAGTTGGGATAAACAAGACAATCAAGAAATTTAAAAGAAAAAGCTGGGGAATAAGATGTCCATAATGGACTTTGTAAAACTCCAACATATTTCTGGGAATCAACAAGCCACATGCATGTACAGGGCTGTGAGCATCCGAGGGCTGCGAACGACCAGGGCTGCACACAAATCCTGAGCCCTCACCTCTGACTGACCTTGAGG